AATCACGATAATACTACTGATAGCTTTTTATCTTCCACCTAACATCGAACGATGAGGCGATGACTGCACTATCGACGACTCCCGCGAAATGTCTGAAGGAGTCGGGTGTGAGCAAACATTCATGAATTGATCATTTTATCTTCAACTATAATAATGTATATTTTCATATAAACATATAAATACACATGAACTTACTTGAAAATCCATGCCACTTTTACAGGCACGAACTACACTGACACTCCCCGGCGAAAAACGGATCCATCCCTTTCTTCCATCACGACCAATACGCGTTGACTTGGATGCCATTGCGGGAACCTGGGTCACACGTACAAAGCTGAAATGCAAAACAAACACAAAAGCCAACACACAGCAGGCATACCCACAGCACAATCTCACACATCGATGACAACCTGCGCCTCCAGATAAAGGTATCCTCTTGACATCTTGCAACACGACCGCCACTTGCTAGAATGACTCTTGCAGAATGCACCGTGACCATAGCAGCACCTCACGATACTCCACGCACATCGTCTTATCTACTCACTACCAATTACCACTGCAATTGCTTGTCACTCATTCTGACTCAGTTCTAGTAACAGTGACGTATGCGAGCCTCAGTCGTTTACACTCTTCCTCCCCGGCGTGTGGGACCGCAGCTAACGATTATCTCCGTATGCATTTCATTCTAAGCAACAGTCTCCCCGGCGTATACGACCCATCTGCCGTCTTTAACATCAGTCAATTCATTCACGAACGTAGAAGACTCGAAACAACTTCAGAAGTAATCACGACGAAAATTTTAACAAAATTACGCAATAACAACGAGGTACGGAAACAACGAGTAAACACAATGAATCCAAAAACACCAATTGATATGACACACCACACATATACAAACAGTACACACAAACTCGCAGTTCATGTCTTGATGGAATTCCTTTGAAGTATCGCAGGACTTACACCAATAGGCCTGCAACCCTTCTCAGGTTGACGATTGTACGCTAAAGAATGTCCGGACACAAACAAGATTAACCAACAATGACATTAATTGGAACCCACTCAATTACTTAACACAAACATATGTACAACCAATACATCAAATGTTGTGGATTCTGCCTTGACGAGCTACCCCTGAAGAATTGTAGGACTTACAGCAGTACGCCTACATTCCTTCTCAGGTTGATGGTGCAAGTGGAAGACGTATGGACACAAACAAAATTACCAACCGACACATAAGAGATGATACCAATTCAGTATATCCAACATGAACATATGTACAACAACAACGTTGGGCTGCGATTCGACGTACTACTTTTTAAGAATTGTAGGACTTACAGCAGTACGCCTACAACTCTACTCAGGTTGACGCCCTAGGTTGGAAAATCGTCACAGAGTTCATTTGCTGACTTCCTTCTACCATCTATATCCTCAACTCTGAACGGTGACATGCCCAGGTCGTTGTATTTTGGAATGTAGATGACTGACAAACACACGACGTATCTGACCAGCCAAGCGTAGGCACAGATTAATTTACACCAAAGATAATGGCATTCCAATAGTAAATATGAACTTGAATGACCTTTATTGGCGCAGGCCAGTTTAACAGTTACCCTCTCGTACACAGTTGGCTTATCTTCATTAAACTGACCATTATCTTTCGTCTTTTCAAATGCACCTATACTAGCATAGTCATACCATAAGACACGTGAGTTCATGGACGTCCCTTTCATTGTGGATGACAACACAAACGACGACCGAGTGATACAAGTTGATGAACCTAGCGGTGCATCAGAAGCTGCTGTTGTTCGACTTTCAGAAGGTTGTTTAACCGCAAGATTACCACCACTGCTAACTTTTATGACTAGCTCCAGTTTAGCATTAACATCTGTCGATAGGTGGACTACCTGCGGATCATATACACTGGCGGTGTCTCTAGTATCCATATCTTCTGCCTTTAACTCTGCTTCACGTTCAAGTTGCACAGAACCTTTGTTCAACTCACTAATAGTAGGCGTTAAGCTCGTGTCATCATGATCAACCATAGACAAATGCGCACCATCGTGATCATTATCAAAAATATTCACTTTACCGTCGTCCATCTGGTCGACTTCAACATTTTCAAACTTTTTAATAACAGCAGTAGACAATTTTGGTCCTTCCTCACAAATCCCTAAAGATTTTATACCTTTACTCTGTCTAGTACTACCTTGAAAACTTGTGGAGTCAGAACTGCACTCTGAAACTGTAACACTCTTCTCCTGCACAAACTTTGGTGTCGTCTGTGGCACTACATTCAACAATGGCTTACCAGTTGCAACTACAGGCTTCTTCACTGCACCATTATCGTCACACGGTTCGGAGTTAGACCTTGATTTCACATTTAGCTTACCACTAAGCTTGGTCACTTCTTCACAAATCGCCTTTTTATGCACTTCTTGCAAACGTGTAAAACACAACCGTGTTTGTCTTGCAGCTTGTAACCTATCTGTTGGGGATGTCCCACGAAGGCTGTTACACTCACTAAGTTTATATGGATTACTAGACACCATAAAGCTTTCTCGATATCCACTTTTCTGAGACCCTTTCGTGCGTCGGTGACACAGTGGTTAGGACTCTCGCTGACCATGCACATGGTCCGGGTTCGAGCCCACGCCGACGCACACCTTGATGTCTATGGTCGGCCTGCGACCGATATCTATGCTGAAAATTCCATACTTGTACCAAAAATATAGTGTGAAATCAAGCTGTAATCAAAAATAAAAATAAATGATTGCGTTTCGCTCTCAGACTGCTCTATTCTAGAGGTGGGCGGCAATTTACTGGCAAACTTGCTCATAGCTTGGTTGACACTATCTTTTACCAGTTTCAGAATATCATCAAACTTTGACTCAATACCTTCATCATCTGTACGAGAGCTTCACTCACTTCCTTCGCACTCGAGTAGGTAGGCGTCTCGCTACTACTTCCAGGACGGAACTCGAGTTGAGGTCAATCATGCAATTCATCGAAATCAACGTATTTTTTTTAAGTCATCATATTATCCAAAAACTCAGTGAGTGCCTTGGAGTCATCTCGTGACTGACTACCATTACCTTCACCACCCTCCAATACGTTCCTTACAGTCATGGAAGGTCTTCCAAAACTTTGGCACATGATACGCATCGCCGCAGAGTATCCTCCTTTTTGGGGCATAAACTTAGAGCACTGTATAGCTCTTGCAGCAACACCTGTGCAGCACCTCAACAAATACATTTACTTCATTTCTTCATTGAATGTAAAAGCAAACAGCATGATCGCAAACTACTTGATAAACTCTGAGTGGTCAGCATGGTTTCCATCAATTTACCGAGGTCCAAACTTGGGGAGTCTTAAAATACTACTACCCCTAAACGGCGAAGCGTGAACATCAGACTCATCATGCTCAGCATCATGAATATCTTTACAATGAACAGGCAACTCATCGTTACTTATTTTTTGTCTGCTTCCGTGGTGTCACGTCCCTTTCTTGACCCAGACATTATCCAACGTCACCAAAGGATCCAAATTGCGTTGATAATCCGTATCCAAAGAGATGCTGGCTGCAGACCCAGTAAGTAATCCCGGAAGTTCCAGAAGGCGCTCTAGAAAACGAATAAAAACTGTCAAGGAACTTATCCCTAAGTTCCTTTTGTTACGAAGACTCTCCGCACCGATAAAAACTATATACTTTCTTCGACTTTAACTCCAAAACACCAGTATTGTAAGAAGGAAGTTATATTTTTGGCATTTAAAGCGGGGAATAGTAAGTCTATAAACGAATATTTTACATAAAATTATGAAGTACTTTTATTCGGTTTTGGTCGAACTTGTACACGATCGAACCGTTCGCGCCATTGAGTTGCCCACCAATGGCTACCAGTTCCAAAAACAAACGTTCAATTTTCACGTTCATTGACAAGGGCCTTTGGATCTGGTCCCAGTGGCTCAATGGTCTGCGAGCTTGTCTTGTAACCAGAAGGTCCTGGGTTCGAACCCCGTAGATGCCAAATTAATCGTCAAAATTATGAGGTATACTTCGAGACCAGAATGGTAGTTCAGTGGTGACTGGCCGGCTATCTAGGGATCATGCATCAGCATACATACGTAGCACCACAGTATGAAATGGGTGCATGATCACGCGCCTTCAGTGTAACAAGCTTACCTGAACAGAAAAGGTTCGCATTAAATGTTCGGTGAAGAATACTGTAGTCCAGTAATTTACTTCTACATCACTATATACCTGACTACTAGATTGGCGGAGATGTCATACAGTGAAACAGTTTCCTTACTGGACAAAGTTCCAAACAGATTTATTGTTTATAATCATACCAGTAATAACTACAAAACTTAGACGCCCGAGTTGTAAAGTTCTCATTCTTCCGTTCTGCTTGCATCCGAAGCAGCAGCATTTTTCCAGACGTGAGTGACAGGTATGGAATCATTCCTACTGCACATATTATCAGCTGGTTAAATGAACATAGCCTCATTTATCATCCCGTCGCTTGTGGGAAGGCTTTGTACTAACTATCATCGAATGCTGTATGACAACTTTAGCTACACTTATTATTATCATTACCGATATATATGTATATACATCAACTTCAAATTTTATCAGATGTCTCTTTTTACGTTTTCTTTTTTTTTTCTCTGTCTGTTAGTCTGAATAACTCCACCAATTATATCTATCATTATTATTATCTCTTTTCTTTTGAAGACGATACCAGGGGACTAACTGGTGAAAAGATCAACTCCATTCACAGTAGTAACAGTCCTAACACACCTCATACTACAAACCACACAATAATTAACCACAGCGCTACTCCTTTCGGAGTCAACCAAAGCTACGACAGATGAGTAGCGGGACGAGCTACTCAGAAGTTTACCAAAGATCAGGAACCTATACCTCATAGTCAAAAGGTGAGCACAAAGAAATCAAATTGGTTTATACTAGCTTGTAAAAACGATATTGAACATTAGAGTAAGTCCTCGGTCTCCCGCCCAGTTCGATTATAACGTTACATAGCCTGTTAGAATTGTTTTCTTCCTTGGTAAGCAATATTAGTCTGTAAAATCCTGTCTTGAGTCGTGAGAGTAAACACTCTTCAACATGGGTGGGATTTAGGTCATTTATTCTAAGCAACGAAACTATTTCAGTAAGCTTTTGTTAAAACTTTTGCCATATCTTCGCATCCTGCAGTGCGTTTCTAATTTCTAATACTATCCTTCCCCTCTTCATATAAATTATTGAAGTTAATGCTTGTCATTCATGTCTTAGTTATTAGATTTAAAATTCTTGAAGTCGGTAGATACAACAGAATTATGTTATGCTGTAGTCAGAGAATTCTCTGACAGCCACTATATCATTTCATCAAATAAGGCTAGGTGCAAGGGGCGTTGTTTCGCCCTACTACAGTCAACATGTAAGTTGTCTGTCTCTACCAGTGGAGGACGTTTTGGTATGAGGTGGTAATTAGCTTTTGGTCAATGTCAGCTGATGCGTACGGTGTGCACATCCCATCTTCAACATTAAGAAATGTCGGCAGATAAATTCTTTCTTTTCTTGGAGATTTTTCAATGACAAAGGCGTGCTTAAGGAGGGTATAATTAATGCCCTTCGCATAATCTGCTGCATGTCCTGGAATTTTCACTTGGAAGGGATAACTTTTCTACTAACGTTATAAAACACACCAAGATTAAGAAATGTTTCATTATTTGGGGTTTGTACCGTTTGTTGATTTTCCGACGTTTCTGTTAGTTGTGAGCATAAGTTCACTTTTAGAGGTAATGTGCAGAATGCAGCTTATTCTGAAAAAGGAATGTAGGTTTTCAAACAGAAGTGGATATACCCTATAGTAACACGTCACAGTTAACCAAGCCAACGTAGTTATTCTGCTAGCTCCTTTGGAAATTGAGCTCAATATTCTAGAAGTGCGTACAATTATGTGAATAGTCAAGACATCATTAATGGACTAGTAGAACGCTAATGCGTTTTCTGATGGTGAAGTGCCCAAACACCCTCTCACTGTTGGGGCTAATGGTTGGTACATCGACGTTTTATTTGATATCCAAGTCATACTTAATGTCATGTCGTGCTTGTATGATAAATGCCCACGGTTATGTTTGAGATCAATGATAGAGCTTGAATTGAGACTTCTTGCAGAAAACTGACGACCTAAGATTCCTTTAAACACCATTGCAGTGCTAAACTTTGCATCCTCATGAAGTTTATAGGTTTCTGACAGATATTGAGGGGCAACAAGTGATAATTTTAGTGGCCTCCATTTATGTAATCATCGTGTTCCTAAACTGTTTTGTCTCGATATGATTGTAGATGTGTATTTAGAAAATTCCCAAAACTCCTAATTTGCTGTTACCGAGGTTACATAAAACATTTGGACGATTGCCACCACAATATGCGAATTGCCGAGGTTTGTGAGAATGCCTTCAAGTCGTACTCTACGCCTCTCATGTGGTCAACTTGAACTTATTTCCATGCCCTGAGTTACCACGTGTTGATCATTAAACGCATAAGGTTTCATTTGAGGATTCTTGAATGATCTCATGTAGTGATAAAAACGACCTGAATTGTTATTCATCAAGGTTTGGTAACTTACCGAGTCTTAACTGATAAACTAGCTTCAAATCAAATGCTTGTCGACCAAACCACGTGCTATTCTGAAAACATTAACCGTGATGACACCTAACGTCTCTCATTGTTATCAACAATTCGTGAAAGTTTGATGTATTTTGAAGTGTTTTGTCCGATTCCATTATTATGTGTAAGTTTTATTTTACCTTCCCAATCTGATCCTTGTGTAAGAGAATACTTTATTGGAGCAGATTATACAGTTAATCACTACTTTTGACGTTTAATGTGACGTTTATAACCACTATCTTACAGCTTCACAGTAAAATAACCTAAACGTTTTAACTCATGTTTCCGTAAATAGACTTTTGGAGATGCTTATGGATATAACTACCAGTCCGAGGTTTATCATTTAACTGCCGTGGTGTATATTTTAACTCATCAGTCGACTTAATAATAATTAACCGGTCGGTAAACACTTATTCACTTTTCCCCAGTAGTGGAACTTGTCGCAGGTTTAAACTATGATCGGTTAGTTTAAGAAATAGTTGTCACTTCGGTATTTCGAACTAGGAGATGTAACTCTGATGACCATGATTCCTTAGCTGCACTTTGGTTCGCAATGTGAAATCTCACATTTTTCACTTGTATGCACATCTGACACTGAGCATTCTCCTAAACTTCGTATTTACAAACTATGCGTGGAACTGAAAATTGGTGTGGTGGTTAACGAACAAAACTTGATACTCTAGCTGGTAGTAGCAGTTTTTTGTAGGTTCCAAGGCAAACTTGTTGCTTTAAGATTCTTAATACTGGAGACTGATATTTTTTGACTTTCGTCTCAAAATACTGAGCAATTTTCATTAACATTCACTTCTGATTATTTTGGAACATTCTAGTTAGTAGCATCGAGATTCATCGTGACATTAATTGTTTTCGCATTCATCTTATCTAGACTACAGAGTCACTTCTAGGCTGACACTCAGTTTGGTTCTATTGGAAATGGATCGTAAAAATTAATTCAGAGAAATTTGAGTTGTGGCAGTATTTTATAGCCTTATGTGACACCTGTAGTAAAGAGTAAACTGACACCATCCATGCCTTCTTTTCCTGATGATTTTAGACATTAATCTGCATTTATTTTAATTTTGGTTTTATATCTTCTGTTCAGGATGCCAATCCACCGACTGGTTGTTTCACTTGTAAAGTTGTACCCAATAGTATCGTGTAATACCGTCGTCAACATCGGCAACTCCAAGTTCATCGTCTAAGAATTCAAAATATACGTTATTTCTCATCAACGGGTGCAATTACATCTATATCTGAGGTGAACTTTCACTGTAAACTATTTCAAATGTCTAAACTGTGGCCTATTTCGAAAGTCTCTAAGCTTATTCCTCATTGTTGGATCCCGTTTAGTTCAGTTTTATCTCGTCGTCACTTTTCTGTGAATATAACACCGAGTAAAAGCGTTTTTGCGGTAACTGGTATTCAGTCAAGTGGAAAACCTCATCTTGGAAATTATCTTGGTGTTATTAAACCATGCATTAAATATTGTCGCAACAATGATGTATCACAGTTTTTTATGATAATAGCTGATTTACACGCTGTTACATCACAAAATTGTGCATCGTTAGAGCATCAAATTCATGAACTTGCAGTAACTCTACTTGCTTGTGGATTTGAAAGCAAATCTTTGAAACAGCTCATGTTTTTACAGTCATCTGTAGCTGGTCACACTGAACTAGCGTGGATTCTGTCTTCAGTCTGTTCCTTTCGTGTAAGCTAACTGGAATTGAATTTTTATTACGTTGGTATTTGATGTGTGTGTTTCTATTATGTTATTCTTTTGTTTTTATGTGTAACAGTAAATTTTTACGCATGTGGTTAGTTAACTATGAAACGTTACGAAGTCTAGGTGTGGTGTTTCGCATAGACGTGAGTGCCCAATAGAGCACTGGTCAGTACTCTGTTTTATCGAGTCAGGAGGATATACTCTACGGTAAAATTAGAGGAAGAATTTCTGGTTCTCACAAATTTATCTGGAAGATACGAAGGCTCAAATGCCGAACAAATCACAGTGAGAAACTCGATTCTAGGGGTCTGTCTGTCTGTTTTCGGGGTGATAATATTGTAGGAGTAGTCAACAGAAGGTTGAATACCTCGCCGACCAGGACCTATCCTGTAGCCAAGTTGGTTCCAGTTTATCGAACAACATGTCCTTTGGTGCAATCGAAAGTTGTGGTAGCAATTACATTGGGAGAAGAGAAAGAAGGGCACACTTCTGATTTTCTGGACATGTACCAAAAAGCCTACACCTCAAGGGAACTAGCGCTTACAATAGTGCTATTGCCAGACATCTCATCAATACGGGTCATGAGAGGTGGACATCGCGAAATCCTCCAAGGTTATCAATGGACATAATTGTTCACTTCTCTTCGATCTTGCAGATACAATCGCTATCAAACGCCTGAAACCCGATTTATGTGATCAGAAAGAAGCAGTTATCCGTGTTTTCTCGCCTTGGTAACTTGATGTCTTTATTCTCTCTCATTCGATTACGTAATCTTTGACCTTGACCTCTGTCCGCCTTAAATATAGTGTAACTGCGTGTCTCTTGTTTCTATGGTTTGAGTTGAACTCATTTTATTGTTATTTAATTCGTTAGTTACTCATCATCTTACTCACCTCTTGTCTTTATTACGTAACTCCTTCGGAACAGTCACACTGTAACAGTAGACAAGAGACTTGGCAGCGGAATGCTTATTCGCAATTCGATGTACAGATATTGGGAAATTATGCGCACCTTACATATGAAAATCTTCATTTACATAGATCTTTCGTGCTGCGTTACTCCTGCTCTTCATATCGTCTTTCTTTGTCTTCCTTTTTCACGTCTCCCAAATTTTGCCACCATACTGGTTAATTTCCTCTTTTTGACTTTGCTGTTGGATTTTTTAGTCCCGATGAATGTCTCTGTAAGTACTACTGATAAATCTTGTCAGTAAAACACGCCACAATAATACAGTAACTATACAGTATGTACGTACTAAAGGATCACTATTGGAATATTCGTAGTTACGTCGACTGAGATGGCTAAAACACGTGTTACACATATTGAGCCATCACCTTCCGGGACATTCAATGTCAACCGATATTGGATTACGTTGGAATAAGGTTTGGAGTGGTCAAACGGAAACCCAGCATCAGTTTATGAAGCCTTTGATATTTGATTTGAGCCATGTTGAAGGGTGTGTGTAGACCACTTGTATGAGGCCGGAGACTGTGGTTGATGCGGTTCATAATCGTTCTCAGTGTTGCAGGTGCACTTGCCTTCCGTGATCTCCTACATTCACTAAACCGCCATGGTTTCACATGTTCCTATCCTTCTGCTTTGTTATATTAATTATTCTCCAATCTGTTTATTCTCTTTCTTTATCCTTGTATGCTGCATGGAGTGTGGCATCTTGAACTGCCGCACTTATGTCCAAACTTCTATGTCAGTCAGTCATTTGTTGTTACATTGGAGCCTTCATATACCATCGTGTGAGATGTTCATATGGAGTGGCTTTCAGCTAAGTATAGCTGTAAAACAAGGTCTTCAAAAGTGAAAAATCTACTCCCCGAGCTTCATATTTTCAGTTACTTTTCCTTTGATATCAGCTAATGTCTAAATAATTCAGAAAATATGCGGAAATAACAAGTTTTCACAATGGTTTCCTTTTTTCCCTAACCAGAGGTTAGCTCATTTACCTCAATGGAGAGAAAAATCTGGTTACTATAACACAGCATCCAATGTTCCGACGACTGATGATCGACAAATAACTGACGTGTGTGATACTGTCTCCGTCGGTTTATTTACATATCCTGTTTTACAAGCCGCTGATATACTTCTTTACGGAGCAAATGTTGTCCCGGTTGGTATTGATCAGATAACTCATATTGAATTGGCACGTGACTTGGTTCGATCAGCTGTACAAAAATGGCCTTCCTTATCTTCTGTTCTACAAATTCCAGATAGTCTTATTTTCGAGACACCGAAAGTGAGTTGTGTAACAATTTCGTTTGTTCAGTTTTCTGATTTACTGACCTATACATTTGAATTTCAACCACCGGGTTACAGATTCGATTCTCTACCCTATCTGGCTAGCTTCAAGGTGCCATTTAGCATCATTACCAGTAGTCCCACTGTTTAACCTGCTCTAATCATCTATAGATGTATTTCAGACTATCTCAGTGATTTCGATTAGACCGTAACTAGTGGCATACGCCTAGTCCTTTGCTTAGTGCAGACGGAATTCTATCAGTCAAGCTTGCAACGTGGACACCATGCTAGGTGATTCGCCATCAGAGTGTGCTTTAAATTATTTTGTTTTTAGTTAGTTTGAGGCAATCGGAAGAAAGCCTTACTTGACCTAGGATTCGTGCTTGTTGAAGCTCGTCGTCAAAGCGTATCTACAATCATGAAGGAACTGATGTCCCTCCTGAGATTTGAACCCCGTATTACAATTAGAGATGTTACCACTAAGCTATTCGGGCTCGTAACTGACCTCCTGTAGGACTGTATTGAATACTTTGGTTGAATGGTTAGTTGCTGATGAGAGCCAACAAGCATGAAACCTAGTTCCATCTGTCTGTCTGCCTGTTTTCGACATAGAACTTTGCACAAATGTGCGGAAGTTCAAGTCGCCACACTCCGTGTAGTACGCGAAGCAAGAGAAGAAAGTACAAGAAAAGCATAATAGAGACAGTGAGCAGAGGTGTGAGACAAAGGAGTAATAAAGAAATACAAAACAGTTTCATTGGAGATCATAAGTTACAAGGAGTGGATGCATCTGCGCCATCACTGAGAACGATTTTGAGCCATGTCACCAATTGTTTCCAACCATAGATTTTTACCGTCCCGAGGATCCCAACCAGTCAGGAAGTCTACACCTTCCTACGTGGCTTAGACCAACTGTTGTGGATTTCATTGACTGGTGCCAAGTTTTTGTTTGACCGCCGCTAGCTTTTTTCCAGCCTGACCCTATATCCGCTAACATTGCTCGTCGAGGGAGGCGATGGCTTGTCATACGTAACACATGTCCTAACCATCTCAGTCTTTGTAACTTCACGACTTCGTCGATTGATTTCCCCTGTTTACCTAGGACTCGACGCCTAACTTCAATGTTGCTCACCTTATTATGCCACTTTACACGGGAAATGGAGCGCAGGCACCTATGATCAAAGACAGCTAGTCTTTTCATGTCTTCCATTCTGAGTGGACAGGTCTTACAATCATAAAGGAGGACGGAGCGGACTGATGAGCAGTACACCCGCCCTTTGGTCGATAGTCGAACATCTCGTCTACGCCAGAGTCGGCGTAAACTGGCAAATGCGAAACGAGCCCCCTGTATTCGTGCTGAGATTTCGTCAGAGATCAACCCTTGGGGCTGGCTGACGGTACTTCCCAAATAAGTGAAGCGGTCAACGTGCTCTACCACTTCACTACCTATTTTTAAACTAGGCGTCGATGTAGTCCAGTCCTGTAACATCATCTTGCATTTGGCGGGAGCGAATCGCATGTCAAACATTCGTTGATTGCAGTTCAAGGTGTTCAGAAGACTCTGCATTTCGTCAGCGTCTTCGCCTAGAAGGACTATATCGTCTGCATATTCCAAGTCAACGAGATTATTCCCCGGTAGCAAGTCAATCCCTGAGTCGCTGAAGTCACTTAGGGTTGAGTCCATTAACACATCTATGATGAAGTTGAATAGAAAAGGGGATAATGGGCATCCTTGACGGACACCACTGGTCGTCATCAGTTCAGATGACAGCTCGCCGTAAGCCCTCACCTGGCTGTATGAGTACGAGTAGAGTGCCTTAATCAGTGCAATATATTTTCTCGGAATTCCCTTTACAGCCAAGCATCTCCAGAGAACTTCTCGATCGACAGAGTCGAATTTCGCCTTTAGGTCAAGAAATATAATGAATGTTGGACGCCGGTAGGAATTCCTATGTTCTGGAATCTGTCGGAGGGTGAAGATATGATCAATGCACCCTCTTCCTGGTCTAAAGCCTGCCTGGCTCTCTCGTGTTTGTGTCTCCCGAGCACCACTTAGTCTACGCATGATTATTGAGCCTAGGACTTTAGATACTATATTAGTCAAGCTAATCCCTCTGTGATTATCACAGGAAGACTTGTCTCCCTTCTTGTATATGGGGATAATCAGTGACTTACACCAACCCGATGGGGCTTCTTCTGATTCCCAGACGCTGTCTAGTATCTTAGTCCTTAGCTTCCTTTCGATTGCCTCCAGCCATCTAATAGGAGTATATCACTTATGTTAGGTGAATGATAGGTGAATGCTGGCAGTGAATTCTAGGACGCCCATTTTTTCATGCCGAAGACTCTTCAAATGATGGATGTGCCTAAAAATGGTGATACTCCCACTGAGATTGGAACCGAATATTCTTCGTTTCAAATTCCAAGGTGTTATCCTCTGCACACTGTTGAATCACGAAAGCCCCGCCTGTTGTACGAATGGTTTCCAGTTGTTATTTGTTGAAACACGTAGATTTTTCACTGGTTATTTCCTCTGGAACGAAGTTATTGGTCTTTATTCTCGAAAGCCCTATTCTAACAGTCTGATAATTTTAGTTTTATGAAAATTTGCGACTTCAATAAACATATCTACTATAGTGCTAATGTTATGCGTAAATTCAAAGATTGATTAACCTGTGTGTGTGCAAATAAGCGATTTATGGTTTTATTCCTACCTGATTTGCACTCATTATCGTGTAACGACAGAGAAGAAGGGTCAGGCAACAGATCGTTTATTGAGAAAATCAACAGATTTTTATGTACATTATTATTCGTTATTGTTAGCAGAGGAGCAACGTCTTCTGATTGGTTGTTTTCCTACTGAAGGTTATTCTGTCGTCTGTTTGTTGCCGTTTCTTAGACAGTCCGTTGATATGTATCTGCTAATCGTATCCATCGACGCTAAGTCTGCAGTGATTGGTTGTTGAGTTAGTCTTTGTTCTTGTTTATTTTTTCTCATGACCAAGATTTTTGACGTGAACATTGACGTAAATTGCTGTCTACCAATTTTGGCTAGCAGACAGCTCTCACCACAATTGTTTACTTGTTATGTCAGACTGTGGCTAGTCCTCTGCATTAACGTACTCCTCAACAGTCATGCTTAACAACTCCATTCTTCACGCGTACTCTACAACTAATATGACAGGAAAAGACCCAACAAGGTAGCTAATGTGTATCATTCATCCATTCCCATGGCAACTGGGCATGACCCGTGTTGATCGCAGTGACATAGTAATCTAGTTAGCAATGGCGTCTGGTAGCTTAGTTGGTAGAGCAACGTCAATCTGGTTGGGTTGGTAGTTCAGAGACCGCTAATTCGAATCCTACTGTGACTCAGATATTCATTTCACCCACAATAATCACCATTTACTAAATCAACTAATGTATATTAAAGAATCTTGTCTGATTGGTTTATACGTGTAATTAAAAAGTAATAAGAGAATATAACATAAGAGTATTTAACATACTTGGTTTGTTTTATTGCTTATTATACATGGAATCACAATGCAAGTATGAGCTACGCATATTCAGAATAAAAGCATTTAATCTTAGTTTATCCATGTATGGCAGTAAGTGGTGAAGCGGGATTCTCAGCCTGTGGTAACTGAAGCCTGAATAAGGATCCATGTTTCACGCTTCCTGTCTAACATACTCCCTAATAAATTTATATTTGTGAATCTCAGGACGCGCATTTCTTCACTATGTCATCAGCTTTTCACATAATCGGTGTGTTTGATTGCCAAGTCTACTGTTGTGGGATGACTTCGTCTCATCATATGACTAAGGGAACCGATATTTGAAACAGGCGAGGAAAAGACCCATTCAGGTAAACTGTTCAGCGAAGAGACTCCTGTCGGTGAATTTACTCATGTAGCTGTAGAATCATAAAAGTATATGTAATAATTTTTGTATATATATGTGTGTGTACATACAGCAAAAAGAGTTAACACAAATTAGTTTGGGATATTGCTCACAACATCAAAATACTTCAAAACAGTGACGACTTATCAAGGCGACGAAGATTAGTAACTTCAGACTAAAAGTTGTTTAATAATAATAATAATAACAATTTGCTTTATTCCAGAAACAGTACTAGTGGTACAGTGTGGAATTTTCAGCACTTATCTACAATATTGCATCTAATTTTATCAAACATTTAAAAGGAGTATTTCAAAAACTAAATATAAAAAACAGCGACAAAAAAAACATGAAATAGCAAAAAAGTGCGAAAAAATACCAAGAAGTAGAATGGAAAATAAACGACATAATAAATAACATCTCAGTACTGGGTAGTGGAAGCTATGATATGTTTATGGGGGGGGGGGTGAACAGTAAAACCATATCATACAAGAAGTTATGAAATGATATTAAGAATGTTTATCGCCATGATGATCAGTTAATTTGATTGAACAGCACTAAACAATCATACAATAAACATTTCAGGTTTTTTTATTTTTATTGTCAGCTCTAATGCGGTGTTTTTTGTAGTGGTAGTATGAGTAATCCTGCATAATACAATATTTTAAGATGGTAATAATGGCGTTTACAACCAAGATTGTCAGTTTAATATCGCCGAACAAAGAAAACAACCATTACATGATGGTTAATGACAGAACAGTTTTGTAATACTCATAGTCCCAATATAGTCGGAACCAGTAGATACACAAAAGAAGGAATAGAGTAAAGTACAAAAAAAGAGTAAGCCAATGTTAATAATTTAGGTAGCTAAGTATGTTTAAGAAGGTGTTCACCATAGAATACAAATAAGAAGGAAATAAAAGAGCCAAAATTATGTTACTAACAACTAAACAAGTCATAGGTTTCGCGCTTAACATTGTAATACGCTAAATAAATTATTATATTATACTTGCCAGAGTAAACAATACTAGTGTAGGGCATACTTCACTTATTATTATTGTTTCCTTTAGTTCCTAGAGGGTTTCAGCTGCGCGTCTCCATTGCGTTCGGTTCTCTGACAACGTTTCCATCTGACTCCACGTGTCCTCACATGCCTTCATCTCCTCTTCATATGGCCTCCTCCAAGTCACCCTAGCAGTGACGACCAACTCGCCGCTCCCCATTTGGCTTCCACTCGAGCGATGGCCTCGCGCGTGATGTCATTCACTTGATGGTTTGTTCTCTCAGAGTATGGTTAATCCACCTCCATTTCTTCCTGCATGTTTGTTGCACAATCGGTTCCTGCTCTGTTGGTTCGTTCATTTCCAGAGATCCCTCTCTTTTGCTGATCTTTTCTGGCCATCTAATCTTGAGTATTGAGCGAAGACAGTTGTTGATGAAAGTCTGTAGTTTGTTCGAAGTTCCCTTCGTGACGCACCAAGTCTCTGATCCGTATTTTAAGTATGACTGACTTCACATTGGAGTTGAAAATCTAGATCTTATTTCCATTTTCATGCTGAGTGCTGTTGATCTCCACACAGACTTGAGAGTAATGAAAACGCCCTGCTTTCCCAATCCCCCCTTTCATATCGTCATCAGTTTCGTCCGCCTGTAGTTGAAACGATGCTTCCCAAGTAGGTAAGTAAAGGAGATTGTTTCTCTCAAGCTCTTCCCATTTATTCTGGCTGATTGTTGTATGTTGTTATTTCTTCATCACCTCTGTCTCTTCCATGTTCTGCTGATGCCTATCTTTGATGTTTGTTCTATCAACTTGTCGCTTTTCACTCGCATATCTTCCAGTTTGTTGGAAATCAGACATATATCATCGGAGAAGTCCAGAGCCTTCAACTATTTTGTGTGAATCAATTTTATACCTGTTTCCTCGTTTCCTGCGCTGCTCTCTGTCGCGTTATCCAGTCTACTAGAATCAGGAGAATCATTGGAGATAGTAGACAGCCAGTTTGTCTTATTCCTATCTTCACTTCGAAGTGTTCTGTGAGTTTCCCGTTGTGGAGTACTCGGTATGCAGAGTTGTCGTTCAACTGCTGGATGAGGTGTATAATTGTTGGCGTCACCGTGTAGTAGCGAAGTGGTTCTCAAATCACCTGTCGATCGACACTTTCGAAAGCTTTTCCAAAGTCGATGAAGTTGAGATAGAGAGCTGATTGCTATTTCAAGCTCTATCCAGTGATGATACGCAGCTTTGCGATTTGATCGATGCATGACTTCAAAGTTGCAGTTGTGCCTTTTTGACTGGTGAGTGCCGACAAGCACGAGGCCTACCTAGATCAAGTAGAGCTTCCTGCTGATTGCCTCCAACCAGTATGCATATGTTTCCGATTGTGTATGGTTAGGCGGTGAATAAATTCGCATTCGCGGAAAATAACCTCTTTCTCCGGCAAACTGTTTATTCTTATTTTGAAACTGGAACATTTAGGTTGATGAGTTTGCAGAAATATATATTCGACTATCATTTCATTCTTTTAACATGTTTTTATTGTTATTTTGCCAATTTTGTAAACCAGATAACCGATTTACGAAATCCAACTAAGAAGATGAGTAAATCAGAAACATCAGAATATGGGATTGTCTATCTTACAGACTCGCCAGATATTATTCGTAAAAAGATTAAACGTGCTGAAACTGACAGTATCCGAGGAATTAGTTATGATATTGTAGAACGTCCTGGTGTATCGAATTTACTAAGAATACTAGCTGCTCTAGAGGTAAGTATACATGAATTGAATATCACAAAAGTATTTTGGGGATGAGTGTTTGTCCACAAAGAACTACTTCCAGTTAGTGACAATGGTTCTTTATGTACTGAGGTAAATTCAGCACATAGAGAGTTCTTCAATGATTCTCTTGGACCGCTCTTCTCGGATAGGACTACTTTTTAATCTGTAGAGTGCCGTCTGTCTGTCGTAGAGTAGCTTTTATCTCATCCGATTCTTGCTTAGGAGGTTGGTGCTTATTGACGTACTAGGAATTTTGAGGAAGGGGTCGCGCTATGTCATGGATGGGCAGAAGTTAGAATTCATGGGCTTGCCATTGGATCGGGTCCCAGTAGCTTAATGGTCTACAGCCTCGACTTGTAACCAGAAGGTCCTGAGTTTGAACCCCTGTGGTGGGTGCGTACTGCTGAAGAGTTCCAAACCACGACGAAACAGCTGTCCAGTACTCTCAGGTTTTCCAGTGGTTCTCTAACGAATGTCAGCTCATAATGAAATCCTGGATTTTTGTTTGCATTGAGTTGTTTCCAACTATTCGTTTCAGTTGTTTGATTTGGCCCTATTGAATGGCTAATCAATTATAATTGTAGGATTTGTGTACTGCGCAACAATACTCTGTGTTCTTCTTTATGGCTTTGACGAGTGCCTTTCAAAGTGGGGAGGCCGGAAGAGGCTAGCGGTCTTTGATTATATGTGTTCACATTCTATCTCCCATGTTAAGTGGCATAATATGGTGAGTAATATTAAGGTTCGGTGTGCAGTATTAGGCCAGTCAATCGATTGAGATGATTGCTACGCGTGTTATGCATCCCAAGTCGTCGCCTTCATCGTCAAGCATAGTTATTGGATCTCCACCGCCTCATCCAAACTGATAGATGCTAGAAGACTTATTCCGGCGAGCTCCGAATTCAATGAGGAGCGAAAGCTGCACAAGAGGAAACTTACGAAAAGTCTCCGCAAGGACCGTGAACAGTGGTGGGCGACAAAAGCCAAAGAGATGGAGAAAGCTTCGAGGATAGGCAACACCAGGCAACTCTTTAGACTCATCAGGGAAACGGGTGGGAGAAGACAAATCATTAGTGAGACAATCTCGGAAAAAAATGGCACTATAATTAGCTCCCAGGATAGACGACTGGATCGTTGGAAAGAGCATTATGAGGAGCAGTTTAATTGGCCCACAGCCACGCTCAACCTTCCGAGCATCCAACACCTCCCTGAATGGGATATAGACACAGGTCCTCCGTCCTAACTGAGGTTACTAAAGCTGTCACCAATCTGAAACTAGGCAAAGCAGCGGGACCTGATGGAATGACTCCAGAGGTATTTAAGTACGGTGGAGACAGCTTACTGTCTGGATTAACTGAGGTACTAGGCAGCGTCTGGGAATCAGAAGAAGTCCCATCGGGTTGGTGTAAGTCACTGATTATCCCCATATACAAGAAGGGAGACAAGTCTTCCTGTGATAATCACAGAGGGATTAGCTTGACTAATATAGTATCTAAAGTCTTAGGCTCAATAATCATGCGTAGACTGAGTGGTGCTCGGGAGGCACAAACACGAGAGAGCCAGGCAGGCTTTAGACCAGGAAGAGGGTGTATTGATCATATCTTCACCCTCCGACAGATTCTAGAACATAGGCATTCCTACCGGCGTCCAACAGTCATTATATTTCTTGACCTAAAGGCAGCATTCGACTCTGTCGATCGGAAGTTCTCTGGAGATGCTTGGCTGTAAAGGGAATTCCGAGAAAATATATTGCACTGATTAAGGCACTCTATTCGTACTCATACAGCCAGGTGAGGGCTTACGGCGAGCTGTCATCTGAACTGATGACGACCAGTGGTGTCCGTCAAGGATGCCCATTATCTCCTTTTCTATTCAACTTCATCATAGATGTGTTAATGGACTTAACCCTAGGTGACTTCAGCGACTCAGGGATTGACTTGCTACCGGGAATAATCTCGTTGACTTGGAATATGCAGACGATATAGTCCTTCTAGGCGAAGACGCTGACGAAATGCAGAGTCTTCTAAACACCTTGAGCCGCAATCTACGAATGTTTGGCATGCGATTCGCTCCCGCCAAATGCAAGATGATGTTACAGGACTGGACTACATCGACGCCTAGTTTAAAAATAGGAAGTGAAGTGGTAGAGCACGTTGACCGCTTCACTTATTTGGGAAGTACCATCAGCCCCAACGGGTTGATCTCTGACGAAATCTCAGCACGAATACAGGGGCTCGTTTCGCATTTGCCAGTTTACGCCGACTCTGGCGTAGACGAGATGTTCGACTATCGACCAAAGGGCGGGTGTACTGCTCATCAGTCCGCTCCGTCCTCCTTTATGGTTGTGAGACCTGGCCACTGAGAGTGGAAGACATGAAAAGACTAGCTGTCTTTGATCATAGGTGCCTGCGCTCTATTTCCCGTGTAAAGTGGCATAATAAGGTGAGCAACATTGAGGTTAGGCGTAGAGTTCTAGGTAAACAGGGGAAATCAATCGACGAAGTCGTGAAGTTACAAAGACTGAGATGGTTAGGACATGTGTTACGTATGCCAAGCCATCGCCTCCCTCGACGAGCAATGTTAGCGGATATAGGGTCAGGCTGGAAAAAAGCTAGCGGCGGTCAAACAAAAACTTGGCACCAGTCAATGAAATCCACAACAGTTGGTCTAAGCCACGTAGGAAGGTGTAGACTTCCAGGCTGGGGTCCTCGGGACGGTAAAAATCTATGGTTGGAAACAATTGGTGACATGGCTCAAAATCGTTCTCAGTGGCGCAGATGCATCCACTCCTTGTAACTTATGATCTCCAATGAAACTGTTTTGTTTTCTTTATTACTCCTTTGTCTCACACCTCTGCTCACTGTTTCAATTATGCTTTTCTTGTACTTTCTTATGGGGTTTGAACCCATTGGGTGCGTGCTGCCGATGATTCCCAAACTAGGATGAAACAGCTGTCCAGTACTCCGATGCTGGTTTTCAACAGTTTTCTAACTGATAACAATCCGTGATCAATCCGTAAAGTCCTACGTTGGAAAGTCAGTCAGTTAGTTAGTTAGTTTATAATTGTTGGTAATTGCATAGCTGCTGCAGAACTGAATGTAACAGTTAAAAGTGGTGGTGGATAACTACTGATTTCAGAAGGGTGAACCACTTCGTTTTATGTTGCTTGATTAATGGCGGCTACCAGTGGAGTCCAAGACGCACAGTTCGTCTGAAAAGCGACACTCATCCGGTAATGAGTCAAAGTATTATCCACTATGCTAATGCGTCAATTTGTTCTAATTTTCAGGATTTTTATTCCCCAAGTAGCTTTGTAAGCAATCAGTTATCCGATGGTGAATAGTGTTATTTATTCTCTGGGCTTCTAACCGCCCTGAGTAATTAGGAAAACTTTTTTGTTTGTTTGGGAATTCAGTTCTTACAGAAAAAGTAACTATATATACATTTCGACTCTGGAGGATTAGAAACTATCATTACATCTGAAATTTATTTATGTCTCATTTGTAAGTTGATGTCTGCAATATAGGTCCGGCAGATTTAGCATTACATTGAATCCCACTGAGTAGATAATTCATAGATCATTCAGTTCTCACCGTGCGTTGATTTGTCTTTAAGGTGGAGGCAATGTCACGCGTGTCTAGTTCTTGATTTTGATGCAGACTGAACTCTGTCAGTCAAGTTTACAATATCGTCACCAAGCTAGGTGCACTCTAAATCGATGTTACCTGGCTGGACCCTTGTTACGGTCCTGAATTTCGAATTTCAGAGATGACAAGAGTCCCTCCAAAAGTCTGGATACGCTTTGCTGACGAGTGTCAGGAAGTAGGAAATTTAGGTCCAAGGCTTCCTGCCGATTGTTGTATACCATCTAACAATCGCCTCTGTGTCTAGCTATAACTATCTTTCTAACGCTTGCATTCAAATCTGAAACAGTTTTTATGGAAAAAGACCCGATGGTCGTATCCATCAATATTAATGTATACTTGAAGTTAATTAATGGATGGTGACTAGCAGTGGAATCCAGGATGTGCATTTCGACCTTTTTGGGACTTTTGGGACATTCCCTAGTGAGTGATGGTGTTCCCACCAAGGCTCGAACCCAGTGCCAATAGTTTCAAATGCGAAGGAGTTATTCAGCATCGAAGCTTCTTCACAACCTGACACCGAGCACTTTGGTCTAATCAATAGACGGGAGAATTTGAATTGAATTAATTTAATGTGTACTGCCTAGGATTGCACTTTATTTAACGTATTGATTTCAAAATATGACTTCTAAATGTAGACAATATAAAATTTCGGTCGCAATGAAACCATTGAGTAAAGAGTGTTCGGTATAAAAACTCAAACTTCTAATAGAATTGCATGTGCACCACAGTTTTATGTTTGGCCCTAGGTGTATACTGTAGACAATTGGTTTATTAGCTGAAGTGATCAGTTTGCAACCAACAACCACAGGGTAGAGTCATGTTTCTCCCACTTCAGCCTGGGGTGCTGGGTAGTATTATGCGCTTTCTGTGAGGATAAGAGTGTCCCTTAGCCTCGGTACCTGTAACATCTGTTCTTGTTAATTCAGCGGAAATAACAACGACAGTAACAATAAACGGGCCTGTCAAACACACGATAATTACTAAGTGCTGAAACACACTGTAGTAACTTTCCATTGAAATTTCATGGATATCCAGACAGATATTTGTGAAACCAGTGTTATTAGGCTGGTAGTTAATATGTAGACAGATAACTAATGGTTGAAGGATTTCATCAGGAGCTGACTGATGTCGTCATCAGTTAGAAAACCATTGGAAAGCCAACAAGAACTACTGGACAGCTGTTTCGTCCTATTTCGGGACTCTTCAACGGCACACATACACCGCTAAGGTTAGAACCCAGCACCTTCCGGTTACAAAGCGGGCTCGTAGACCGTTAAGCCACCGGGGCTTGCCTATCCAACGGCCAGCCCATGAATTTTAACTTCTGCCAATTCATCACATAGCGTGATTACTTTGCAATGTTTTTTTCTGTGAGTTACTACCTCAACTTCAACCCGTTGTACCACACTGGTCACGACTTCCCACTAGAACTCCAGGTTAACTGTATGAATACTGCCAGTCGCGCTAGTGAGCATCAGGTCAATTTTCAAGTATTGGTTTGGTGGGGACGATGAAATCCTCCAACCAATCAAACAAAAATCCCTACAAAACCAATACTTGACAGATGAGACAATCGTTTATCTTTTTATGGTAATATGGTGAGATCGAGACGAGTTTGGTAATAAACCGTATGCGATTGGCCAGGTGTAGATATCCATTTATGGTTGTCTTCATTCACGCGTACAGTATTGGTCATATATATATATATATATATATATATACCATTGTCTTCTTCTGTAAAGAGACTGATACTGACCTATTTAATTTCCATCCCACGTCGTTGTTTGTTCTCGTCGAAGTAGATGGGGCTGGTGGGAACAGGTACTTGACGTATGTTGTTGGCGTAGCCAAGTGGTATTCGTGATTAGCGCGTTTGTCTCCAGCTAGACGTCCCTATTTCAATCTCAGTGTTATATCAAAATAATAAGGTCTCTCTCAACATCGTAACAGTGGCACGACAAAGGACGCTGATATTCTTCTGGCCTACACAAAAAACCAGCTTTTCTGCTTTTATTTTCAAAGTAAGCGTGTGCTTACTTATATAACTTAATTCAGTAGTAGAATGTAGTGCGAACAAAATTTCTGTAGAGCTCCACTATATTTTCTTTTTTGTTTATAAAGGATCGTCAAATTGATGACATTCTCTCAACCGCAAGTCAATGGAGTAAAGAAGACTTGAAGTCAAGAGTTACAGATGCTCTCATTGAAGAATTCGATCCCATTCGTAAACGAATTGATGAGTTAATGTATACAGATGATGGTCAATCTATTGTAACTGAGTGCCTAACATTCGGCGCAGAACAAGCCAATGAAGTGGCTTCGAAGCGCCTAGAATTGATTTATTCAACGATTGGCTGTAAACTACCATCTGGAAAGAGAAATTTCATGTCATCCTCTTATGTGAATACTATTAAAACTGGTACTGGAATATCAACCTGACTTTCAGTTTTCTTTCTTCGTTACTTCGCTTCCTTGTAGTATATCTTGAATACTCCTCTCTGTATGTGTATAAAATCACAACATTGTAGATAGCACTTTTTCTATACATATTATTTTATACGTTGTTGTATGATATCTTCGCCAAGCCCACCCCCCCACACCTTATTCCCTGATTAGTGCTGGTATATGATATCCCTTGTCTATAAACAGTTATTATGAATAATACAACTATTGTTAAATTACAAAATTCGTAAAATATAAGCGGTGATTAAATTCGGCACCTATAGGCTATAAGTCATCAGCAGTAATCAACTTCTAATATTTTATATTATTATTATTATTGTTATTGTTCCCTTGGGTTTCTAGTGGAACATAGGGCTTCAACTCCACGTCTCCACTTGCTTCTGTCTTCTGCTGCTGTACTTTTCACCTGCATCCATGTTAGTTCATACTGTTTCAACTCCTCTTCACACTATCTCCTCCATGTCACCTTGCACTGACGACCCACTCGCCGCTTCCCTTTCGGCCTGATTCCACTGGAGCAATGGCCTGACGCGCGCGCGATTCACACAACGGCCTCCTCAGCAAGTGTCCAATCCATCTCCACTTTCTCCTGCATATTTGTGACTCGCCCACCAAGTTTCTCATCCTTTCTGTATGGAAGAACTGATTGACTTGACGTTTGTATTGAAAATCCGATTGAATTTTGTTGTTGATGCTGAGTGATGAAGATTTCCAGATTGGTTTCAGGTTGATGAATGTGTTTCTCGCCTTCCCGATTCGATTCTGGATTTGACATCCTCATCCGTTTCGACTTCCCGTAGTTGAGAGGATGCTCCCTAGATAAGTGAAGTGAATGAAGTAACCTCTTTCAAATCCCTCCCGTTGATGGTGATTGGTGTTGAAAGTTGATGCTACTGTTGTTGTTGTTGTTGTCGGTTATTTTCATCACCTTTGTCTTGTCTATGTTCACCTGGAGTCCCGTCTTTGCTGGCCGCTTCTTCTACCAGTTTGTCGGTCGGCTTTCGCTTGTAAGTCTTCGATTTTGTGTCACATCAGACATAAATCGTCCACGCGCGAAATCCAGGTCTTCTAGGTTCTTCACGTTGGTCGGTCCAGGATATCCCTGTCTTTTCGTTTCCCACTCACTGTCTGACGCATAATCCAGTCTGTCTACCACAATTAGGAATATCATTGGTGATAATAAGCGCCCTTGTTTGACTCTTGTGTTTATTCCAAACGCCTCGCTGAGTTTTCCGTTGTGGATGACTTGACATGTGCCATTGTCGTACAGCTGTTGAATAAGGTTGATGAATAATTGGGGTACGCCGTAATACTCGAGTAATTCCCAAATTACTTCACGATCAACGCTGTCGAAGGCCTTCTCGAAGTCTAGAAAGTTGAGGTAGAGGTTTGATTGCCATTCCTTGCTTTGTTCTGTGATGATGATGTGTAGAGTTGCAATTTGGTCAGTACATGATTTGCCTTTCCTGAATCCAGCTTGTTCTGGTCGGAGTTCTGCATTCAGTTTGTCCTTAATTCTCTACGGGATGATGCGACTCAGAATTTTATGTGGCGTTGATAGGAGCATTATTCCTCGCCAGTTCTTGCAGAGTGAGGCGTTAGTCGCCCTTCTTTGGTAGTTTCACGAGGTGACCTCCCCTCCAGTCAGTAGGCACCTTTCCCTCTTTCGAGACCTTTTGCAATAATGGAGTTAGCATATTTGCTGTCATCTCTGGGTCCGCTTTTAGTGCTTCAGGGGGTATTCAATCTGGTCCAGCTGCTTTTCCACTTTTTAGAAGCTTGACTGCATTCAAGACTTCAACTTTCGTTGGTGTCAACTTACAGTTATGTACATGCTGTTGTTGGTATTTCTGGACGGGTTGCAGGTGGTGGTCGGTCCAAGAGTCTTTTGAAGTGATCTGCCCATTGTTCAATCTGTCTTTCTTCCATATATATATATATATATATATATATATATATATATATATATATATATATATATATATATATATATATATTAGAGTAGAACCAGAGATGAGGATCTAATTGAAAAGTAAATATTTCTTCGCTCAATCTTCTGTTTCCTGAATGTTTAAATGGGGATTTCTTTCTATATTTCATCAAATGGACTTGTTAAACTTATTACCTCGTATCCAGCTTAGGATAAAGCACACGTCTAACGCTAGTTCTACCGCTAAAAACAACTAAACGGACAAAGAAACTGTCAGTAGAGGCAACCAATATTCATGTAGTTCGTCGTTCGAAGCGAATATAATCAAGAATACAACGATCTATTCTGCAGTTATATAATAATTGACAGATAAATTTTTGAAAAAAAAGACAATATCAAGTTAACTGGTTAAATAGAATGTAACTGTTCAAGGATAAGAGTTTTTTGCATTCTTGGAATGATGAACACTGTGTTAAATCGTCCTAATTCGATACTGACTGTTTCATTCTGAAATGTTTAAAGGGAGAAGAAAGTGTAATTAAGTTATGTATGCTAGTTACATCAATGAACCAATCAGATGGTTATATCACTATCGCCTGACCGATAGCTGCTACCTTGGCGTGGTGGTCGGGCTTGCACATCGCGATGATCCAAAAAACTATACTGGCTGGAACCAATCTTCCTTTCTACCATACCAGGAAGTTTGTTAGGATAGCGATTAGACTAAAAGCAGTTACCGGCATAGTGTGAAATGGTATAATAAGGTGAGCAATATTGAGCTTAGGCTTCGGTGGAGTGGTAAGTAAGGGAGGGGGGGGCGAAATCAATCTACGAGGCTGTGAAATTACATTGACTGAGATGGTTAGGACATGTGTTACGTATGCATACCTAGCCATCGCCTTCCTCGACAATGGGTGATGTTAGCTGACATAGGATCAGGCTGGAAAAGAGCTAGCGGTGGTCAAATCAAAACATGGCTTCACCACTCAATGAAATCCACAACAGCCACGTAGAAATGTGTAGACTTCCTGGTTGGAGTCCTTGAGGTGGTAAAAACCAATGGCTGAAAACAGTAGGTGATATGGCTCAAAGTGATCGTTCTCAATGGCTGGCTGTGGTGCAGATGCATCCACTCCCTCTGATCTATGATTTCCAATGAAACTATATCGTTATTCTTTATTACTATTCCTTTGTCTCACACCACTGTTTACTGTCTCTATTATGCATTTCTTCTACTTTCTTCTCTTGCTTTGTGTGCTACATGGAGTATGGCGACTTGAACTGCTGCACATCCGTGCAAAGGGCGGGTGTACTGCTCATCAGTCCGCTCCGTCCTCCTTTATGGTTGTGAGACCTGGCCACTCAGAGTGGAAGACATGAAAAGACTAGCTGTCTTTGATCATAGGTGCCTGCGCTCTATTTCCCGTGTAAAGTGGCATAATAAGGTGAGCAACATTGAGGTTAGGCGTAGAGTTCTAGATAAACAGGGGAAATCAATCGACGAAGTCGTGAAGTTACAAAGACTGAGATGGTTAGGACATGTGTTACGTATGCCTATTCATCGCCTTCCTCGACGGGCAATGTTAACTGATATAGGGTCAGGCTGGAAAAAAGCTAGCGGCGGTCAAACAAAAACTTGGCCTCACCAGTCAATGAAATCCACAACAGTTGGTCTAAGCCACGTAGGAAGGTGTAGACTTCCTGACTGGTTGGGATCCTCGGGACGGTAAAAATCTATGGTTGGAAACAATTGGTGACATGGCTCAAAACCGTTCTCAGTGGCGCAGATGCATCCACTCCTTGTGACTTATGATCTTCAATGAAACTGTTTTGTTCTTCGTTATTACTCCTTTGTCTCACACCTCTGCTTGCTATCTCTATTATGCTTTTCTTGTGCTTTCTTCTCTTGCTTCGCGTGCTACACGGAGTGTGGTGACTTGAACTTCCGCACATTTGTGCAAAGTTCTATGTCGAAAACAAACAGACAGACATCCGTGCAAAGTTCTATGTCAAAAACAGACAGAGACAGATAAACACACATACTGGCTTATTTTGAACAGATAGTAGTGATTTCTCGGGTGTTGTTGTTAATCTGATAAATAGCCTGAACGTAACAGCGTAAAAATTTCAGTATATTATGGGGATTAAAAAGCAATCCTATTCACAGTAGAAAGTCATAGAGAATCTTCGTACAAATAGGTGACATTCGCTAACGTAAGACGAGCAGCCTGAACATTGGTAACCTTCTGGTCAGAGTCAAGTACATTACCGATGCATCTGAAGTAGTTTAACTTAGAGAGTAAATTTATTCACATCTATATTTCAGTCATTTAACTGGATAAAGTTAAGGTACCCTGAATCAAAGGAAACCCATTATTATTTATTATTGTGTCCTTTAGTTTCTAGAGGAACACACGACTTCAGCTACATGTCTCTATCGTATTCGCTTCTCCGCAAATGTTTTAACCTGATTCCACGTCTGCTCACAAGCTTTTATCTCCTCTTTGCATCACGTCTTCCATGTCGCCCTAGCACTGACGACCAACTCGCCGCTTCCCATTTGACCTCCACTTGAGTGATGACCTGGCGTGTGATGTCACTCACTTGATGGTTTGTTTTCTCAGAGTATGGCCAATCCAATCCACCTCCATTTCTTCCTGCATATTTGTTGCACAATTGGTTCCTGCTGGGTTGGTTCGTTCGTCGCCAGAGATCCCTGTTTATCATCTTTTCTGGCCGGCCATCTGATCTTGAGTAGTAATGAGTGAAGACAGCTGTTGATGGAGGTCTGTAGTTTGTTCGAAGTTCCCTTTGTGACGCGACGCCAAGTCCTCTGATCCATAAAGTAGCACTGACTTCACATTGGAGTTGAAAATCCGGATCTTATTTTTCATACTGAGTGTTGATCTTCACACAGACTTGAGAGTGATGAAAACGGTTTGCTTTTCTGATCCTCGCTTTGATATCCTCATCAGTTCCGCTGTAGTTGAAACGATGCTTCCCAGGTAGGTAGTTTGGTAGATAAAGGAGGCTTCTTCTTTCAGATTTCTCCCACTTATGCTGGCTGATTGTTGTCCGTTGTTGTTATTGTTGCCGTTGCTGTTGGCCAGGAATCTTCATCACAACATCTGTCTTCTCTACGTTCACCTGAAGTTCTATCTTCTCTGGATGCTTTGTTCTGCCAGCGTGTTGCTTTTCACTTGCATATCTTCCAATTTGTGGGAAATCAAACATATGTATGTCATCGGCGAAATACAGATCCTCCAAGTTTTTTGTATGGGTCCATTTAATGCCTGTCTCCTCGTTGTCCCTTGTCCTTCACATTTTCGAGTCAACCGCAATCAGGAAAATCATTGGAGATAGTAGACAGCCAGTTTGTATTACTCCCGTCTTCACTTCGATGGATTCCTCGAGTTTCCCGTTGTGGATTACTTGGCATGCAGCATTATCGTACAAAGTTCGATGAGATGTATAATTATTGGCAGCACAAGGAAACTCATGGGAATCTGTTAACCGACAGACAGAGGAAGAAAGAAGGTTTAAATGTTTTAAAACATCGCCCGCCCTCGTCCAAATAATCGAAACCTTGGAATGATATTTGTATCACTCTGAATAATGTAAAGCCAATTACTGGTACGCACCATGATGCTTAGATATTTCCTGAGACGAAATCAGGTATTCTTGTCTTAGAGAACAGTAATACTCACCTCCTGAAGATTAATTACTTCATCTAACTTGAACAGTTAGATGAAGATAAAGTCAAGTATTTCCTATGCCTACATCGCCCAGAATGAAGGTTTGTAATTGCCATACTGATAGTGGTATTATGTAATCTCGTTTATGGGAAGTATTTACGCGTCGGTGGTTGAGCGGTAGAATGCTTTCCATCCACATATTTAGTTTGGCTTTCTATCCCCAGCCGACGCACTCCTAAACCTCCCTAAGCCTCTGTGGTAAGGTCGGTGAAGAAGGAAGGTTAGGCGGAAGGATAAAAAGGAATAATATCACTGCTACTGAAACTTCAAAGTTCTATGTTGCACTTGAAACGTAAGGAAATAAAAATAATCCGAAATATTTATTTGCACAGTCTGTGTATATTGTCAAAACTTAAGTATACTAACTCTGAGAGGTTGTTAGCCTGCAGAAGAAAGTTCTTGTACTTTCTTCTCTTGCTTTGCGTGCTACACGGAGTGTGGCGACTTGAACTTCCTCACACTTGTGCAAAGTTCTATGTCGAAAACAGACAGACAGACAGCCTGCATCTTATCATTCAACGTTGATTGCTAACCTTTAGTCGACCGATTAGATTGTGGAGGTACGCGGTCGAGCATTCATGGCATTTGACACGCTGTCATGTTGCATTCGTTTGGTGGTGGTGTACGCAGTCTAGCTAGATAAGTAAACATCACTATTCTACCATTTCTGATGCCAAAATATATATTTCGTATTTTGGATAATCTATTTATGGCCTTAATTTGGCTTCTGAACAATACCCTAGTCTATGTATAACAAATAAATTAGCAGTTGAAGGGTATACACTTTCACTTGCATATAGGCACATCCTTTATCTCCCAGAAGTGTGACATGATGTGGTGGTATATACTTATACTTTGAAGGTCTGTGACAGCACTTCAAAAGGTGGTTTATGAACTAATTTTTTGGAAGGTGTTGGATAGCGATAGGAAGAGTCTAAAATTAGGATCAGCGTTTTAAGCCACCGGTTGCTGAGGTAGGAAGTGTGTTGTGTTTCAATTTAAGATTTATGTTGTTATGCGAATATGATAATTCCATATCTTTTATCTCACACACACCAAACAAACATCATTTAGGTGTTTTTCATAAATATTCTGTCGTATGATTTGAGGTAAAACAGTTCCAGTGTGGTACGATTTTGAGCACACATATGACACCAACCTTTCTCAACACGAATATCGTGTAAAAATACTTGGTTCTACTAACAAAAGAGTTTATTCCACCACTATCTGGCGATGAAATCATTAGGTCTAGAATTACTACCAGTTGAAAGCTGTCCACAGTATGAACACAGTAGTTATTCTACCAATAGCTTACTGACCAAAAAAACTCCGAAAAGCTCAGAAAAGTCAGTCAACAGATGATAAAGGCATGATAATAATCAGTAGGCCAGATAAAAGTGTGTGAGTAGTCGTAGGCTAGGAGGAGACTAAAAACCCGCTGACAGAAGTATAGAAAATGTGGAGTAATCTCTGAGGCTACCTGTTAATTCTCTTAAACTCACTAGGAAATATACATCAAGATTTTATGACCTAGCTAAATTATGTAGGCCAGGATTTTCCCTCTTCGCCCAGTTCTAGACATGTTCAATTCCGCCTACCGTGTAGCAATAAAGTGGCTATTTGCACTCTCGCAACCAGTACACAAAATAGTAGCAAATCACAATGTTAAAGACGTTGTCGAATTCACTGCCAATTTAGATTCTGTAAAATTAAATGGGATGGCAACATGCATAAAATTCATCATTAAAAATAATGCCAATTAATAAGTAAACGAACCTTTATTCCATATTTCTGTAACAAATATTATGTTATAAAAGAAGTCATTTAATACTTGTATAACACATTCCAAAATTTTAAAAATTTTTACTACAACTTGAAGCAAGATGCGAAGTGTTACATCACTGTCTTTCCAAGATGGAGTCTCTTTACTTTGCAAAACATCCAAATGTTTTATTGTGTAATTTACAGTTTCTTCAGTAGAAACCATCGTAATCTCATTAGAAATCAATTGATTGAATAGAATTTGTGAGGCACCGAAAGTTGATGGATAGACTTTTAGGAACAAAAGAAAAGTGTCCTGTCAGTTAACTTAGTGACCTAACAAGTTATTTGATCTGTAGTTTTCAACCAATAAATCTGGCACTATACAGTCGAATTAGTCAACCATTCGATAGACGTACATCAGTCCCATTAATATTCGTGTAAAACTTGAGCACTGTGATAGTAAGCAATTCCATATTAGTTTGTTTATTAGATATATCACACAGTGAGTGAAACAGTATTTTTTACTGGATTACGTTTCGAACAAAATATATTGTGATGGTTCGTAGGGATTTGATTGGTTTCAGGATTTCATCATGAGCTGACATTAGTTAGAGAACCATTAGAAAACCTGGGAATACTGGACAGCTGTTTCGTCCTAGTTTGGGACTCTTCATCAGTACGCATCCACCACTACGGTTCGAACCCAGGACCTTCCAGTTACAAGGCGAGCTCGTATACCATTAAGCCACTGGGACCCGATCCAATGGCCCATGAATTCTAATGGTATACGAGCTCGCCTTGTAACCGGAAGGTTCTGGGTTCGAATCCCGGTGGGTGCGTACTTCTGAAGAATCCCAAACTAGGAGGAAACAGCTGTCCAGTACTCCCAAGTTTTCCAATGGTTCTCTAACTAATGTCAGCTCATGATGAAATCCTGAAAATTTATTGTTCGTAATCATATCAACTGTAATCACACGACTTTGACACTTGAGTTTTATGGTTTTCTTTGTCCTCTCCTAAATAATGATAGTAGTGATAGTGATAATAATAATATTAATGACGACATGCATGTCAAATATGCGCTAGACAACACCAACAATAAGGAATATAAATCAACAGTGGTAGTTCCATACAAGGAAGGAACCTCTGAAATCTTACTCGGAATTATTAACAAGGCAGGAATAAAAGTGGCTGGCATTCAAACCAACCTCAAACTCAATTAGAAATAAGCTTTGTCGGTTAAAGCATCAATCATGTGGAGCCTTTAAAACAAAACAATTTAGTTTATCTCATACCCTGCCTGCAATGATTGTCAGGTCAAATACATAGGTCAAACTAGTAGAACAGGGTCAGTCAGACTAGCCGAACATAAAAACCTAGTAAAATCTAGATCGTTCGACTGAAACAAGATAAGAAATCTAGAGAATAGTTCAGCTATAGCACTATATGCAGTTACACACAACGATACAATAGGCTGGATGGAATAGGATGACAGTTTTAAAATCTAATGTCACAGGGTGGAGGGAGAGACTAATGACAGAGGAAGCTTTAATTGTCGAATCAACTGCAAATACATGTAATAGGAATGATTCAACACCTGTCCAGCCGGATATCTGGAAAGTTCTACTACCCCAACGACGACAACAAATAGGAGAAGACAAAGGAAACTATAAAACTCAAGTTTCAAAGTCGTGTGATTACAGTTGATATGATTACAAGCAATACCTTTTGTTCGAAACTGTGTCATCCAGTAAATAATACCGTTTCACTGTGTGATACATCTAATAAACAAACTAACATGGAAGTACATCCGTCCCGCATGGAATAACCAAGGTTGAAATCCAAGGAATACACATGAGGTATTTCAAGTTTAGATTTATGTTCTAACACAACACAACTTCCTACCGACTGGAATGTACCAAGATTTCTGAATGATAGTATCATTACCAGTCACCGAAAGCTGATAGAATAGATCAAGTTTATTCGAAGAGGAAGAGTAATACTAATGTCCTGCTTGAATATCCTTTATAACTCTACATAAGAAAAACAATTAACTGTTCTGATATGTATCTACTGTTATATACTCGTCGCTAAATTATTGTTATGTACTGGTCGAGAATTTAATAGTCCTGACGCAAGAAGGCGAAAATCAGAAGACCACTAGGTTTGCGATGATACTTCTATTTTCCAAACACAAGGAGAATGCAATAAGTGGTAACACACCAAAGTGGTAAGTAAGTAAAGTAGTTCACACAAATTGTGTGAGCGAAATATATACGAATGTTCAGACAAGGGTGTGAACAAATCATTAGACAGTCTTAACATGAATGGCTAATTATAATGAAGTATCGATCCATATATACATAGCGAAATATAGCAGATATGTCAACAACCACCATATATGGATATATGTCACCAAGCAACGAACTGTCAACAAACACTCATATTACATATAATATAAGGAGAATATACATTGTTAAAGGAGACAGGTTCATACAAGTGAAATGGTCACGGACTAAGCGAGCAAACAGAAAGAGAGACCAACATACACACACACACATAAATATATATATATGTGGATACATATCACCACACATCATGTGGATACATATCATGTTCACAATGATGTTCTATTCTCTGAACATTTTTCCTCACTAATTATTTAATAAAAATAAATGAGTATTGAAAGTTTCTCCTCTCTGCACTGAAATTTTACTGTGCTGATGTTTCGATGTCAACATAGGTAGTATTACTATTAATGCATATTCACACACTATCAAAACTAGAATAATCTTCAAGATTGATTATAGGAAATAATTACTCAGTGGTAAAATGAAAAAGCGGTTTCATATGATCTATGATCAAAATTTGACAGAATAGCTCAAAAATAATTCGGCGCCGTGTGAGAAGTAGATAATTGTAAAAATTATTGAATTGAATTTTTGATTTTCCCGTCGATTGATTCAATAATTCAATATGACCCGTTGCACAAGAGGTGGCTCTCGTGACCCAAGTGGTCTAGTGGATAACGCTTTGGCGTTTGAAACTATGGGCACTAGGTTCGAGCCTCGGTGGGAAAATCATAACTCACTGAGGAATGCAGGTACACTCAGATGACGAGCCCCAAACAGGACGGAATGCGCATCCTGGATTCCACTGCTAGCCACCATCCACCAATTGTATGTAAAAATTATTTGTTAAATCTCAGAGAAATTGATTTATAAGTAATTCCAAAGTTTTGTTCAGCAAACTGGTCTGAACTTCTTCAGAGAAAAAAAATCGAAGTTAAAATAACAGAAAGGGTACCAGTGAAAACCAGAGAGAACTGGACAGCTATTTCATCCTAGTTTGAGAATCACTGGTAGTATACACTCACTAGGGTTCAAACTCAGGAATTTCCGGTTACAACGCCAGCGAGCTCATATGCCATTCAGCCACTGTGACCCGATTCAATGGCCAGCACATGAATTCTAACTCCTACTAATTCGTGATTTAGTGCAACTGGCACCAACCAATGTCCTCGGTGGGAACTTCATCCTCACATTCGACTGGATGAACTTCACTGGTCACGACTTCTCACTGAAACTCCAGGAAACTCTGTCCTTTAGCAAGTTACTAGCGAGCATCAGATTTCCAGTGCTTCTCTACCTGATATGAATCCGTGGTCAAACTCGTATATAAATCTCTGTTATTTTAATTTCCATTAATTACAGGACTGGACTACATCGACGCCTAGTTTAAAAATAGGAAGTGAAGTGATAGAGCACGTTGACCGCTTCACTTATTTGGGAAGTACCATCAGCCAGCCCCAAGGGGTTGATCTCTGACGAAATCTCAGCACGAATACAGGGGGATCGTTTCGCATTTGCCAGTTCACGCCGACTCTGGCGTAGACGAGATGTTCGACTATCGACCAAAGGGCGGGTGTATTGCTCATCAGTCCTCTCCGTCCTCCTTTATGGTTGTGAGACCTGGCCACTCAGAGTGGAAGACATGAAAAGACTAGCTGTCTTTGATCATAGGTGCCTGCGCTCTATTTCCCGTGTGAAGTGGCATAATAAGGTGAGCAACATTGAGGTTAGGCGTCGAGTCCTAGGTAAACAGGGGAAATCAATCGACGAAGTCGTGAAGTTACAAAGACTGAGATGGTTAGGACATGTGTTACGTATGCCTATTCATCGCCTTCCTCGAAGGACGGGCAATGTTAACTGATATAGGGTCAGGCTGGAAAAAAGCTAGCGGCGGTCAAACAAAAACTTGGCCTCACCAGTCAATGAAATCCACAACAGTTGGTCTAAGCCACGTAGGAAGGTGTAGACTTCCTGACTGGTTGGGATCCTCGGGACGGTAAAAATCTATGGTTTGAAACAATTGGTGACATGGCTCAAAACCGTTCTCAGTGGCGCAGATGCATCCACTCCTTGTGACTTATGATCTTCAATGAAACTGTTTTGTTCTTCGTTATTACTATTCCTTTGTCTCACACCTCTACTCACTGTTTCTATTATGCTTTTCTTGTACTTTCTTCTCTTGCTTCGTGTGCTACACGGAGTGTGGCGACTTGAACTTCCGCAGATCGGTGCAAAGTTCTATATCGAAAACAGACAGACAGATTAATTTCCCTAAAGAAGTTCGTATCAGTTCGCCGAACGAAACGTTGGAATTACTTATATTTCAATTTCTCTGAGATTTTACAGATATAATTTTTACAAATAAAGAAGAGGTTATTGAGTGATAGATTTCAGCTTGATCAGTTTATCAATACAAACTACACCTGTTCGATCTCTGATACTTTTGTGTTAGATTTCTTTCAGAAAGCTATGCAAGGGAATTCAGTGTAATTTAAGTGGGGAGGAGAAAATATAAAACTTTTAAAACTCTGTTGCTTTGACAGGTCTGTGTCAGAAACAAGGGTCAACGGTAAGTTCACTGTACCGCTTTCTTAACCAAAACATCAGAGAACTCCTAAGTCTACTGATAGGAGAAAAGTCATATCAAAACCTCGATCACTATGACAACGATTCTGTTTGTGAGATTTTGAAAAAGTTCGGATCTGTTTCATCTCAAAAGTAGACAAAGAATTACTAGGGGTATTGAATTTCAATGATCAGATAGTGAAAAGACGTTTGAATTTAGATACTCTTTGTGATCAAATCAAAAGACTGATCGACTGAAAGACCGAAAACTTGAGATGAAAACACTAAACATCCATAGAAACGTGAAACAGTTGAAACCTAAAAGAACACTATCGTTATGGCAAAAACTAAAAAAAAACTAACAGAAATAAGGTAAAAAGTTTATCCCTAAATCAACTGGGCAAGAAAGTACAAGTTGACTCTTAAATATGAGATTTAACTTTCAGACAGATGAGAATTAGTCACACTTCGAAACAAATGTCAGTGTGGAGAAAAAATCGATAGGCATTACCTTGACATGGTGATCGGCTTTGCGTATTTCGATGACCTAACAGGCTACACGGGCTGAAAAATGATGTTCCTGGAGGTTCTACCATGCCAACAGATCATCTGGATGGTAGATGGACTAGAAGCAGGTGTTATTACTATAGTGTGATTTGTTTATACTTTGTTAGGGTTATGTGGGAAAATTCGAAAAGCTGTGGGCTAAGGATATAACAGCATTAAAGTGTTCTCTTCAGGTGTACATCAAGTCAGCTGTACTGTTTCTCTGCTTTGAGGAGCGGGTATTTAGAAAAGTTGGACTCAGAAAGTTGTTCTTGCCAACTTACCTGGTGGCAGTCCGTAGCCGGTAGTAAGATCTTAATACAGACATAACTTCAAAAATCAACTCAAATTGGGTTGTGTTCAACCTACTCCACCCAGCTATTCCTAAGACTCTGCTATTTCTGTTTTAGGTACTCCAAAAAGTGATTAACTTCCACTGTATGGTCAGCCAGGAAGTAATAGCCGCCCACACACACACACCTCCATAAACACACAAAGCTGATATTATATAACTGCAATGGTCTGACAGTCAGGAGTCAATAGTAATAGGAAAATAAGAAACAAAAGTTATTTTGACAATATTATCAATGAAATCTTACGACTTTAATCCGTCATTCCATCTGGGTAAAAAATAAATAAATAAATCACAGCATATTTTCATGTAGACAATCACCTTTCGAGGTTATAATAAAAAGGATTCTCACAGATTAGATTTTAATTCTGTCAGTAAGTAAACATTCTTGTAATGCAGTTCAAATATGTTGCCACTACTTGTGGTCTATGTGGAGATCAACAGCACTCAGAATCAAAAATAAGATCCGGATTTTCAACTCCAATGTGAAGTCAGTGCTACTATACGTATCAGAGACTTGACGCGTCATAAAGAGCATCTCAAACAAACTATTGACGTTCATTAACAGCTACCTTCGCTTAAAACTCAAGATTAGATACAAGGATCTCTGGCGATGAGCGAACCAACCCAGCAGGAACCGATTGTGCAACAAATATGCAGGAAGAAATGGATTTGGATTGGCCATACTTTGAGGAAACCAGCAAGCCATCGCTCGAGTGGAACCCGAAAGGGAATCGGCGAGTTGGTCGTTAGTGCAAGGGTGACTTGGAGGAGGTCATGTGAAGAGGAGATGAAAACATGTGGGCAGACTTGGAGCCAGGTGAAAACTCTAGGAGAGAACCGAACGCAGTGGAGACGCGCGGCTGAAGCCCTATGTTCCTCTAGGAACTAAAGGAAATAATAATGAAAATAACTTTTGTTCAGTTGGTTGACTCAACTACGAGAAATAGAGGCAATAATATTAAATAAAGCTTAACTAAAGTGGAGTAGGTCAATTAACCATTGACGTCGCCTAGTTTTATGTAATGTAAATATCTGATGTATTTTGTCAGATAAAGTCATCCTTTCTGTCACAGGACAGTTTACGTCTTCTTATATTTCCGTAACTTGGTGAAGCAGGAGGTATTTGTTGGGATGGGGAGATAGTTGTATTCAGTAAGGAGTTGTGTTACCTGTTGTGTTTACTGTCGTTTTATCTACAAATGTACCCACTCGGCCATATCACATAGAAACTGAAAGGGAATTGGTTACAGGATTTCATCGTGAGCTGACATTGGTTAGAGAACCATTAGAAAACCTGCCAGGGAGTACTGGACGGCCGTTTCGTCAGACTAGTTTGGGACTCTTCATCAGCACGGACCCACCACACCAGGGTTCGAACCCAGACCTTCTGATTACAAGGCCAGTGAGCTCGTAGACCATTAAGCCGCTGGGACCCGATCCAACGGCCCATGAATTCTAATGGTATACGAGCTCACTGGCCTTATAACCAGAAGGTCCTGGGTTCAAATGCTGACGGTGGGTGCGTACTGATGAAGAGTCCCAAACTAGGAAGAAACAGCTGTCCAGTACTCCTTGTTGGTTTTCCATTGGTCCTCTAACCAATGTCAGCTCATGATGAAATCCTGTAACGAATCAAATCCATACAAATCAACACTTGAAAGGAAATTCTTCTTTATCATTATTCAGATTCAGTTGCTGGCTGAAATTTCATGATACTGGCGTGCTTGATTTGTTTCTTCTGAGTCCAGCCTGTTCCCGGTCGAAGTTTTTCATCCGGAGTGTGTTTGATTCTCTCCAGAATGATGCATGATTATTAGTACGCGTCATACCAGTCTATGTCAAAATTCCGGCGGCATTATCCAATCTGAGCAGCAGCAGTAACCTTATGGCTCACTGCACCATCTTTGGGCCATGCACTGTGTACAATAACCGGCTAATTTCTATCACTTTGACTAGCTCTTTGCTGCCTATTAATTAGTTTCATATTCTGTATTAAGTTATTAATCGGATGTTTTGTATTTGCCTTTTCTCGCTTTTCAACCTTGTTAAATAACATAAAATAGGACGTAATCTTTTATATTCTTTACAGAAGAAGGACCACATTTTAGCAATTATAACAACTTACAGATTTTGTAGTTGGAAATTCCTAGAATCAAAATAAATCACATTTTTCACCATTAATTCTTTTTTTGTTTTGTTTATGTAATTCATTAATGGATGTCTTTTTAATGATTAGGTAAATATTGGGTATATATTTTATAACGAGGAACAAATACTGGTAATAAAACAGGATTTAATGATGGATTCATCCGATTTTCGGTGGGACTCTTCAGCTGCTCACCGCTTGACATACAGGGTTATATATACTACTGGAAATATATTGGAAGATATAAGATTGAGAAGCAAATAAACCACATTGAATTAATCATGCAAAACAACACATGCAGATATTTTTTTCAGGTCATGTTTAAATAGATAAGGGGAGGGGAGTATGAAAGATTCAAATTAAGATAAAATGCATTACGGCTGAATTACATCACTTAGACAAACAATTAGTCATTAGAGAAAGAACTTGAATATATCAAGAATTGCGAAGAGTAATATTAATAGTAACAGTTATAACAATAATAATAATGATGCTGAAACGATTCAGGATAATGCTACTGATAAAAGATGGTTTTAAATGAATCAGGAATAAAAATAAGAGGCCGAATAAAGTGTTGTTAACATTAATAAAAAACAGTTAATAAGTAAAACGTATTACCATGGTAGATTCAGAGTGACAACCATTTCTTTTTGTACACAGAGACCTGGCTTATAAACTCCAACTGCACAAGCCTCTGCAATTGCAAGCATGTTCTTGTTTGTTTGTCTGCTGACAACAGTGAATGACGTGACAGTGCATCGATATCATGTCTATAGTCCACAGGATGCTTTGTTATTGAGCTTTATGCTAATTTGGATTCAACCTTTTTCAATCACTCTGACAAATGCTCCACCATGTGATGAGTAGACAATCACCTTTCTGTACGTAAGACCTACATATTTGCTTTCGCAAACACACTCTAATTTTATAAATAATTCGATTAACCGACATTATTGGAAAACAAGCTGCCTAAGTTAGAATTCACAGGTGGTTGGATTCTAACCCAGTGATTGTAGTGTCTTGAGCTCAATCCCCGGTGGAATAGTTGGTGTACACTGCTCGAGATTAGCAGGCTAGGACGAGATATCTGTTCAGTACTCTCTGGTCCCCAGTAGTTCTTTAAATGGTGATTGTCTGTAACGGAATGATAGACTTTGTAGTGATTTCACTGATTATTGGTACTATCATCCCTTTTAGTGTTTGGGTTATTCTATCTCACTGTCTCTTGCTTATTAGATTATTTCTCTTCAGAATTTTTTTATTCAACTTCTTCTCTACCTTCTTCAGTGGATATTGGAATGATAAATAAATTAGTATTGATTCAGTGAAAACATTATTTTGCGTATTACATACATCGCTACTTATGAGTAGCATACTACATTGGCGGTGATAACAGCAAATTATATCAGTTATTTAGGCTGCGGATTCGAATAAACTGATATATTTTATATGCCATTTTTGAGCATTCGCATAATATGAAGGGAATATAACATATACTGGAGATATGTCTCCCTCCAATATTTTCAGAAGCTGCAAATGTGAACAACGGAGAATAGTTTTTTAGTAGAAACAAGAGATTCAGTGATAGAATGTCCGTCAGTCACATACATGGTCTGGGCTCGATTCCCGGCTGATGGATTCCTAGTCTGCCACTAGCTAGAAGTAAGCCGGTGAAAAAAGGTTGTTTGTGAAACTAGCAACACCACTACTAATAAAGCCTCTATACGTTTTAAATCCTTAAGTTCCACATGGAGCGTAAGAAATGAAAAAAAAGGGATGAACTGGAAAAGTAAGTGAAAACAGAGATAAAAGTGACAGCATTGTTTGTTTTTTATTTTTTTTTACATCCTCAGATAGTCGCTGCGCATCTCAAGCTTTCATAAAGCCAGCTTTGTATTCCCTTACATCCCCAGTGGAACATAGGACTTCAAGCAAGAGGCTTGAAGTTTCGGTAGCAATGGTGCTTATTTTTACGGGATAGGGTTGCTAGCCTCATGCCCAACCCTCCCTCATTACCAGTCATATTACTGGCTTAGCGAGGCAGAGGAGTGCGTTGGTGGCGGGAGATCGAATCCCGGGCTATCTGCTTGGTTAGCGAGCGTTTTACCTCTGTGCCACCGATGCACAACAAAGCCAGTAGCCAGAAAAAATTAAATAAATGCATCATAAAGTCATGGGAAATATTTAACCTTACTCTTTGTTCTTTTACATAGCCTATACGGTTTTGCTCGACCATCTTTCATAGTGAATGGAAAATGGTTTTGTATAGTATTTGGCTAAACGTTAAAAATTACAATCCTTCCTATCCCTTGTCTGAAGCAAACATTTATTTATCTCATCTGTACATTTTCTGGAAATACACGCGCCTGGAATTCTGAATTTCCTCCTAGACGGGAATCAACAACCAGATTAGCAAACCTGAAGTGAAGAAGAATCATCGGAAATGTACACCACGTGGACCAATGAATTACTTTACTACAATTGTGCCCAGTAAACGGAAATTTACCTTCAAGTAACTGTGTACTCTGATATTTTATTATTCTTCATTATTCTAACATACTTTTCGAGTATCTTTTGTTACTTTCGTGTAATTTGACATTATGTATCCCTACCAACCCTACAGAGAGGTCCACCGTTTTTGCAAATTCAGATTTATCCGGGCTGTATCACACTTATTTTTATTATTGCGTATTTCGTTGAATTTGTATCTTTGTCATGACTTCTTCGTCTACAGGTATACGTACGCTATTAGTTGACGGGGAAAATTGAGAGACACAGGGCTTCATGGTTCACGTGATTGTAGATTTAAGTTTATAATCTTACGGTTTCAGCAACCCAAGATTACGAAAGGCGCTCAATAAAGCAAGAGGAATACAGTCCCAAGTATCCAAGTACACATATGTAGTCGTGGTGTCACCTATAGAAGTAGATATGGAGAACTAGGGATTTCACGGATCACTGTCATTCAAAGTATTGTAACGTGATAAGGTCTTAAAAGTTTTTAAAAATGCTTAGCAAATAATAAGGTACAAAGTATAGGGAACCTATTAAACGATACTTACAGTTGCATTAGACTTCGATATCTATTTACAATAAATAGATTAGGGAATAATGCCAATGAGACACTAAATGATGGTCACTCTACATAACAAATTATCAGAAAACGGCAAGTTTTGCTTGACTCCATAATCATTTAGCATTTGGATGAGATTATATTGACGTCAATTAACTCGATAGTTGGGAATTTAACTTCAGATGGAGTTATGGGATCGCACTGATTGAAATATCTTAAAATAGAATACACTAAATGTGTCAGTGGTACTTAGAGTTTTGAAATTACTGCCTATCTTGTATAAAAAGATCTACAGTGCAACAACTCCTACGGAATAAATTTGAAATTACAGTAATGAATGGAAAAAAGTAAACTCTGGGTAAAATTAACCAGGGGAAACATGATTATGAATAAGGTAAGACGAAAGGAGTTGATTAAAATGTTTTTGAATAAATAACTTAAAAGTTCACCCTCGATTGATGGGGAGCTAAATTACTTGACTGAAAGAAAGCTGCTCATAAATAGAAGACTTCATTCCTTGTTGACCATGTTGTGCAAGCTGCACATTTCGGAGAACTTGAATACTTGCCTCATGTAATAAGCTGTGTGGCCACTGGTCTTCTTAACGAAAAAGAACCCAAAACTAGCGTTTGAAGCTCATTGTGGTTTTTTATCAAAACTTCTGTGCAGGACAATTAGCTGAGAAGGATACCTAAATGAAATTCAGCAATGCAAGTTTCTCCTGTGATTTCATTTGTACTTTTGCTTTGGAAATATGTCGAGTAACCTTTTTAGTGGTTTTTTAATTGTCAACATTGAAGAGTGTCAGGAACCTAATCCACATAAATGGCTGTAAGTATTCATTTACTTGTTAGATACATAACGGACACACACTTAGGCATAAAAAGTGAAATTTTCTTGTTTGTAGAGGTCACAAATATAATTTTTTAAAGTTTTTACTAAAAGTTATTACTTAAAGTTCGACAGATTTAGAGCATGGCATTCTGGCCAACTAACCTAGAGTACGTAACCTCCATACCTGATAAGATGATGGAGGTATATCCAAACACTCCGGTGAGCACCATATCTGGGGATAGTCAACAATCTCTTTCCACAATGTCTACCTCTGAGCGACCAGTGTCGTCTGACTTACAGTTATCTGTTTCATCGCCGGCATCATAAATAGCAGAACTAACAATGACCAACTGAGGTGTGACTGAAAGTTTGAGGCCATCAGAGTCACGGCCACTAAGAATCTCGTTCTCTTTAAAGCGATTTATGTCCCATTAAGCTATTTTATATTATAGACGGACCTGAGAGGGCTTCCTGCTACCTAGCTGATAAGCAGCAAGTGACTACTAGGGCATGTCTCATCGAATCCTGATGACCTATGAACAACTGCTGCGTTATATTTGACTTAGAGAAGGGAATGTCATTTTCCACTTTTTAAAAAAACTATACAAAAGTATATATCCGTCCTCTGTACCTCTATTACATTAGATCTTGAATTCCAATTGTAACTTATGGTAATACCAAAGGTAAGAGAATACATTTAGGATACTTTTTCATGTCATTGTGTGCTGTAAGCTGAATGAAGTAACGTTAACCCATAAGATACTGTAGTCAAGATGAACAAGTGAACCAGCCAGTTGTGAATACACAACAACACCAACAGCATCCTTCATCTGGCCTACATATTTCCAAATTTAAGATATATTTTTACGCGTTTCCATTTATTCTGATATTTCTCTCAAAAAGACATTGCTGATAAATTTTCAGTTTTGTTGAATTAAAAGTATAAAGTTATGAAGGTTAGCAAGTTGGCGATAAGACGGTAGAATTCACACCAGCCGAACATGTGGTCCGGGTTCGATTCCCGGCCGATACACCAATTATTAAACTTGTTTAGTTTACTGGCCAATATTCAATCTGAAAACGAGGAAAGATTGAGTTTCAGACCAGTGGCTGCGTCCTGTGAAAGTAACACCAGCGTAAGTGAAACTCTATAGTGTTGGTTTTGTAGAGATTTTGTGTTTGATTGTATGGAGGATTTCATCATGAGCTGACTGACATCAGTTAGAGAACCATTGGAAAACCAGCTGGGAGTACTGGACAGCTACTTCGTCCTAGTCTGGGACTCTTCATCAGTACGCACCCACCGTCAGCATTCGAACCCCGGACCTTCTGGTGACAAGGCGAGCTAGCTCGTAGTCCATTCAGCCACTGGGACCCGATCTAATGGTCTCTAAATTCTAACTTCTGCAAATTCATGACATAGCGCGACCACTTTGCAATGTCTTCTTCGATGAGTTACTGCCTCATCTTCAACGTGCTGTAACCTACTGGTCACGGCTTCCCACTAGAACCCCAGATTAACTGCCTGAACGAGGTCAGTTGCTAGTGAGCATCAGATTAATTTTCAAGTATTGGTTTTGTAGGGATTTTGTTTAATTGGTTAAAGGATTTCATCATCAGCTTATATCAATTAGATCAAAATTTGAAGTTTCCATGTTCCACTTAAAATGTTATCGATTTTTTCTTTCTGAGTTATCCTTAGTGTAGCCTCACGATATGATAATAAATGTCGTAGTCAGAAGTACTTTGTTCCTAGTTGGTAAAAGACAAAACTGTATCTTACATTTTGGAGAGACAGTCGCATCTAGAATAAAGAAAAGATGGACAGGTTTTCCGATAAACTAATCATCATAAATTATTCCATATCAACAGTTGTTAGAAAAAAAACACACTTGAGACTACCAGTATACGTATGCAATGTAAAAATTACTCGACAAATTTTTGTACAAGGTGTATTTTTTATCCGTGAAAGTTTGTTTAACTACATTTGTTCAAGTGTTATTATTCAACTGGAAAGACCCACGGATCATGGATTTAGCAATTATTAACAAGATAAAATGGTAACTGGTTCTTATGGCAGGCTTATCATCATTTATTCTCTTACTTTAGTTATGAATGTGAAAGTTTCGCACTTAATTACCAAATTTGTTTCTCGACAATCATGTGCAGGGTGTATCTGATACGTTCGGGCGACTTTCATCACTCAATATCTCAGTGAGTACTTCACTTCAAACTATTCAGGTCACAGGTGATACACCATAACATATAGATTGCTGCTTACTTCAACAGTGGTTGGCACTGATTTCATCGTGGGTTATGTAAAGATTCAAGATGAAATTTACTGATAGTTAACAAGAAGAACTACATCTGGGTCAAAATGGATTTTCACAAGATATATTTTTGATATTCATGTGTTGGTTTGTAGGGATTTGGTTGATTGGTTACAGGATTTTATCATGAGCTGACATTGGTTAGAGAACCATTGGAAAGCCTGTCAGGGAGTACTGGACAGCTGTTTCCTCCTAGTTCTGGACTCTTCAGTAGTACGCACCCACCACACCAGGGGTCGAACCCAGGACCTTCTGGTTATAAGGCCAGTGAGCTCGTATACCATTAAGCCACTGGGACCCGATCAAATGTAAGTAGGTTGGGTATGAACGTTTCTGGAGTCTACATGAACAGAGACAAGAGGAGTTTGAAAATATCTGATGCTGTATTTTATAAGAAAAGGTTCTGAAAGTTCAAAGATACTAGACATCTTTTTTACCCTCCCCATGTGTGACAATAAACTTGCTCTTACTCGAAACACCCATGAGTAACTGAGTCGAGGTCATTAAGCTTCGAGATGGCTCATAGGCACAGAACTTAGTATCCCATGATTTTATCTTCTATCAATTCGTTCAATTCCTACAATTTATGTAATTGAAATTTAGATTTTCCCGTTGATCAATTGGACCGAAACGCTTGGTCTCAGGTTGACATGTCGGCTTCTTCTGCAGATGCTTCAATGATATCTAGGCATGTAATTATAATTTAATTGGTGAATGTTGACTAGCAGTGGAATCCAGGATAAAGCTCATTTCGTCCTATTCGGGACTCGTCATCTGGATGTATCTGCATTACTCGGTGAGTGATGATGTTCCCACTGAGGCTCGAATCCAGTGCCCATAGTTTCAAACACCAAAATGTTATCCACTAGACCACTTGAGTCATGAGAGCCACCTCTTGTGATGTCTAGTGGACAAAGCTTTGGGGTTTGAAACTATAGGCACTGAATTCGAGCCCCGGTGGGAACGTCGTCACTCACCGGGCAATGCAGATACATCCAGATGACGAGTCCCAAACAGGACGAAATGCGCATTATGGATTCCACTGATAGTCATCATCCACGAATTAAATTCCTACAATTTACACTTACTCTAATTCCTTTCAGCTGAATTTTCTCAGACTTTACAAATCATTGCTCCTTATCAAGGCTGCAACATTATCAAAGTCAAAACCAGTTGCAAAACTGTCCTTTTCAACATCTCACGGACATGGCTTCGGTCCATCACACATCGACACATGCAGTTTCAAATTGAGACAATGAAGACGTTAAGTGGCTTTTGGAAACTGATGGTTCCATAGGTTTTTATCAGCGGTGAAATAATACCAATGAAATGGCTTAGATAAAATATTTCCTTAATAAAAATCACTCTTTGTCGACACTGTAAAAAATTAAAATATTCCAATCGAAAATAAGTTAAAAATTCCTGACTTTAATTATAACAACTTTCTTGCTGTTCCCTATTACCTTTAGTCCTCAGACTGACTTCTTTTCATTGGTAAATATGTCTGAAGACAGTATGGTTAGGCATTAATCATTCAATTATTCATTTGTGAAAGTTTGACCGTTTGATACATTGATAAATTTAGAATTTTTTGAAGGACAACAGGTAAAGAAATCTGGTCTTATTCTGCTTCATGGCAGTGTATATGTATTATGCATTTTTTAGTATTTTTATTCAGTAGAAAAAAACAGAAAATTAATAAAAGTTTCACTTTTATTAATTTGACCCTTGACCGGAAATTATTCTAAAACTTTCCCATCCATTTGATATAAATAAACAGAAAATTCTTGAAAACATACCCAGTACTGGAGCATATTAGGCTGTAGTAGAATAACATGATACATTATATATATTTATAGAACAAACGGTTTTGTTATTTCAACCTATTCTAATACGTCTGATTTAATGAGGGACATACACAGCAAAACACTCTTATGAAGGTTTTCAGTTCTTTCTTTTTTTTTCACATCATTAACAACAATCCTATGAATAGCAAAGCTTCTTTATCAACTGTTCTTCCAATTTTCAAGTTAAACATTAGGACATTATTAATTCCTTCACGTTCCCAGTGGAACATAGGGCTTCAAGCTAGAGGCTTGATATTTCTGTAGCAGCGGTGTTTATTCTTTCAGGATGAGGTAGCTAGCCTCATGCCCAACCTTTCCTCTTTACCAACGTTTTTTTCATTTATAGGTGAGCGAGGTAAATGAGTGCGTCGGTGACCGAAGACCGAACTTTGGACCATGTGCATGATCGGCGTGCGTCCTAACCGCTGTACCGCTGACGTATAGTTACTAGAGATTCGCGTGTCCATCGTTTTGTGGAGACAAATATTTCCATTTCATACTTAACGTTGTACTACTGACTTCTGAAGTGATAGATTTCGCGATCGATAATTTATTTTGATGATGATGACTCACAATATATATGATCGTCAGTTTATTGATGTAGCTACTTTGAATGATTGATTGGTTGATTGATTGACTGATTATAGGAGGCTTTTTCATTCCATTCATTCTGAGCGGAACATAGAGCTGTAGATCATCTTGAAGTTCTAATATCAGTGATAGTGCTTTTATAGGATGTGGGTTGCTAGCTTCATGCTCAACTTTCTCACTTTTCTGGACTTTCTACTGGCCACGAGAAGTGCAGTAGTTATGATTTGGAACCTGAACCTCCTTTGTCATTGAAAAGCATCCTATTATTGAACCACTGGAGTGTTATGAATATTTTCTTCACTCAACTGTCTCACTATGCATCGTGGTTTAGTTAAACAGTTTGATCCATCGAATGAGTGAAAGGTAATTGGCTTTTCTATGAGATCCAGATAGTCATTTTTTCATGTATGTGATCTTATTGAATTGTGTAAACGTAAGTTTCGATTGCAGTGTGCGTCGGTGGTGTAGCGGTTAGGACGTTTGCCGACCATGCCTATGGTCCGGGGTTCAACCCCCGGCCGGTGCACTCCTCTACCTCACTGAGCCAGAAATAATCCTGGTAAAGAGGAAAGGTTGGGCATGAGGCTAGCAACCCCATCCTGTAAAAATTAAACACTGCTACAGAAACTTCAAGCCACTGGCTTGGAGCCCTATGTTCCACTGGGAACGTGAAGGAAAAAAAAAGTTTCCATTGCATTTATGTATGGATAATAACATAAGTGATGTTGGATGCAGCTACTACGGAAAATAAGAAAGCCACTAACTTTATTCTGACTTCACATTGTGTAAATACCTGCTAAATAACCCTGTGTTTGCTTAGTCTTCAAACAAGTTAAAACCAGTTTAGGTAATTTTAAACCATCATGTCTAGTTAAATTATTTGTCATAATGAGATTAGACAACCTTGAAATTCAAACTGACAAAACCGGTTTGGTTAAGTAAGTTTCGGTCTAACTTTCGAAGTGGGCAATATATAATAGAGAAGATTTGTAGCTCAAGTGGATAATTTGTGATTAATACTGTTTTCTGAGATGGTTGGTTTAGTTGTGGAGCTTTCGTCATCCTTCTGGACAACATCTTCAGCGCGATTTTAGAATAAAGTGGAATGATTTAAATTTTGTATGAGTGATACAATTGCGTCTCCTGGGAAGCATCTTTACATATGTATTGACCATTTTCTATTGACTCGGATTTTAAATTTTCTGGTCACATGATTTACTTTTTATTAGTTGGTTTTTTTGGTTTATATTTAAGTGTTTGTTAATCGCATATTCGTTTGAGTACCAGGCTTCTAGGAATTCCCTGGCACTCTTTGTGTTTCATCTGTCTAAGATTTCGACATTATCCCCATCAAACTGATGCCTATAATTATCTATATGCATTGATATGAAAGAATACATATTGTGTCTTTTCACGGCTGATTTGTGTTCTTGGATTCTAATTCGAAGGGGGCGGCCACTGTGACCGATGTAATGCCTGTTACAGGTCATACAATTAATTTTGTAAATGGTTTTAATTTTATTTCCTTTTTTTATTTACAGCTTGATTCTACACTGTATTTTTGGTACAAGTATGGAATTTTCAGCATGGATATCGGTGGCCCAAATTTTGCAGACCGACCATAGATATCAGGTGTGCGTCGACGCGGGCTCGAACCTCGGACCATGTACATGGTCAGCGAGAGTCCTAACTTTTCTGTTGGATCTTTCGGTTTGCACAATAGTGAATGAAGTGACTGTGCTGGCTGGCTAGCTTGTGTGCTATATAACTATTTGAAACGGTTTCAGTATTCTAACTGTTATTTCAGAAATTTTTTTTTATATGGTACGATGAAGACCGATTGTACTCACTGTTCAGGAGTACTCTTTATTACGTCTTTATTTGTTTAGGCTTCAAGTGGTCAGAAGTGATTTAAAAATTAGTATTAGTATACAGTCTTCAGATGAGTTACTTAATTTCTTTTTGTGTCTAATTCTAGTCTCAGCATTATTATTGGTGTTGGTCAAAACAAACCATATGAAGATTTGGTGCTGTCATTGAACCCAAACATTAGCATCTTTATTGTTCAAAAGACATTCATTGTTGTTGATTTCTAATCAGATTCTTCCTAGTGTTGTCACATTTTTCTTCTTCATCTTCTTGAGTGGTTCTTTTATTGACAGAAAAATTATGATCGCTTCTTTCAGGACATTATTGCCCAATTTATTTATAATTTCCTTACGTTTTAAGGCATTGGTAGTACATCACCCTTTAACCCCATTCCCTGCAGTCGTTTTTACCTGACTCAGTGATTGTCTACATGCTTTCATTTATACCACACATGATCTCCTTCATATCATCCTTGGAGCCAACCACAACTCGTCACTTCCCACTTAAGTCCAACTCAAGGGCCTGGCGGATATGTCAACCAGTGGTTTCCTCAGTGTATGTTCATTCAATCTCCATTTCCTTCTCAGTTGGTTGGCTGCCAGAGCCCTTTGTTAATTATCCTTCTTGATCGACTACCTGTCCTTCAACAACGAGAGGAAAGAGGTATTGATGAAAGTCTTCAATAGCCTGTTAGAAATGCTTTCCGTTACGCGTGAGCTAAGTCTCTGGATTGTGTTGAAGATCCGGATCCTGTTGTTGTTAATGTTGAATACAGATGATTTCCAAACTGACTTCAGAGTAATGAAGGCCTTTCTCTTACTTTTCCGTACGTGGTTGGCTTTAATATCTTCTTCATCCGTGCCACCTGTAGTTCAAACCATGCTGACTAGATAAGGGAACGTATTCACCTGTTTCAAATCTCTCCCGCTGATGGTAACTGATGTTTGTTGTTGTTGTTGTTGGTTGTGTTTACGCCTGTAGATCTTCGAGTTTATGGCATTAAATATGATTACTGCGTATACTACTTATATCTTTCCATAAGTAGTACACACAACCACACGGGCTGTCCTATATATATATAATACTTTTATTAAATGGAATCACAAAATTAAAGACATTGTATAAAATAAGATAGTCCTAGTAGCTGGGAATGCGCTGAAATCGTTTTGCTCATCACTTACTCAGGTTTTCCTGCCTCCAGTGATTCTATAGGGCTAAAAACATATACAGAAAAACGATTACATTACGAAGTGTGTGTGCTTTATTTTACAAATCCCCGGGGATACTAAACCTTAGCTCCTCTTACGTGTTTATTTCAATCAAATCAAAGCTTCAGTGTCACCAGCTGATCACACCCGTTAGATATTTAGTTCTCAAAAAGGCAAAGTTATACGTCAGGTAACAAAGAGTAGAGAGCAAACCAGTGGACTTGGAACACAGCTGTGGAGCTGGAGGATAAATCTGGTCGTCTTACCTTAACCCTTGTCTTTTCTTAAACTAACCCTAATCTATCTCTATAATATGAACGCGATCTTAACGTGTCCATAGCCTAAGCCTTACCACAATCTTTGTGAAACCTGAGCTAAAACTAACCAGATATCCCACCCTTATTATGATAATACTTCATTCAGTATTTTGTTTTCTGTGAACTTTTAGGGTTATCGACCTGTTTCTATTCAGTTGCTGAGTGAGTGCTCCAAGGCCATAGGTGCTTCAGACACTTCGTTGGTGCCTAGTGAAAACTTCTCCCAAAAATATGTCAATCAGTTTATTTCACTTACAACATTTTTTGGAGTTCTTCGCTAATTTTATGATTTTGGAAAATAAAAATAGGTAAGTAACATTTATATACTATTAGTAAATAATAAACAGAATTGCGAAAAGCTAATTATCAAAATTTTACATGTATTGACAAAATATCCAGATGTGCATGCATCAGTTCACTTGCTCCTCTGGAGGTGTATGTACATAAGCTTTGTCGATAGAACACTGGCTAGACGTACACAAGAACATCTGTCAGTGTAGTTGTCAAAAAACACAGATTAGGTAAACCAATGTGCATGGGTTAGTTCAATGAACGTGTGTGCTCGCTAACCACGTAAGTGATCCGGTGTTCGATTTCTGACCAACATACTCCTAGCCCACCTAGCCGGGAAATGGGGGGATGGTTAAACCTTCGGCTACCAACTGCACTCTGTGAAAATAACATCACAGCTGTTGACGCCTGAAGCCCAAAGCTTCAATCCAAATATTCCGCGGCTTTGATGAGATGTTGCGAAAAGAATATCGTTCACAGACCTAAGCCTTTTAAAGTCTTTATATATATATATATAGTTTGATATTTTACCTTAGCAAATGTATTATAATCAGGTATGTTGTAAGTTGGTTAGTTGAGAAACCTAGAAAACATTGATCGGTCCATTTCTATCCTTCCGTATGAAGTGTTTACCGTCTATCTTGATATCTGTTCCTGTTGAAATCAAGTCGATTAAATTACAGGTGCACTTTGATAAATGATTATTATTATCATTATTGTTCCCTTGGGTTCCTAGTGGAACATAGGGCTTCAACTCCATGTCTCCACTTGCTTCTATCTTCTGCTGCTGTACTTTTCACCTGCATCCATGTTAGTCCATACTCTTTCAACTCCTCTTCACAAGATCTCCTCCATGTCACCTTGCACTGACGTCCCACTCGCCGCTTCCCTTTCGGGTTCCACTCGATCAATGGCCTGACGCGCGCGCGATGTCACCCAGCGGGCCTCCTCAACGAGTGTCCAATCCATCTCCACTTTCTTCTGCATATTTCTTGGGCGATTGGTGTGTTCTTGTTTTGTTTGTTCCCAGTCATAGTTTCTTGTTGGTGATTCTTTCCGGCCCGGTCATCTGACCTTCAGTATAGATCCAGCGAAGACAGTTTTTGGTTGATGAAAGTCTGCAACAGGCTGTTGTAAATCTTCTTTGTGACCCGCCCGCCAAGTTTCTGACCCGTGTAGAAAAACTGACTGACTTGACGTTTGTATTGAAAATCCGATCGAATTTTGTTGTTGATGCTGAGTGACGAAGATTTCCAGATTGGTTTCAGTAAGATTGATGAATGTGTTTCTCGCCTTACCGATTCGATTTTCGATTTGACATCCTCGTCCGTTCCTCCTGTAGTTGAGACAATGCTCATTGCTAGATAAGTGAATGAATGAAGTGACCTCTTTCAAATCCCTCCCGTTGATGGTGATTGGTGTTGGATGTTGATGCTGTTGTTGTTGTTGGTTGGTTATTTTCATAATCTCCGTCTTGTCTATGTTCACCTGGAGTCCCGTCTTCGCTGGCCACTTCTTCTACCAGTTTGTCGGTCGGTTTTCGCTTGTAAGTCTTCGATTTTGTGTCACATCAAACATAAATCATTCACGAGCGAAATCCAGGTCTTTTAGGTTCTTCACGTTGGTCGGTTCACGATATCCCTGTCTACTCGCTCCCCACTCTCTGACGCATAATCCAGTCAGTCCGCCACAATTAGGAATATCATTGGTGATAATAATCACCCTTGTCTGACTCTTGTGTTCACTCCAAATGCCTCACTGCGTGAGTTTTCCGTTGTGGATCACTTGACATGTGTCGTTGTCGTACAGCTATTGAATAAGTTTGATGAATATTTGGGGCACTGTACGCCGTAGTACTCGAGTAGTTTCCAAAATACTTCGCGGTCAACGCTGTCTGTCGAAAGCATTTTCAAAGTCTATAAAGTTGAGGCAGAGGTTTGATTGCCATTCCATGCTTTGTTCTGTGATGATGATGCGTAGAGTTGCAATTTTGTCAGTACATGATTTGCCTTTCCTGAATACAGCTTGTTCTGGTGAGGCGGAGTTCTGTATACAGTGCGTCCCTTATTCTCTCCAGGATGATGCGACTCAGGGTTTTACTTAGCGTCGACAGAAGCATGATTCCCGCGAGTTTTCGCCGAGTCTTAAGTCGTCCTTGTTTGGTAGTTTCACGAGGAGTAAAGTGTATAATTCTTTTGAAATAGTATTCTAAATTAAGCGTGTTGTCAGTATTTTTGTAATACGTACAACGCTTATTGAAAGTGTGAATATGCTCACTTCAATTTGCAGTAACGGCACTATCATTCCCTCTAATAATATAGGTATCTTCAAACGACAAAACCTGAGCAGTGTGACACCCAAACCATTGATTCCGTCAGTACAGTAAACAATACGCAGAAAACATATTTCACTTATATGTTATACTGGGGACTGCATTATAGTTGAATAACCTTAATTTTTAGGGGAAATATTGTTATGTGAGGCTTTTGATAGATACTTAATTGTTCTTAGTAGTTGCAGAGTCAGAGTGTTTGTAGTCTTAAAATCGAAGATAAGATTATATATTCACTTACAGGTCTTTGAGATAAATTTGACTAAAATAAAAAAATAATTTGTAGTTTATATATTTAGTACCCATTTTATTTTATTCAACATTTTGTTTGTGATATTTAATACTGTTTTTCTTTTATTCCATTACGTTCCTAGTGAAACATAGGACTTCAGGTTAGAAGCTTGAAGTTTCGGGGACAGTGATGTTTATTATTTTTTGGGGGGGGATCAGGTTGCTGGCTTCATGTCCAACCTTCCCTCTTTACTAGTCATTACTGGCTCAGTAAACTAAGGGAGTGCGTTGGTGGCCATGTATTGACCCCCGAATCACATGCGTGGTTGACGGGCATTCTACCACTGTGCCACCGACGCAATGTACTTTAGCATTGAGGGATTAAGACCATGAAAGTTGGAGGGGTTGAACGAACGTTTTCTGTACACAGAGATCTGGCTTTTCTGTTTCGATGCTAAAGTATGGTAATCCCCAATCATATTTTAGTTCTACCACTTTTTCATTTTGTCTATTCAATTTGTATACTCTTTCTTTAATTGGGTCAATTGTTACTACTCTCACTTTGAACTGTCCACGGTATTATTTCACTTGTTCCACTTGTCATTCTAAATCAATTCTTTTTTACAACGATAAATTCTATACTCTTGAATTTCACGCAATATTACGTAACGTTTTTATTTTATTCGATTCGTCTACTAATCCTATAATTGCACACCCTTTTTCAAGTTCTATCCATCCTATGAATTATTCTATATATGACATTAATTTGATTTGCCACTTGACATTTAACTACGATTTAAGACATTGTTAATGATAGTATCAATGATTCTTTAAGTATTATGGATATATATAACTGTAGAACCTGGTGAAGTTATCGAAAAAAATATGGAATTGTATGAGTTATAGAATAGCGACTAAAACAACGTGATAAACTTGTGAGAAAGCTAAAAATCTTTTGGTGTCTTAAGCCAATCAGTTTAAACCACGTTCGACTACATCCTTTAAGCATTTCCGATCCACATGTATGTAAATTTTAGATTCAAGATTTGATTTCCAAAACTGATCGGTGAGAAAATAGTTTTCATCAGAAATCTAAGACATTTATAAAATCACAGAACACTAGGAACCGGTTGAAATTTATTTCATTCCATTACGGATTTCTTTTTTCAGTGAATACACATCGTGTGTATGAGTGTGAGGGCACATTATCTATCATTCACCCAATTGGTTGAAGTTCATCAGCTCAAGGTGTTTATTTTTCCCCAGACAAGAGTGATTCATAAAAGCTGGCAGAATGATATGTCTGACTGTTGGGCTCTACCTTATATACAGTAGAGAGTGTCCATTCACATGTAACAATAGCTTTATTCTGAACAATATGTGTAAAATATACAGAATTTTCAGTGGAGTTTATTGTATGACATTTTCTCTTTGTCCAGGATCTTCAAATAAAACACCAATTGACAGTAGATCGTGTGACATAGTTCTATCTGACCTGAAGAGCAAACCAATGCATTATGATATCTCTTCTGTTCCTCCTTCAAGAAATTCCAGACATTTGCTTGAATGCCAATTATAAAACATTCAGGAGTACATTTTATGAACCAATGACACCTCTCAGCAACGATTATCTCAAGTATTCGGATAAGGTGCCATCGAGGATAATACTCTTTCACGTGTTTATTAGAAACTTGTGAATTGAAGGGTTGTGAATGTTTTCAATACGCGCCAGAATAAAAACATTGTTAGAGGTCATATTTTGTTAAATTTAAACAAAGCCAACAAGAGGAACTATATGCAATATATGAATGAAGGTCTCTTGGTAGCCCAGATTTTAAGCTGGCCGCCCATAATGTATGTAACATAAAACTCTGAGAAACTAGAATCAAAAATATTACTGAAAAAAAAACAAATAAAAAGCGATAATGTTGACACTGACGTACATATCACTTTCAGGCTTCCTGTCAAGAAAGAATAAATAATAAAAGGTTTTGAAACCATTAAACTAAAAACTTTCAACAAATGAATACAAATTCAAAGCAGTTGACTGACATTATTGATAATTGATCAAGAACTTTATCAGCTATTTATTCAGAATATAACTGATTTCTTGTTTATTCCAAAGTGTATTGATGAAGTTTTATCGATCAAGTGTCTTTTATAGCTGCCAACTTGAGTATCAGGACAACATTGATAAATTTAGCATTTCATGTAAGCGCGAAATTCCTAACAACTATTCAGATAAGGTGCTGCAGGATAGTGTGGGCACGTGATCTGAAATTTTACTACGTGTGTATCAGTGTACAATATAATACGCATTACAAACATCAGTAAAGTATATTTCTTTATGTTAACTGAAGGTGTTTTTTATACATTTTATCACTGTACATCGGTCGTTCAGTGATAGAATGGTCGTCAACCTCACACCTGATACGGGGTTCAGTTACTGGTCAGTGAACTCCTTAACCTTCCCTAGTTTATTGGCTCTTAGTGAGCTCAAAAAGAAGGAGAGATTTGGCATGAAGCAACTGAAAATTCAAGGCTCCAAGGTTGAAGTTGTCAAGAAATGAAGAACTCCTGCAGTCAGTTCAACTACATCTATCTAGTCGATAGTTAGCTTGAAAATTATTTGATGTTACTTTCTCTACAAGTATAAGAATCCTTAACAGAAATCTGGTGCTCATATTAAGGTCCAGAAAGAATAAGGACTTAAACAGAACTTCGCTAAAAAAAGCTTTGATATTAGGTGCAATGTACAACCACCTGTGTGAATAAAAAAAAGTTAATTTATTTATTCAAATTTCGGTCTGATTTCAGATAAAAATATCAAAATAACAATATTTCGTTGCTATCGTGCCCCTGTGACAATTTTGTATCGCTGACTCTTTCTTAAGATGTAAGCGTCACTGGTTATAAACTGTTTAAACGTGTTTTCCTAAGTCATTTAAGGCATATATAATTAGCGTTGCTGTCAACTGTGTGAGACAGTAAGACCTGTGATGTTGACGACCCCTCTTATCTCCTTGTTTTCCTGTGTCGATGGTATTTTTATTGTGGTAGAGGTGGTTGTCGATGTTCAGATTAGCTATCAGAGTTGTTTTCATTAGCTGATAAGGTTTATATTGCTCATAGTCTGCCTGCCAATCATATCAGTAGAATATGGTGTTAATTCAGTAGAAGCGGGTGAAAAAAATTCAAATCTTGTGCAATAGATAAACATACGGTTTATGTTTTGATGTGCTGTAAAAATATAGTAAGTATAGTTATCATTCCGTTAAGTATTTTTATTTATGCAAAGGTAATCAAGAAATACAGTCAGCAAAAAGGGTGAGTTTTTGACAAATAAAATCGATATACTTTGATATTATTCCTAAAACTCTAGAATTTCGTCTTTCTAGGGATAATCAAATTATAATGGCGTCTTAAATGATATAGAAAATTCGTCCTACCATATATGAAGACCATCTGCAAAATCACTATAAGACTGCTGAGATCTTGTGGAATAAATTTCACCAATGAATCGACACAATCACCTCAAGTATTGGTTTTGTAGATATTTAATTGACTGGTTAAAGGATTTCATCATGAGCTTCCAGGTTTATCAAAGGTTCTCTCACCGATGTCTTTACAAAACCAATACTTGAAAACTGATAAGGTGCTCACTAGTGACTGGCCATATTCAGGCAGTTAACCTGGGGTTCTAGTGGGAAGCCGTGACCAGTAGGGTACAGAAGGTTGAAGATGAGGCAGTAACTCATCGAGAAGACATTGTGAATTGGTCGTGCTAAGTCACGAATTTGCAGAAGTTAGAATCCAAAGACCATTGGATCGGGTCCCAGTGGCTCAATGGTCTACAAGATAGCTTGCCTTGTAACCAGAAGGTCCTGGGTTTGAATGCTGATGCTGGGTGCGTACCGATGAAGAGTCCCAAACTAGCCTGACGAAACAGCTGTCCAGTACTCCTTGTTGGTTTTCCAATGGTTCTCTAACCAATATCATCTCATGATGAAATCCTCCATATAATCACCTCAGTTTATACAATGTTAACCAAAAGATCCAACAGTAAAAGAAGACGGTACGAACATAATCTACTTGGTAAATAATAACAATTCTGGGAAAGCCTTATACTGACCACAGTGGATGTCTTTTTATTTTTCTCATATACGACTATAAAATGCCTACTGAATGACGCGTTATCCATTCCCAGATATCAAAACTTCATACTGCCATCTAGGGAAAGCAGTTTGACAAGGAAAATGTACAAATATTAGGCGAGTGAAGCATCAAGAATGCCAAAAAACCCCTGGAAATCTGACACTCAGACGTATTTGGAGTCTACAGACACTACAGAGACTGTCTTCGGAAACAGTCAGTCAAGTTCAAGGTCATCGGGGTAGACAATTGCTGCAGTTATGGAGAATACTCAAAGCCAACTTCATATACCATTCACCTTATATAAGATAACAACGCAAACGTTAAATCTCAAGCTTGCTAACCAATGGAACTATGGGAATATGAGACACTTGTCAAATTTTGATGTGGATTTCTAGGTGAAGTAACAACGGTTTCTAGGAAGTGAATAAGATGCGTTTAATTGTCTTTTTTACTGAGGTTAAATGCTCTGTCGTATAAATAACCATAACAAAAACTTCACAAATTTGATAAACAAAGTTTAAAAAGCCCTTAAAATTTACACATACATACATATAATAGTCAGTTTCCAGTGTTTTGAATCGAATACCTGTGTACCTGCTTGCATTAACAACCTCCCCTGTCAGGATACAATTTCGTGTGCTATTCATGATGATGTACCAAAGGAAGTTAAACACCTGTAGTACTATTGATTTATTAAGAGTTTCTGATCTGATAAACACCAGGGAGAATATATCATCTTTGAGTGAAATGCTGATCACTTCAGGTGTTTATCTCTTCTAGGAACAATCTGTTTCTAATATTTGTTTTCTTAACACCATCAACTTGCAATCCAGTCCTCCGACTTATTTCCCATGAGTCATTCCAAAACGTCCTCTGTGTAAGGCACAAATAGATATTTCAAGCAGACTTGTCATTTGTTCATTAGTGATTTGTAGAAGACCTAGTCAGTTTATGTCTGAATTCCCTGACTCCATTCAAGTGCTTTTTTTCTCTAGTATTATCACTACTTTTACTTCTTCATTTTATTCGTCACTTGCTGATTTCCATCTTTGCCTCTTAGCCTATTTTCTGGATCACTGCACAATATGCATCTGGTTTGAGAAAGTCACTATTACATTTCCGAATATATAACGTAAAAGCACACAACTTTGACGCTTGAGTTCGTCAAAAACTGGAAACAAGTGAGAGAAGTGTTGGAAGCTAAGGACACGCTTTACATCCTAGTTTTGCTCCTCATTATAGACAACTGGCACTGAAGAGTATCGCAGTATAACAAAATATTTTTTTAACACAGTACTTCTAAGTGTCGAGTAGAATGAATGGGGATATTAAAGCAAGATAGGACCAAGATATTAAAACAGTTTGTCAGTAATCTGAAATCAGTGCGGAAATTCATAGTACATAGCAGAGGGTACAAGACACTTGATTCTTAAATCATAACGTCAAGTCAGTGATTCTGTATGACTCAAAGGGTCGTTGCACACGTAATCAAAAGCATTTCCAACGGGCTACTGAAGACTTTCATCAAAGTCTGCCTTTGCTTGATACTGAGGATCATATGTCTGAAAGGTACAACTGACAAGGAACTGCAGCCTAACAAACATACAGAAAGAGATTAAGGTGGATTGGGCATACACACACTCGACCCTCGAGTTGTATCCAAATGTGAAGCAACGATTTAGGCGTGTTTCATAAGGGTGACATGAAGAAGATGATACGAAGAGGAAATGAAAGCGTGTGGGACAGTTATGAAGTCAATGGTTGCTACTGTCGAGAATCTAGTGGTATTAAGTTATGCTACCAGAAGCCCTCTGGCCTCCTACTCTTAACCCTGAAAACTAATAATAATGATGATAAAAAACAATTAACTATTAATAATTATCCCCTGACTGATATGAATTCATGGTGAGATCATCTTCACAAATATCTACACTTTTTTATTAAACTTACAAAGATTTTGATCGGTCTTTGCTAAAGATAAAAAATAATCAAAATAAAAACTTTCAGGTTTTAGTTTTAAAACGAACACCTTTTGGATTTACAATCATTTTTTTAGCTAGGAGAATACCAAATATAGTTGGCCATAAGTGTCTACTGGCCATAAAACAGATTTCGACCATAATTTTCTTCAAAGTAAACTAGAAAATGGACCTTTGAACAACCACCTCATCAGAAAGTTCTCATTTTATTACAGGTATATGTAATAACGCCCTTATTCCTTGTGATGATGATTCGAATCCGGACACAATGACAACTCAATTCAATGAAATACATTCTGCTATGAAATTCACGTGTGGAAAGAGGAATCGGAAAATAGAATTGCCTTCCTAGATATCCCCCTCACACGATGGTAATATAAAGAGAAATTGGCATAGGAAAAGCACACGAACGGGACAGTATACACATTTTCATAACTTCGTTCCTCTCAAGTACAGAAGGAATTTAGTAAGGATCGTCAGTCGCAGTGTTAGAGCTATATGCTCAAAAGGCGTAATTGAAGATAGACTAAGGATTGTGTATGACACCCTAATTGAACAGGGCTATCAAGAAAAGTTCATCAAGAAACTCATGACCAAGAAAGTAGGAAAGCACTATTCTCCATCAGTAAATAAGAAGCCTTTATATATATTCGATTTCAATTCAAAGGTGATGCACCTAGTAAAATAATTGCTAACAAGTTAAGTAAATCTGTTTAGAGAAATTTCACTGCTGGAGAGAATACAAAAATAGTTGGCCCTACTGGCCATAAAACAGATTTTGACAATTGTGAAAACCTGACTGATAGAATTCAGTCTACACCAATCAGAGGACTAGACGCATCACACTAGTTACTAGTGTCAAATCAAAATATCCACTACAGATCTACAGGAGGTCTATCGTGAGCCCGAATAGCTCAGTGATAACGTCTCTGACTGCAGGCGGCACTGGGTGACGCGGGTTGGAATCTCAGAAGAGACATAAGTTCCTTCAAGGTGAATGCAGATACGCCTTGCTGACTGTCGAGTGCCAACTAGCACAAAACCCAGGTCAGGCAACGCTTCCTGTGGCCGACTGCCTCCAACCATCTAATACCGTCAAATCAATGTGCACCATGATGGCGAGCTGGCTAGAATGGTGATCACATTACAATCTGACTGATAGAATTCAGTCTACACCAATCAGAGGACTAGACGCATCACACTAGTTATTAGTGTCAAGTCAAAATCGTGAAATCATTCAGAAAGATTGCAAAAATCATAAAGAACGTTTCATCTTAGAGGTAATTCATTCTATCTGAAATCCGAATCGTCTAAACATGAATGACGGATTATAACACAATTTGACCTGGTTCTGAAACTGCCACCTCCGGCTCATGAAGTGACCGAATCAACAGACTTATAATAAGCGATTTCATTATGAGAATACATGTCGTATGAATATTGTCATACACTCATCAAATCTAACAATCGATATATGGTTTGTTATCTTCATCAGTTCCCATTCACTTTCCAGAGTAGAAAGTCATCTTATATTGAAAGTTTACGGTTAAGTTACTGTATATCTTATCTCAGATTTTGTAAGCTCTGGTTTAATATTACTTTGATAAAGGTATTATAACAGTGGTTAAGATAGCAAGGTATCTTCACTCACAGTAGTTCTATATGTCTATCACTAAAATGAAATAATAAATCACTCAGTGAATACTGAAAGAAGTGGCCGTGTAGGCGTAACATCAAGACACGGAGGTATTAGGCAGTAGACTTCAACATTTGTCAAGCTGATATGCAGTTGTCACAAAATGCACATACGATACATTCCGAAAATTCCGTTTGTACCAGTAGTCCGTAGTCTACTTCGTTTATCTTCTCTTCTAGCTCTACGCATTGTTCAACAAGGATGTTCCATTTCTCCTCTTCGAAACTTCACCCATTTCCTTGCTATTCAAAATTCTTTTAAACAAAATATACTACTTTTAAATTCTTGTTAGTAGCCCATACAATCATTTTGCACCTGAACAAAATATTTTTTACACCTTCCATTGTTCTCTTATTCAATGCTAGAATAAACTATCAACTACCAGTAGACCCTGGGGAAAGTATTTGTTTAAAGGATCTTTTGATTTGCATTTAATATCCGTACTGATAAGAACCCGGATGTAGGTTTTAATCTCTGACGAGATATCACTTATTTTAAGGTCACACATACCGCTTTATGACGTGGACGAGTGGGTACGAATCCAAGGGTTCAGGGTTTTTTCTTCCGACTGCCTCGAAACACCTCACATGTTCAGTGGCATATGTACACTTTATAACTTGTGATAAATAGAGTTAAATTGTACAGAATGAATTAACTAATAATAATTTGCTTTATTCCAAAACAGTACTTGTGATACAGAATGGAATTCTCTGCATTTCACTACATACAGTATTGCATCCAGTTAGTACATTAACAATAAATAAAATTCTACATAGATTAAGGGTAATCTCAGTTCATTATGACAACAACATATTGGCATGTCGGTAGCAAAGCCAAAATTTAACAGAGTGTTTGAAAGTGTTAGAGAGGTAGATGCTAGCATTTTTACTGGCGTAAGCGGTAACAAAACGACCGAGATATACAGAGTGTGAAAGAATGAAGAAGAATATTTTAAGTAGAGTTTGTAAGGAAGAGAGAAACAAAACAGCACATAAGGAAAAAAAGAAAAGACAGAAAAAAGTTGTACCTGTAAATGATATGAGTTGGAAAGACGAAATCCAGTTGTTCTACTGACTATTTAATAAGTTGAAGGTATCGCGCCTTATACTTTCTTTATTGCACAGAACACGAGCTAAGTAGGGTACAGTTGAGTTTTTGGATGTGCTGGTGCAAGCATATAGTTTCCTACATAGGCTTTTGGCTCTGCCTGATGAGATACAAGGGGAGAGTTGTGAATGAAGAGGGTGGTATGAGTGAGTTAGATAGAATGGATTTAGCCCATTTTTTACATGAGTCCAAATGCCTGTCAACCAGAATATTAACATGCTGGTTAAGTGGCAAACTGCTTACCCTGCTGACAACCTTTAATATCCTACGTAATAAGGTATAGTCTTTCTTCAATAGCCCAGGAAAAACTAAAGGGAAAGAATAGAGAATAATAGGCAGGTTGCAAGAGTTAACGAATCGTAGGAGTAAAGGTTGAGTTTGGCTATTCCAGAATGTCTTCACTTCTTGATGTAGAAGGTAAGACGGAATATTTTCTTAGAAATCATCAAGATATGAGAAGACCAGGAAAGATCAGCAAATAGAGTGACGCCTAGGTATTTAATTTCCGACTTGGCTTCTATTTCACTGCCATCTATGTTGCACACCTCGTGATTGGTAACCAGTTTGTCTAGGTCAGATTTGTGCTTAAAGGTGAAATTAACTGTTTGGCATTTGGAGGGGTTTAAGGTGAGACCGTTTTCCTTGGACCATTGGCTGATTTCTGATAAAAAGCCATTTAGTTTAGTGCAGTCACTTTGACATTTGACAGGCAAAGCTACAGTTAGGTCATCAGCATATTTGACAAAGTTAATGTCATTTGAAGATGGTAAGTCATGTAGAAAGAAAGAAAAGAGAAGTGGGGAGAGTACAGCGCCTTGTGAGACACCAGCTTCAGTGAGCACAGCAGAGGAGGATTTACTTTTGTATACAGTGTACTGCATTCTGTTTGAGAAGTAGGAATGCAACCACTTTGTGACCCAGGATTCAGTTTGTGGCATCGGGAGCTTATTTAGCAAGAGACATCTGGATACAGAGTCGAAAGCAGAAGTGAAGTCGAGAAATGTGCAGTGGACGTATTTGGCACCTTTATCTAATGATGAAACGATACTGTTTTGTAAGACGGCTGCAGCGTATAAAGTGCTCCTACCCTGTCTATAGGCAAATTGTTTGGGGTCTTCAAAGCTTTTAAGGAAGAGTTCGAGTTTAAGAAGTACTAGTTTTTCCAAAAGCTTTAGAAACGTGAAGTGATGGCAATGGGTCTGAACTTTACTTTCTTGCTATTGCCAGGTTTAGGGGCCTGGACTATTTTAATGTCTTTCCATGCAACAGGTACGTTTTTGGAGAAAGTAGCATTTAGGATGTTAGTCAGAGGAGAACATAGAGCAACTGCACAATTGTTTTAGAACATATGCAGATACACTATCAGGTATTAATAGTATTCACCACTGATATGATGTCTTCATTTAAGTAAGAAGATGAGTAACGATGATCAGGAGTCGAGATATGGAGCTAGTGGCTTTCTACGTTGTCCGTCAGAAATCTTTACTTTAAATAACATCGTTATATGAGTCAACCAGTTTTTCAAGTCAAGTCTGTCTTGGATGATGTTCATAGTTGACTAATTGAAATATTGAATAATATAATGAATATAGCTTTATAGTTGGATAGTTTTTATAGTAACAGCCAATATAATAAGAACTGGTTTATCTTGCAGATGTTTCACGCTGCTGATTGTTTATAAAATCGTGCCAATGATGCGGCCACTTATTTGAATGACATAAGACTGATATCCAACTATAAATATGACAAGGCCATTGGTACACTTGTAGTTGATGCGCTAACGAATTACCTAGCCAGTCGATTTGCGAGCCGATTGCTGTAACCAATATTAGCAACAACAGCAGCAGCAGCAACACTACACGATCCCACCGAAAACGCAGCACCAGGAGATAGGAAAAGAAGACTGATTGTTGACGTAGAGAGCTTTTATTGTCAACACTGAGGGTGATTGACATCGCTTTAAACGACCTCGAGAGTCACTGAATACATTGATACATTAAAACGGTCAGCCACCAATAAGAATTAAGTGGTCATAAGTAGGCTCAGAGAAATACAAAGAGACATGTAAAAGAAAATGTAGAAAATCAGGTCTATATATCATAATATTAAAATGTTAAGTGGAAGGCTTTATTCTATCAACAAATGGTATCCGTTGTCAGTAATTACCAAGACAAATACATCAATTTATGGAGAATTAATGTTTCCAATATGGTCACTAAAGATGAGAGTTATTTGGGAATAATACCACCTGTAAATGCCTGACTTATTAAAGTGGATTAAACTCCTCAACAGAGTATGACTATCCGTAAGCTAGTGATGATTATGTTTTATTAATTGACTGAAGAAGTCGAATGTTAAATTATAGATAATAGTTATTTGCATACAAATAACAGTAACTTACAGAGCTTGTAGCATTCCCAATCTGTAACAGAATGGAAAGAAAAGATATAACAGTTTCACATCAATATTATTACTATTATTCCTTTGCATTCTGTGTGGAACATTTGGCTTCATACTCTTTTTAGCACAATCCACGACAACCTACTAGCTTTCATTTCCTTTTCACGTGATCTCCTTCATGTAACTTCCATAAAACTCTCCATTCAGGGTTTCCTTGACCCCCGTACACCTGATATCACTCAACAATCTTATCAGTTGATGTCCAATTCATCCCTATCTTCTGAATATTTGTTGAGGAATAAGTTGTTGTTTGATTCTTTGCCAGAGCTTTTTTCTGCTTATCCTTCCTTAACAATTTAATAATTCCCATTGTAGCATTCAGACCACAATATTCAGTGGAAAGAATCTTTTCAACGAATTTATTTATTACCAAGCTGTACGACCTTTTATACGTGGGATTTAAAAAATTTTACCTGATGAGGGAGTTAGACCAAAGGTGTGAATACATGGCATAATAATAGTAGTATGAAATGTAATTAAAATATTTGATCCCCTAAATAGTGACTGGCCCTATTCAGGCAGTTACCTGGGATTCTAGTGGGAAGCCGTGACTAGTAGGAGAGATACAACAGGTTGAACGGAGGTACACCTACTCATTGAAGAAGACATTGTGAAGTGGTCGAGGAATGTCGTGAATTGGAGGAAGTTAGAACTCATGGGCTGGCCATGGGATTGGGTCCCAGTGGCTTAATGGTATACGAGCTCCCCTTGTAACCAGAAGGTTCTGGGTTCGAACCCTGGTGGTGGGTGCGTACTGGTGAAGATTCCCAAACTAAGCTGAAGGAACGGCTATCCAGTAATCCCTGTTGGTTTCGCAGTGGTTTTCTAACCGAAGTCATCTCATGATGGTATCCTCCAATCGAATAAAAATACCAGTAAACTTTACTGTATAACACCGTGAGACTTTATGAAAACAAAATTTTCAAGTATTGGTTTTTGTAGGGATTTTTGTTTGATAGCTCATGATTAAATCCTCCATGCAATAAAACAAAATTTACCCATAATGGAAGTACACTGTACCACAGTGCACAAGGTTTGTTTTTATATCAATTACAATATTTATGATTATAATCATAGTTAAATGTCATGTAGCGAAACAGTTAGTGTCACACATAGAATAATTCATAAGATGTACAGATGTTGCAAATGGGTGAATAATTATATGGTTAGTAGAGAAACATAAAGCGTTACGTAAAATGATGTGAAATTTAATAAGATGGAATTTAAAATAGTAAAAACAAATTTGCATTTAGAATTACAACAAGTGGGACACGCGGAAACAATTCAGAGGGAGAGTGATAATAATAACAATAATAATCGTGGTAATAAAGAAAATGTACATAGATTAAATAAATAAAGTAAAATAAATTATTGTTATGCTACTTGACATTTTACTATGATTATAATCACAAATATTTTAAATGGCTGGAGGATGTCATTATGAGCTGACATTAGTTAGAGAACCATTCGAAAACCAGCTATGAGTACTAGATAGCTGTTTCATCCAACTTTGGGGCTCTTCATCAGTACGTACCTACCGTCAGAATTCGAACCCATGACTATCTGGTTACAAGGTGAGCTCGTAGACGATTAAGCCACTGGGACCCGATCCAATGGCCCATGAATTCTAAATAATGCCAATATTTTAATTGCATTTCATACCATTATTATTTTGTGTACTCACAGCTTTGATCCGATTCCCTCACCAGATATAATTTCTTATTTAGAAAATCCCATATATACGATTGTACAGTGTGATAATAAATTCGTTGAAAAGAGTCTCTTCGTTGAACATTGTGTTTTAATCCTTCTTCTTCCTTTATGTTTCAAATTGTGTGCGTCAGTCACCTTCGATAAAGTGATTGTATTACGGAGATATTCTTTCAAAATTATATCAGAGTGGAAAGTACAAATTTCAGGGTAAAATTTAGTCATTGTTTGTGTGGAAAGTCCAGAGTACTTGGATTACATCGGCGCTACAACAATCAGCATATATATATGCTAGAATGGCAGCTGAAAGTCCCTAGTACCAAATAGTAATCTTCACCCATTTTTAGGTCAAGGCTATCTGACTGGCTTAGATCAGAAAAGTGAACAAGCTTAAACTACCTGCATTCTAGATGAATGCTAAGGAAGACTAATTTGATGTAACTGGACTTTAATTTTTCTATTAATAATGAGAAATAAAGAGAATGAGATCCTTCTTTAATTAAACCATGAAGGTTAGCAATCACACATACATCAATTTCGTCCACATGAGCTACAAATCTTCTCCATTAATTCTACATACGAAGCTGTTATATATAAGACAATTAATAAAAATAAAATTTACAGGATTTTCATCATGAGCTGACATCAGTTAGAGAACCATCGGAAAACCACCAGGGAGTACTGGACAGCCGTTTCATCCTAGTTTGGGACTCTTCATCAGCACGTACCAACCGTCTGCATTCGACCATTGGACCTTCTGGTTACAAGGCTAGCGAGCTCGTAGACCATTAAGCCACTGGGACCCGATCCAATGGCCATCTGATGAATTCTAACTTCTGCCATTTCACAACATAACGCGACTCCAGCCAGTGTCTTCGGCAAGTATTTGTCTTCACACCCGACCTGCTGTTCTAGTGAGAAGTCGTGACCAGTAGGGTGCAGCAGGTCGGGTGTGAGGACGAATACTTGCCGAAGACACCGGCTGGAGTCACGTTATGTCGTGAAATGGCAGAAGTTAGAATTCATCAGATGGCCATTGGATCGGATCCCAGTGGCTTAATGGTCTACGAGCTCGCTAGCCTTGTAACCAGAAGGTCCAATGGTCGAATGCAGACGGTTGGTACGTGCTGATGAAGAGTCCCAAACTAGGATGAAACGGCTGTCCAGTACTCCCTGGTGGTTTTCCGATGGTTCTCTAACTGATGTCAGCTCATGATGAGAATCCAGTAACCAACCAAATCCCTACAAACCAACACCTGAATGAAAATGAAATTTATTAGTTATGAAAATGGAAATTGCCATGACGTGTTTTCGAACTCCAGTTATACACTACAAATGAATTTTCTGTTTGTACCATTGTATTCTATGATAAAAGCCTCATTTCTAAATATTAAAGCTTTCAGTGAATCAAACAATCCCCAAAATTCACCATCCTCAGTATTTTGACAGATAACCCTGAGAAAATTTCGAAATAGTATTACTATACATTGTTTATATGCAAAAATATGGAGAACATTTCAAAGCATAAAAGCTTAAAATATCATGGAGAATTAACTTGGAGATGAGTTGAACATATGCTGAGGAGAAATTCAATTGAAATCATACGTAAGATCCTCGAATTGAACAACGAATTAGAATCGACGGCAAGTTGGATGTAAGGCATATAGTAGCATAACGAAGATGATGTGCAGAGAAGAAATGAATATTTGTAGCCGCAGTCAAGACACTAGCTGAAAGTGATAACAGTGAACAATGTGCTATAGACATGTACTGCTGAAGGCCTAAATTCCCCTCGGAAAGTAAACAAAACTAGCCATAATAATAATAATAACATTAATATTAATAATCGTAATTTCACTTACACTATTCTTTCACTGTCTTCTCTTGGGCTAAACAAAACAGTAGAAGTGAAAAATTGTGAACTATGCATTTTATAAACACGTAATAAGGTTAGTACATTCAATCACTAAGTCAGAACTCGATGAATTACTATGAATTATTACGATATAGTGCTATGGTTACAGAACCACTGAAAACTAGGAAGCATTGAACAGTTGTCTCGTCTCATATTCTGAATCTTCAACTGTACGCGCAGTTCTGTTATATATTCAAAGCGATTCTCTACAAAGAAAACACTGTCACCTGAGGATCTAGAATTAAGCTGCTTTTCATGGTAATGATGAGGACAAATAGTCTCTCTTGTTTTTAAACAATAATTAATAGGGTTGAAACAGTATTCTTTGTTCTATGACATTTTGGACAACACTAATCAAAAGATCTAGGACTCCATTATGGATAAGATTTTATTTTGATAAATCACACACAGTGTTGTACAGTTATATTAACTGATGACCATGTTTCCAGGACAAACTATTGCCACTCATAATCACATCAAGTAACTCACACAACTTTGTTCTTTCATTTATATACATGTGTGGAATCGATTAGATATTGGATTAAAAGTCAATGTGAGATAATGTACATTCAGAAATAATAGTACGAGTTTTATTGACCCATTACAATTATATGGGAAATACGAATGTTTTATACGAGTGTTTTTTTTATAGTCATAATACGTTACTTGTTAGAATGTTTTGATGTGCTAACAAGTAACTCATTATGACTATTAAAACATTCTTATCTCCCATCTGATTATAATTGATCAACAACACTCGTATTATTGCCACCAGTCAAATCAGAGGAGGATAACAAATAATCTCAAAATTCTATTTCAATTCAAATATATCAGAACATTCTAACAAGTAACTTATTATGACGGCGAAGTTAAACTTTCGACACCACTAACTACCAATCAGCGAATTATCCAATGAGGTTCACGAACGCAGTTCAATGTTTTATAGCGCTTGATTCATTTCTAATGCGTGACCTAACAAAGCTATTGTTGCAATTCGAGGAGGTTAGCGTTTTCCAGTATTTCCTGGATTTTAGTTGCGCCGGAAAGAGCGAATTTGTTTGTGTGGTGGTATCATGACTTTAAAAAGCTATACCAAATCAACTGATGGGTTTGTTCATCGCTGTGCTATATGTTTGAAGCCTACTAACGCTAGAGAGAGTAAGCTGATAATTTTAATATTTCGTAGGAACTTTTTTCGCTAGGTCGCTTCTCTCCCTTAAGGATAGCAGATAGAAAAGCAACTACTCTTATACCTATTATTACCAGACTTGTTAAGCGGGGGTCAATTATACACACCGACGAGTGGAAAGGCTACAATTCACTGTCATCTCTGGGATATATTCAGAATAGAGTCAACCATTCAAGTGATTTTGTGGATCCCTTTACGAGGACACATACAAATTCTATTGAAGGATTTTGGGGCAGGTTGAAAAATAGAATAAGGGATATAAATGGATCTCATTTATGGTCATTTGGATGAATATATGTACAGGATATGGTGTAACTTCTCCATTGGCAGTCCCATGCTAAACTGGGAGATGTTTCTCTCACATGTTCGAGAAAGATATCCCATGTAACTTTTTTATTCTCTATTTTATGCTTTTTTCTACAAATATACATTTCCATTCATCATATATGCCTCTTTAATGTGATTGGTCCGTTTAAGGTCGTTTGCTGATTGGTTGTTAGTGGTGTCTAAAGATTAACTTTGCCATTATGACTATAAAAAAGCACTCGTATAAAACATTCGTATTTCCCATATAGTTGTAATGGGTCAATAAAACTCGTACTATTATTTCTGAATGTACATTATCTCACAATGATTTTTAATCCAATATCTAATCCATTCCACACATGTATATAAATGAGAGAACAAAGTTGTTTGAGTTACTTGATATGATTATGAGCAGTAGTTTGTGCTCGAAACATGGTCATCAGTTAATATAACTGTACAACACTGTGTATGATTCATCAAAATAAAATCTTATCCATAATGAAGTTATACTCTACCACAGTGCCCAAGTTTTATACATATATCACTAAGATCTAGGACTCTTTGCAGCACTCCAACTCTTCCAAAAGAATGGATATCCGCAAAATTTCATCAAAAGATATCTACCCTCGAGCCGACCTACCGAATCAAAGGTCCCAATGAAAGAACAAATAAAATATCATTGCAAGACTCTTCAAACCTTCAGGAAGTGACGTCGCACAGAAATCAACAAAATCACTTCACTCAACTCTGTGTAAACCAAAAGACTCAACAACGAAAGAAGATAAAACCAACATTATCTAAAAGATAAATTGCAATAGCTGTGAAAAACCGCAACTTTGGCCAAAGTGGACGTCCATCCTCTCGTCTCCGTATCCATGAACATAAACTAGCCATCAAAAGATATGTCATCCACTCCCTCAAATTGCCTCACTTCATACAGACAAACACGGACATCCAGTCGACCAAGAAAACCAAGGTTCAAATATTAGTCAGAGGAAACACCAAGAATGCTAGAGAATTTTTAGAAGCCCTCCTGGTATTCCAGTGAATCGTCAGTCAGTTGGCATATCGACATAGACAAAATGTGCTAGTCGATAAAGAAGAAATCTCACACACAGGGTCAAAGTTCAAGTCAAAGAAACAATCAGTTCCAAAACAAGTAGCCTAGATGGTATGAAAATACACGAAAACAACCAATCATGTTCAAGGTCACAAGGAGAGATGATTAATAAACTCGTGGAGAAATCTAAAAGCTCACTTAAATTCAAACTGAAGTATGCGCTAAGGTGAGGGTGTTGCCTATTAGGGGGCAATGAAAGCTTCGCAAATAAACAATCCAGCCCAGGGAACAAAACCACGCCAAAATCATCCACCTGATCTACATATCTTCTCCATTATATCTATTGTCATATTCGTCTTATGGATAAGGTTTCATCGCAAGACTATTAGGCAAATCTATCCTCATCTAACAAACTTTAGCTATATGCAATAGGAATGGCTAAAATCTTTTTCTGACGGACCAAAAAAATATATACTACTTTTATGATAAAGACCTTTTCGAAATCTATAGTGTCTTTTTCTGTAATACATGGTGATATAATGCTGGGAACTACTGAGTATTATAAAGGAGTCAGTAAACCTTTCATCGTGAACTGAGGCTTCCCAGTAATGCGCACTCACAACCACTATTCTGTCAATCGTATTCATACAAAACGACCATCTGAAACAAGCAGTGTTTCCTCTTTACTTTAGTCCAAAGAGTTATAACGGATCACTTTACGATATACAGAGCAAGAAAATGAACTCGGAATATCGAAATGCAACCCTTGGGAACTGGCAGTCTCCAAAGTCCTATTCATCAAAGTCTATGTGGAATAGATGGTACTGAAATCTTAATCGTTTTTATCCAAACAGTTATCAGAGAGCACTGATCAAATCTTTGTTTTTCGCAGCTAATAGAATATACTCTACCAAGAAATTGGAAGCGAAATTTCTGAATCTTGAGATGGTGAAAACTTATCTTCACACTCATAAATTCATTAAGAAGCACGAGAGATCTGAAGATTTAAATACGAAACAGGTCATGGTAAACGTGAAGTTTATTTTCATACAACTCGATTTCAAAGGTTGTAATGTTGCAGGAATAGTCAAAAGGAAACTAAATCCTTCACTAGCCAGAACATATACTGCAGCTGAGTTGGTTCCAGTCCTAAGGTTAACAGATACCTTCTTATGTTAGTTCTAACTGTAAAAGCAATTTTACATATACCTGTGGTAGCAGTTACTTTAAGGGAACAGAAAAAATCCCACCTTCAATTTTCTCAACATGTACAAAGAAGCCTACATCAAGGTAGTGAACGCTTTAAATAGTGCTATTTCTAGTCACCTTATTGATTTCAAGTATTTTAAGCCCATTAATGGACATTATGTTGCACTTCTTCTCAGGTATACTGAAGCAGTTCCTATAAAAAGGTCCAAAATCCGATTGTTGTGTTTACAAGAAAGCAGTTGTCAGTCTTTACTTGCCCTAGTAACTAGAGGTGTCTTTACTATTCCTTTTTATTTTATTACATAAAATGTCTCCCTAACCTCTACGTTTTTTGGAAATTATGTAATTTAGCTTGTTCTCTTGTTTCTATAGTTTGAGATCAATTCACCATATTGTTGCGCAACTCATTAAATACCTCTCATCCTGTTGTCTAAATAATGCAACGTCTTTTCCACTGTATTCAAACGCTTAACTTTTGGCTGGATGGAGGGGGGGGGTTGTTTCGCTTAAATTCGAATCTTCTGCGTATAAGTCTTGTAAGTGTAATTTTTGAGCACTATCTGTAAATCTTTCGGTCTCGTGCTAATTGAAATCATGTCACTTTTTCAAGTACGCAAAAATCTCTCCGTACATATACTTAATACATTTTTTAGATTGTATGTAGCTTATGAGAAACCAATAAAATAAGTTGAGGTACCATTTTATTCCACATAAACCATTGTATTCAATTTATTCAAGTTTATAAATGGGAATAATTGTATGAAGTAGCATGGGATTTCTATACAGTCACTACTTAAATCGTATTCTTCTGTCAAGCACAAATTCCAATAACAAAATGGTTCCAAATTATTGATTACATGGATCATTTGATACGAAATGTTGAACTGTTGTGCCAGCAAAATAAAATATACATTCAAATTCTATTTCTGTTCTTATTGAAATACTTCGTAGTACCACGTGCAGGTGGTTCAGCAATAGAACACTTGCCGTCTACTCACTTGGTCCAGGAATCGATCCTTGGCCGACTTACTCTTAAGCCTCACTAAATCTGTAGTGTGACGTCGGTAAAGAGAGAAGGTTGGGCTAGCAACTGCTACTGAAACTTCAAAGCTCTAGCTTGAAGCTCTATGTTTCATTCGGAACATAAAGGGATAGAAAAATACTAAAAAATAACATGCAGGAAATAGAATCTTTGCAAAATGTCTTCATAACTATATAAGGTATCTAACTGTGGATAAAGACGTATCTAAATATTTTCTATAAATTATTTTATACGTGTTAAATACGAGTACAGAAACTGATTTGAATAGTAATCATGTTTTAAATATAATCTTACTTGCATCTGTTATATTTATTGAAAAAAAATGATGCATATTAATTCATACGTTTAAATGCTGACAGTTATTGAAGGATATTTAGCTCTGTGTCTTAGTGCGAATCGTTCATTGCTAAGGTCTCTAACTGCAGTATTTAATGATGTGAGTTCTTGTCTCCAAGAGGGTGTGACATATGTGCCTTTGGCATTTCAAACACTCCATACCGACGACTGTCAATAAGCCCAACGTTGAGGTGTAAAGTCTCCTGTCAACTGCCTTCAATGAACTGATATGCAACGATCTGCGTTAAATTCTTGTCACAGATCTCATATTTTCTTCTCAACAAGTAGCAAGGCATTGTGAGCACCCTTTAAGAAACTCATTTTCTCTTGAGGATTTGATAGCGCAATACTGAGAGCTCTTCGCATATCAGTTGACCAGCCTACAATCTCCAACCTCTTTAGAAGTGGTTGAAAGTGCATGGTAAAGTTAAGTCTCTTAATTTGGTGATCACACAATAGACTTCTGTCAAGAAAATCAACAGGCTAATAGTAAGAACTATGTGACAAAAAGAAGCACATGTTTAAAGATACTTCAGGTGAAAACTGTACAAATATATATATAATTTCATGTGTAACTATAGAAATGGGACTTGTAATTAGAGAGCGGACAGAAATAAACATATATATATATATACATCCAAAAAGGTATGAATTCTTAAGAAACCGCTTTCAGATCTCATTTAAGATTCTGTATTATTCTTCACATCTAATATTTTTCAGAAGTGAATATATATCTCTTCTAAATATAAGATTAGGTGAATTGCCGGATTATTGGTAGAATGCTCACCAACCATCTAAATAGTCCGGGTTCGATCCCCAGCCGAGGCTCTTATTTATTGTAATTGGAAGTAAACCTGGAGAAGAGGAAATGCTGGGTGTGAAGCCACCAACTTCACTTCTTGAAAGCGATACTACCCCAACTAAAACTTCGAAACTCAAGCTTGAAGCTCCATATTCTATTCGAAACACAAAGGAACGAACCAACCAACCAACTATATATATATATATATATATATATATATATATATATATATATATATATATACTGAATGATAAATATTACACAGGAATCGTAATAAATGGTTCCATAGCTACCTAACAGGCTGATGTATATTCACCAAAAGCGCTTTTTAGAATGCACAAATGCAAGATATACGTGGATAGAAAGTGTCTATGTAACAAGTGAAGTAGACAAAGCGGATAGTTAAACAGGATACTGATTATGCTTTTGCTTTTTTGTAAGCCATTACATAATAGTCGCTTAACGTCACACTTGAACTATTATATACCCTCTGATATAACCTAACATTGACCTGACATTAGCCAGTAAACTTAAAGTACCTTTATTTTGTGGTTACCGCATACCGATGGATTTTTTAGTATTTCTGAAGCCTGGAATCTCATTGGTTGTTAACTGTTTGAGCGTATGTACTGCTCAGCAGTCTGCTCCATCCTCCGTTATGGCTGTGAGACATGACCATTGAGACTAAAAGACGTGGAAAGGCTAGCTGTCTTTGATCGTAGGGGCATGCGTTTTAATTCCCGTGTCACGTAGGGGTATAATAGGGTGAGGAATATTGAGGTTGGGCTTCGGTCTAATGCTAGGTAAGGAGGGAAAATCAGTAGTCGAAGCTGTGAAGTTAAATCGACTGAGATGCTTAGGATATGTGTTACGCATTCACGTCTAGCTATCGCCTTCCTCGATGGGCGATGTTAGCTGACATAGGATCAGGTTGGAAAACCGAAACATGGCATCAGTCAATGAAATCCCTAACAGCTAGTTTAAGCCATGTAGTGGCGTGTAGGCTGCCTGACTGGTTGAAGTAAAAACCAGTGGTTGGAGGCAATCGGTGATATGGCTCAAAATATTCGTTCACAATGGCTGGTGCAGATGCATCCACTCCCTGTGATTTATAATATCCGGTAAAACTACGTTGTTCATTGATATCACTATTCTTTTTGCCTCGTATCTCTGTTCACTGTCTCTGTTTCGCATTTCTTTTTACTTTCTTCTCGTGCTTTTTGTGCCACATGGATTGTGGTGACATGAACTGCTGCACATCTGTGCAGAGATCTCAGTTGAAACCAGTCAGTCTTTCAGCTTATCAGTGAATTTAATGTTTTGAAAAGTCGTTTAAGACGCATTTAAGTAGCATCACTGTCAAATATTTTGTGTGTTTTTTGAGATAGTAAAAACTCTCATGTCAAGGTTACTTCCCCTCTTCTCGTTTTCGTGTGTCGATGGTATCGTTGTGGCTGTTGTTTTGGTGTTGGAGTTGGATGGTACATTCAGTCATTAACGGATTAGGTTTATATCACTTGTAGTTTACTAGTGTGTACTACCGTTCATATCAGAAAGTTTACACCTCACATTATGAACTAAAGTAGACACTGCTTGTGTCTTAAGCGTTAGAGGTCGACATACTCCTTACTTACACAGTCTTTTAATTTTCACTGTTACCCAACCGCTTTCGGGTTGTACACGCAGTTTACTATTAGATTCAAGAACGTATTTAGTCGTTCTTACCTTAACTTATTAGCTATTTATAAACTGATAGTTTAAAAGACGACGTACAGCGTATGCCAGTGGTTCACTGACAAAGAATATTTTGTTCATCTGTACAGTGCTGACTTGAATTCAGCACCATTTCAGTGTGCAACAACAAATTCAGAAGACGATCAATATCATAGGCAAAATTATTGAAGAAAGCAAAACTTACCGAGTTAAGTCAAGGCTAAAATTACCCATAAGTACAAGAATGATAATATTTAGTTCTGAAGATTTATTCTGTGGAAATCTGATCGTGATTTGAAAGAATTTAGAATTGATGGATGATTGATTCTGGTCCAAGTGGCTGAATGACCGATAACTTTGGCCCTTTGATTCTGAAGGTCCTAGGTCAGATTCCTGGAAGAGGGTGGTCACTGTGTACTGTCCTATATTAGGACCAAACATCTGTCCGACACTTACTGGTTCTGAGTGATTCTCTAACTAACATCACTCTGTGATAAAACTCAACAATTTTCACGAAAAATGTCTTCATTGTCGATTCAAAAAGGTAGATAAAGGTAAATTGTTATAATATTTATGATTTCATGTTGCTTATATTTCAGTTGTGCGTCGTTGGCATAGCGGTTAGGACGCTCGCCGACCATACACATGGTCCGGGGTTCGATCCCCAGCCACCGAAGTACTCCTTTACCTCGCTAAGCCAGAAATAATGCTGGTAAAGAAGAAAGGTTGGGAATGAGGCTAGCAACCTCATCCTGTAAATTAAACACTGCTAAAGAAACTTCAAGCCACTAGCTTGAAGCCCTATGTTCCACTGGGGAACGTGAAGGAAAAAAACATATTTCAGTTGGCTAAATTTATCATTCTTAATGCGGAATGTGTAAACTCCAATCGTAGACATCTTGATACTGCCAATAATTTCAGTGTCGTTTTGCTAGCTTGGTGACAACAAGTATCACAATTCAGAAAATTTGATTCATTTTTGTAAGGGCTCTTCAGTAAGCTTTGTGTGCATCAACATTCCTGTGATCATTGAGACTGTGAAGTCATAAACGGGGTCAAATTATCAGACATCTGTTATGCAAGTTCGTATGGCAGAAATATAGACCATTTTAGCCTAGAAACGGTCAACTGCGAATAGGTGCCTGTTGAATGAGTGTTGGTTGTAATAAGCGGGTAATAAATGAGGATAACTGTGGTTTTGAATTTATATCAGTGGGGGTATTGATACATTGAGTTAGAGATATCTCATTGACAAATATCCCATAAGACGAAACATGGACTGTAGGTTCCATTGGTGGCTACCACTAAGGTAATAATCGAAAAATGGTTCTACTCATGTGAGACAAAACTTAAGTTTTTTCTTCTCCAGAGATACAACGTTTGTTGATTGGATATGTACTTATCAGTAAAACGTAAGTGGTAGAATACTCAAGGTTTTAAAACTAGGAAGCGGTTATTTTATTCTACTTGAAGAATAGAAAATGGTGTACAACGCTATCTATGGTGTAATTAAGTTTCTAACTAAAGTGCAGCAAATTCGTGAGTTATTGAACAGTTTGTCTGAAGGACAATTCACTGAAATGGAGTACCTTATTAGCCACTTGGTCTTATGGAACAATCAAAGGCTTCTGGTACATAACCTCTGCTTCATTCCACACTTCCATTTCACCTCCAACTATCCTTCATAACTTTAGCAGTAATCTTGTAATTCAAGGCTATTTCAGCTTGTCTTGTCACCAGTATACGCTTGATTATCGTATTCTCGGGAATGCAGACCTTAGGTTTCAGAAATCTTTAGTAAGACGTAGTAGCATATCTTGCTACTGACATCGCGCGTCAGGCCCTTGAGTGGAATCCGGAAGGGAAGTGGCGAGTGGGACGTGAGTGAAAGGGTGACATGGAGGAGATCGTGTGAAGAGGAGTTGATAGAGTATGGACTAACATGGACACAGGTGAAAAGTACAGCAGCAGAAGACGGAATTGGAAAGTGGAGATGTGGAGTTGAAGCCCTATTTTCCACTAGGAACCCAAGGGAACAATAATAATAACAACAAAAGTAGCATGTCATGGCAGAATATATCTCTTTGTGAAATGGTAGGCAGTTCGCAACCAATCGCTCTCAATGTCAAAACATTTTGAACTTGACTCTAAAGTCATAACAGTTACATCTTGTTCAACAGGCATCTGATATCTATTGAACTTCCAGTTATATTGTGTGTCAGATAGTAAAACTGAATTAACTGTTTGTGGTAAGGTTACCTGCAGAACGTCTCCATTTAATCTCTAATGAAGTATTCATAGCTTATATACTTCGTAATGACTACCACTCAGTTGGCCAGTGCGGATAAAAAGTAACAAGGAACTATGTGAAGGAACTAGCAAAGTAGCCAAATAAACAAATTGGACATGGCTTGAGTAAATACTAAGTTAACCTTCGAGTGATATCACATTCTAGGCTGTCGAGTAGGAACTCAAGTGGGAAACAATGAGTTCCAGAGGAAGTCTGAATGTTTGTGAGCAGTTGTGATACTATCAGGAAATGATGCGGTGTGCAGAAGAACGCAGTGGGGATGTAACGGGCAAACTGTTTGAAAAATCCCTTCTGTATGGTCTATTTGTGATCTTTATACTTATTTAGACATTTCAGTTCACTTTGTAACTGGTAAACGTATTTCCGCTAGACTGTGTATCATTAATTCGACATCTGTATACCACATATTGACTTCTGACCTTTATTATTCGCCTTTGTCTATGTTTAATCTTTAATTATAATACTTCTGTTTTAATTTGTGTTCAATGACAACGTGCTGTTTAGCGACATGAGTTTGTTTTGAAGGTCATGCTAACCCAAGAAGCCTCAGCGCATGGTTCTTGTAGACAGAGCTTTTGATCCCACCTCACTCGAAATAGCCTCCACGATTCTAGAGTACTTTTTACAGATGAACGTTTGTTAATTAATTCTCCATTAGAGTACTTGGTTTATATTTAGAAACATAAATAGCCTCTATAGCTGCCTCTCAGTACTGTTGTTTAACAGGACCGCTAAAATATTGAAGAATAATCGTCTTTTCTCTGCCGTTAGGAAGTTTCATGATAGCTTGTGTCTAAAAGAAGTTCAGTCGGCTATACAGTAGTAAAACGTTGAGATCAGTTTCTTGCGTTCAGACGATAATTGAATAATTTGGCCACTATGAATTATAATAATACTAAAGTTAAGATCGAATATTTTATAGATTAGTGTGTCTATGGTAGCCACACAGTTAGACACTTGATGTATTTAAAATTCTAAGTTGAGTTCTATCACGTGATTCTTCAATTTTATTTCCGAGGTTGTTATTTAAATGCGGGTTAATGCTTTATATTATTAAATGTATAAACAAATCACGGGATAAAATGAAACATACTCTGCCAGTTCCGGACTGAAAGTAGACAATATTTAAGTATGCATAAAGCTAAATAGTAAATTAGTAAATACATTTTCAAAATCTGTATATAAATGTTGTATAAGCCTGACAGTTATATTGTAAGCTAATGAAAAAGAAAAAAGTCGAAAATATCATCCACTTTTAGGAAACTATGGTTTCTAGGATCATAAGTGATACGATGATTTAATTTTAATTTAATTTTAATTTAATTTTTGATTACAGCTTGATTCCACACTGTATTTTTGGTACAAGTATGGAATTTTCAGCGTGGATATCGGTAGCCCAAATTTTGCAGGCCGACCATAGATATCAGGTGTGCGTCGGCGAGGGCTCGAACCCCGGACCATGTGCATGGTCGGCGAGAATCCTAACCACTGTGCCACCGACGCACTGTGTATATTTGATCATCCAATCCCTAAATGTACATATTCGACTTAAGCCTCACAACAAGTAGCAGGCCAAATCAGTGCAAAAATGATGTCGTCTTCATATATCAGTGAATCATTATGAAGCAAACCCAGCAGTTTCTTCAGAATACGCTGGTACCGTCACTTATTTTATCGGCTTCTAATCAGTTGTGTACAGCTAAAATAAGTGGTATACTTCAGGATGCATAGTTGGCTTTCTAAAGATCCTACACGAATAACTAAATGTAACAGAACACAATTCTGATTGGCGAGAAGGCCTTCAGTTTAAGCAGTCGAATTAATCGGTAAAGGTTATTGTTCAATGTCGGATGGTGACAGCTGTAGGCTGATAGTCATGAAGTTCCATTAACCACCATAAAATCATTGTAACTCAGCTACTCTTCATCATTTAACCAATGAAAGTTGGTTTGTTTCCAAGGTTGCTTAGCCAAGCGTCTAATAATCTGTGATATAAATGTCAGTTCAATCGAAAATTCCCATTTGGACATTTAAAAAATATCCCAATAAAATTGTTGGTGCTAAATGCATTGTTTAATTACTAGAGATGGGAGAGTAACGAAATGAAATACGAATACACAACAATAAAAACACTCTACATAGTGAAACATATATGTTTTATCATGAACTGACATTTGTTACAAAACCATTGGAAAACCTGCCAGGGAGTACTGGACACTTGTTTCGTCCTATCTAGGGACTCTTCTCAGTGCGCTTCCCCCGCCTGGTTTCAAACCAAGAACCTTCCAGTCACAAGGTGAGCTCTTAGACCATTAATTAGTCTGCTGAAACCTCATCCAATGACCAGCCCGTGAATTTCAACTCCTTCCAGTTCATGTCAAGGTGCGACCACTAACTGATGTTATCAGCAAGTATTTGTCCTCACATTTGACCTGCTGTACCCCACTGGTCACGACTTCCCAATAGAACCCAGGTAACTAACCAATTGAATAGGTTCAATCACTGGTGGTCACGTCGTATCATGAATTAGCAGAAGTTGTAATTCATGGACTGGTCAATGGATCGATTTTCAGCGGCTGAATGGTGTACGTGCCTGCTACCTTGTGACAAGAAGTTAATGGGTTTAAACCTTAGTGGGGTTTGCACTGTGAAGAGTCACATACTAGGACGAAACAGCTGTTCAGTACTCCTTGTAGGTTTTCTAATGGTTCCGTAAGCGATATCAGTTGATGATAAAGTCCTGGGGCTAATCAAATCCCTGCAAACGAATACTTGAAACATTTACAGTCTGCAAACTTACACCGATCTAAAAGGTAATTTGATAGATTGAAAATTCATTTGCATATTTAATCTTCGAATTCTGGAAATTCGGATTCATTTGTATACAGGTCTTGAATTAGAAAAGCTAATAAAGGCGGATAAACGAATAAAATGTTTTCGTCGTTATTGAAAACATGATAATTCACCATGATTATCATGCTTGATTATATCAAAATAACTGAATTTATATATCACCTGTGCACAAGAACTTTTCAGAGAAACAAAGTATAACTTCTCGACCTTCTTCTCATTGCATAGTTAAATATTTACCAAAATTTCGTGATCTATTATTATTATTATTGTATCCTTTAGTTTCTAGAGGAACATAGGGCTTCAGCTGCGCACCTCAAATGCCTCCGGTTTTCTGACAACTTTTTCACCCCGCTCCAGGTCTGTCCAAATGCTTTCATCTCCTCCTCGCATAACCTCCTCCAAGTCACCCTTGGACGACCAACTCACCGCCTCCCTTTCAGGTTCCACCCGAGGGCTTGTCTAGTGATGTCACTTGATGGTTTCCTCAGCGTATGGCCAATCTATCTTCATTTCTTCCTGCCTATTTGTTTCACAATCGGTTCCTGATTGGTTCGCTACCAGAGATCCCTGTTGCTGATCTTTTCTGGCCATCTGATCTTGAGTATTGAGCGAAGACAGCTGTTAATGAAGGTCTGAATTTCGTTTGAGATGCTCTTTATGACGCGCTGGCCAAGTCTCTGATCCGTATAGTAGCACTGACTTCACATTGGAGTTGAAAATCCGGATCTTATTTTTGATGCTGAGTGCTGTTGACCTCCACACAGATTTGAGAGTAATAAAAGCTTGTCTTGCTTTTCCAATTCTGGCTTTGATATCCTCGTCAGTTCCGCCTGTAGTTGAGACGATGCTTCCCAGGTAGGTGAAGGAGGCTGTTTTTTTTCAGGTTCCTCCCATTTATGCTGATTGTTGTCTGTTGTTGTTGTTGCTATTGCTGTTGGCCAGGAATCTTCATCACCTATCTATGTTTACTCTATGTTCACCTGAAGTCCTATCTTCTCTGGATGCTTCTTCTTCCAACTTGTTGCTGCTTTTCACTTGCATATCTTCCAGTTTGTGGGAAATCAGACATATATCATTGGCGAAATTCAGATCCTCCAAGTCTTTTGTGTCAGTCCATTTTATGCCTGTTCCCTCGTTTGTTGCCGTTGTCTGTCGCATTATCCAATCAATTGCAATCAGGAAGATCATTGGTGATTGTAGACAGCCTTGCCTCACTCCCGTCCTCACTTCGAAGGCTTCCGTAAGTTTCCCGTTGTGGATTACTTGGCATGCAGCATTGTCGTATAGCTGTTGGATGGGATGTTTAATTGTTGATGGGACCCCGTAGTAGCGAAGTAGTTGCCAAATGACCTCTAGATCGACGCTGTCGAAGTCCTTTTAAAAGTCAGTGAAGTTGAGCGGGATAGAGAGGTGACTGCCATTCCAAGCTTTGTTCAATGATGATCTGTAGAGTGGCGATTTGATCAATACATGATTTGTTTCTCCTGAATCCGGCCTGTTCCGGACGAAGTTTTTGATCCAGGGCTTTTTTTTCCCCTCTATTCAATCTGATTTTGCTAACATATATTTCGATAACAATATAGGTAAATGAACGATACACCAGTGTTATCCAGGAGTTTACTTTATTCTTCTTGACTCGTTAATTGCTGTAGGTGAGTTTGATAAAGTAATCGTTTTCTAATTTCTCTTATGATTTGAAGTTGTTGAAATGTGATTGTGCGTTGAAATGTTGACAGTAGTGTTGATCAGCTAACTTCCATGTACAGACGAATTGAAGCAACAAACATAAACTGCCAGAAGTTTATGAATTGATATATATAACGATTTTTATACATCTACAATGTCTAATGCCCAATGTTAGAGTTTTTTTATTTAATTTTACTATAGATACACTCGCTGTTAGTACCTTGGTTGAGTTAAATGTCCTACAGTTTGGACTGTAACCAAGGTATGGTGACACTGATCTTCAGTAGGCATACAACAGTGCTTCCGGATGAACGTACTGACAAAATACAAAGTCTTCTAAACACTTTAAGTGAAAATATGAGTATATTTGGCGTGTTGTTCACCCCAGTCAGCACTAGACTGAAACGGCTTCTGGTTTAAGAATAGGAAGTAAAGTGGTTGAACTTGCTGACCACTTTACTTATTCAGGAAATAACATCAATGCCAAGTGAACTGACCATGAATGAATTATCTGCAAGTTCCAGCGTGATATTCAGTTATCCATCGGCACATATATGTAGTCTGCAGCACGGCCATTGAAAGTAAAAAGTCGGACGACATTAGTTGTTTTCGACCACAGACATCTGTATTCACGCTCTCGTGTTAAAAGTTATAAGATGACCAGTGATGTTGAGACTTGTTGGTGAACAGGACGCATATTACCCTTGCCGGACCTTTGTATCTCTCGATGAACTGTATCGGCTCATATAGGATTATGCTGATTAAGAGCTACGGCTAGTCGGATCAAAGCATAACATCAAGCCATGAAGTCTTCTACTCATGGTTTGAGCTATGTAGGGTACGGAGTACTTGACTTTGATAACCAAGACATTCAAAAGTGATGGATGAAGTCTTCTGGTTGTACAACTCAAGGTTGTTTTCAATGGTTCTGATGCCTTCACTCTTTGTGTTCTTTCAGAATTTATTAAATCTTCGAAATACTTTTTGTCTCACCATTTTGTGAATGAGTTTCACATCATATGTTCTTCCAATTTTAAGTATAATGTGTGAAATGACTCTCGCGAGGAAAATCGAGTTCATTCAAAATCTTCCACAAAAAATTCACTCAGTGGAGTAAAACAAATACACAGGTCATTGAACAAACTCTTTTTCAGGTCCAATAGTTATATATTTATGAAAAAAGTGCCTGTGAAATGAAATATTCATTTATTTATCGTGTTTATTAACTGAGCATACATTGAGAGCAAATATGCTGACTCCATTATTGCAAAAGGTCCGGAAGGTAGGAAAGGTGCTTATGGACTGTAGGAAAAGTTACCTCGTGAAACTACCAAAGAAGGGCGACTAACGCCTCACTCTGCAAGAACTGGGGAGGATTAATGCTCCTATCAACGCCACATAAAATTCTGAGTCGCATCATCCTGGAGAGAATAAAAGACGTACTGAATACAAAACTCTGCCTCACCAGAACAAGCTGGATTCAGGAAAGGCAAATCATGTACTGACCAAATTGCAACTCTACGCGTCATCATCACAGAACAAAGCATGGAATGGCAATCAAACCTCTACCTCAACTTTATAGACTTCGAGAAGGCCTTCGACAGGCAGTGTTGACCGCGAAGTATTTTTGAAACTACTCGAGTACTATGACGTACTCCAGCTGTTCAATAGCTGTACGACAACGGGACATGTCAAGTGATCCACGACGGAAAATTCAGCGAGGTGTTTGGAGTAAACACAGGAGTCAGACAAGGGTGCTTATCATCACCAATGATATTTATAATTGTGGTGGACTGACTGGATTATGCGTCAGACAGTGAGTGGTAAACGAGAAGACAAGAATATCCTGGACCGACCGACGTGAAGTAGAACCTAGAAGACCTGGATTTCGCGCGTGGATGATTAATGCTTGATGTCACACAAAATCGAAGTTTTACAAGCAAAAACCGACCGACAAACTGGTCAAAGAAGCAGTCGGCGAAGACAGGACTCCAGGTGAATATGGACAAGACGGAGGTTATGAAAATAACCGACCAACAACAACAACTTCAACAACAGCATCAACATCCAGCACCAATCACCATCAACGGGAGGGATTTGAAAGAGGTTACTTCATTCACTTCACTTATCTACGGAGGAAGCATTGTCTCAACTACAGGAAGTTGGAACGGACGAGGATATCAAACCGAGCGAGAATCGGGAAGGCGACGAACACATCAACATCATGAACCTGAAACCAATCTAATCTGGAAATCTTTGTCACTCAACTCAGCATCAACAACAAAATTCGGTATGATTTTCAATACAAACGTCAAGTCAGTCAGTTCTTCTTTACGGATTGGATGAGAAACTTGGCGAGGATGGGGTCACAAAGAATATTTCCAACAGCCTGTTGCAGACCTTCATCAACCAACAACTGTCTTCGCTGGATCTAAACTGAAGATCCGATGGCCGGGCCGGAAACAATCACCAACGAGAAACTATGGGAACAAACAAACAAACAAAACAAGAACCAATCGCCAGCCAAGAAATATGCAGGAGAGAGTGGAGATGGATTTTACACTGGCTGAGGATGACACTGGGTGACATCGCGCGCGTGTCAGGCCATTGCTCGAGTGGAATCCGACAGAATGGGAAGCGGTGAGTGGGATATCAGTGCAAGTGTGACATGGAGGAGATAGTGTGAAGAGGAGGAGGAGATGAAAGGGTATGGAGTAACCTGGATGCAGGTGTTTAGTACACCGGCAGAACACAGAAGCAAGTGGAGACGTGCATTTGAAGCCCCGTGTTCCACTAGGAACCCAAGGAAATAATAATAATATATTGATACTTTTATTGATTAACCTGCAGTTCATGAAAATGTTCAGTTAATTCGTATCACTTACTCATGTGCTTGATCATAGAAACTGTTAAAAAGTAATGTCAAAAGGTGTAAAAAGTAATTAATTCATTAAACCATCAAACAAAAAGGCAAACACTGTAGGTTAAATTTTGAAAATATTATTATACATTTGCCTTTGATTGACTTTGTGGGACTATTATTTGTCGTCTGCTGGTACAGTGTCTCCTGCAGTGTTTAAGGTTACCGTTGTGTTATGTGGATTCCAGGTTACACACCCTGTGTTCTAATTGGCACTCGTCGAGCAACTTATACTGAACCGAAAAGTTATCAATCACGTGTACTGGGTTCGAGTCTCAGCTGGGATGAAATTACATTCGGCTGATGAATCTAAAACATGATGGACCTGGCATCCCGGATTTTTTTCCGCTGGTCACTTCCATCCAAATAAAATCTTTTCAGATTATAAGTGATTCACTTTTATGAGAAGAATCTCAGAATTTCATAACTTGTGTCATGTGTCTACTCCTTTGTTTGGTGCAGACTGAATTCTATCAGTGAAGTTTGAAATGTGACCACTACGAAACTAGGTGGCCCATCATTACGGGGATCTTTAAATTGTGGCTAGATAGTTACAGGATTTCATAGGGAGCTGACATCGGTTAGAGAACCATTGGATTACCAACAGGAAGTACTGTACACCTGTTTCCTCCTAGTTTTGGACTCTTCATCAGTATAACCCCACCAAGGTTCGAACCAAGAACCTCCTGGTTACCCGGCGAGTTCGTAGATCACTTAGACCCGATCCAGTGGCCAGTGCATGAATTCCAACTTCTGCAAATTCATGAAATAGCATGACCGCTAGCCAATGTCTTCGTCGAGTATTTGTCCTTCCACCCGACCTTCTATACCCTACTCGTCATGACCTCTCACTAAAACCCAGAGAACTACCGACTTGAATAGGTCCAGTCGCTAGTGTACATCTCATTGATAAATCATTGATTTATTTAACCAGCTCCAGCTCATGATGTAATTCTGTAACCAATCGATCAAATCCCTACAAACCAACACTTGAAAATGTTGTTAGGTGGTTGTAGACAAGTAAACCACGTGATTTCATATTGATACATATTGTCTCTTTAACATTATTTGAATATTTATCAATATGTCTTTATAAGTTTGGCCAGTTTTAAATGAGACAGCCCTGAACGTGATTGGTGATTACACTGACATTATTATGGTTCTTCATCTCAGTTTGTTCAATCAAAAATAGATTAATATAACAAACCGAACAATCACAGTTTCACTCCCAATTAAAAGAATTTTTAGTATATAGACAAAATGACGTAAATGTTAGCGATGGTGACATTAGATACAGTTTTATCGCAGTTTCCCAGGTTCGATTCACATCTGACATTCTCCTAAAATTTGCCTAGTTTACTAGTGTGGTGAGAGCTGTCTGCTAGCCAAATTGGTAGACAGTAATTTACGTCAGTGTTCACGTCCCCATTATTGGTCATGAGAAAAATAAGAACAAAGACTGATTCAACAACCATTCACAGCAGACTTTGCGTAGGCGAATAAAGTTAGCATATAGATGATCTAACATTCACGAGACACCCACAAAGAGATGAAAGATTGACTTTCAGGGAAAAACAACCAACAATCGGAAGACTGTGTTTTTCTGCTAACAATAATCTATAATATATGTACATGGAAATCTATTAATATGTACTGGTTTCCTTAATAAACGATCTGTTGCCTGGACCTTGTCTTCTGTTATTACACTAATTATTAGTAAGTCCGCAAAAGAGACAGAAGTTTAGGGATGTGATTAACAACTATATCCCGTAAAGGAAATAATTCTACCTCTGCTGAAACTTAAATAGCTCGAGTCCCTGTATTCCATTTGGAAATCAGTGGATGAAAATAACCCATAAAATTCAAGGTTTTCACGCCAGAAACAAAACTTCAGAATGTAACGTGTCGTATGTTTAAATTAAACTTCATCTGTGTGCATTACACTTTGAATTAGATTAATATTTCTCTCTTTCTCTCTCTCTCTCTCCTCGTCATTACTCTCCCCTCTATGTGTTTATCAATTCACCTGCTCGTGTAGAGCTAAGGTATATTGGCCATTCGACTCGAGTTTTGTCCAAGTTGGCGCAAGAACATTATCCTGCATGGTAATGAAGAGGTGGAATTGGAGCAATAAGAAAGGTCATCACTCTATCCCTATATAGCCTTCGCGTTTAAAGTCATCTACAAGGCAAAAAGTAATTTCCCCAAATCACTACCTACCCGATTTATCTGTTTTCTTGAAGCCAGATCTCTGTAAACAGAAAAGTTTGTTCAACCTCTCCAATTTTCATGGTCTTAATCCCTCTATATGCTAAAGTATGGTAATCCCCAATTCATATTTTGGCTCTACCGATTTTGTGTGCGTCGGTGGCACAGTGGTTAGGACTCTCGCCAACCATGCACATGGTCCGGGGTTCGAGCCCACGCCGGCGCATACCTGATATCTATGGTCGGCCTGCAAAATTTGGGCTACCGATATCCACGCTGAAAATTCCATACTTGTACCAAAAATACAGTGTGGAATCAAGCTGTAAATCAAAAATAAATAAAAAAAATAAAAATAAAATTTTTTCTTTTTTTTTCTTTCCATTTGTATACTCTTCTTTTATTATTTCGACTGTTAATATTACTATTTTTCTTTTTGAATTACCCCCGGGATTATTTCACTTCTTCCACTTGTCATTCTAAATTAATTTTATTTTGCAATGTTAGATCCTATACTTTTGGATTTCACACAATGTTACGTGATGTCTAATTTTTTTTTCTATTTACCTTCTAGTCCTATAATCTCATACCCTTTCCCAAGTACGATACATCCTACGGACTGTTCTATTTAATGACACTAGTTGTTTTACCACTTCACATTTAACTGTGATTATAATCACAAATATTTTAGTTGCATTTCATTCTACTGTTCTCACTCCCTACTGTTTTTTTTCCACCTGACTCACAATAACATTGGATCCGATGGTATATAATTTAAACAATTCACAGCTTGAGGTTTGTATATCCTATTTACTATATTTTCTGTGTGATATAGTAACGTGTTCTCAACGAATCCTGAGTTTTGGATTTTACGCATAACTAAAACAGTTAGTTTAATTAATGATAAGTTCAATTTCAAATTGTCATTCCTGATTTCTCACAACCACTTTACGGTTTTTGTCTTCATGTTTTCTTATAACTGCCTAAATCACATTTGCTTTGATACGCTTTAGGTGAGTTTTCCGTGCTTTATAGTCAGTCTCTTGATTGGAACCCGAATTGGAAATGGCTACTCTGGCGTCCCAGGGTAATACAGTAAAGATTATATATATATATTTTTATTTTTGATTACAGCTTGATTCCACACTGTATTTTTGGTACAAGTATGGAATTTTCAGCGTGGATATCGGTAGCCCAAATTTCGCAGGCCGACCATAGATATCAGGTGTGCGCCGGTGAGGGTTCGAACCCCGCACCATGTGCATGATCGGCGAGAGTCCTAACCAATGTGCCACCGACGCACAGGTGTGCGTCGGCAATAGATTAAATGGAAGTTTGTGAGCAGTCGTGGGGCTACCTGGTAATGATAACAGGGAAATGAGTGTCATTGTGTTCTAATCAGGTTTTATCATTCATTCAAAATTTAAGGAGCGAATAATAACAATGGTAATAGTTTCGTTTAATTTCACCCTATAAAAAAACCGTATGACAGACGCTTACATGATGGGAATTTGTTTCGACCTTTAACAAAAAATTAAACACAGAGTACATTAGTTTTATCCAATCATCAATTGATTAGTACACAAAATTTATGGACACCATCAACTTAAATCATACTATTAGTATTGTTTTCTTCAGGTACCTTAACGAGTCTAATTTCCATGACTTTTCCTAATGGGGGATTTCACCATGAGCTGACATCAGTTAGAGAACCACTGGAAATCCTGGGAGTACTGGACAGATGTTTCGTCCTAGTTTGGGACTCTTCATCAGTACGCACCCACCGGGATTCGAACTCAGAACATTGTGGTTACAAGGTAAGCTCGTTGACCATTGAGCCACTGGGACCCCATCCAGTGGTCCTTGAATTCTAACTTCTTCCAATTTTCCTAATGATCAAACTGATATCTGCTGAAGAGTGCTACCATGGACCAAGCTTAGATGAAGAAAGTTTTCCTACTCACTGTCTTCTAACAGGATTTCAAACGGCTAAAGATATTCGCTATAGACTAGAAACAATCAACGGTGATGCTTTCATACTAAAAGGACTTCTCAGTGATTTCGAAAAAATAACCTCACTCTAAGAAGTGAACTGTTAACTGATTACGTAATTACTATCCGGATTATGATTTCATGTACAAGGACGTTAGCGTGGTTATAAAACTGAAATGTCACATACTGCGCTGTGAATTATTGCCTCATAACTACATCCTATATATTAAAACCAATTTACTCCTTCAGCTCTAATCTTAAAAGCCCAAATATGATGACTGAATTTTGAAGTTCAAGGCATTCACCAAGCATTTAAATGCCTTCTGTCAAGCCGATGGTGATAATTAATATTGAAATGTAGGATGTGTGTTTCACCCTATATATTATACTGATCACCTGGATGTATTCGTGTTCCCCGGAGGGAACGATGACATTCCCTCCGTCCGAGACCAGAGTCTAGATTTATTTTCAGCTGAATTTTCCCTTCACTTATAAAAGAAAAACTTTCTGTTAACTTACAATTCTGGATGATTGGTTGCTCTGAGAATTGCATTTAGAAAAAACGGTGTCATTTAATGTTTAGCAAGATAAAATCAAAGAATCATTATGTGGCATAAAAAATATTTCAATGCGACTGCAAAATTCTTCAACTAAACACTAGTAATATTCTTATAATTTTCAAAAGTAATTAGTTCATCACGAGAAAAACTAATGTTGTGAAATGATGCAGGAGAATTGTAGCTTAGTGAGATCGAATTTCGGTGTGGTGGTGTTCTCTCTGCTGGGTAGTTAAAATTGCCAGACTTTCATTGTTCTTCTGTAGGACATCTCCCCTTATATTCTCTTCTTTCTATACCTAAATGTAAAACTTTAGGAAATTAAATTCCATAACAAGCAAATAATTTTTAGCACTTAAATTCGAAGCTTCTTATTTTCAGAAGAATCGTTAACGAACAAATAATATTCTTTTTCGATAACCTGCTCTTCATCAGGTTCTACGGTTATGTATACATAACAGGGAACGAATTAACAGCATTAATGTTTGAATAACATCGAATAAGTAAAATCAATAGATTACAGTTCAATAGCATCAACATAACAATAAAATGTATGTCAGAAAAATTAGGAAAGAGGCGGTTGTAGCGGCTGGCTGGACTTGCTTCTTTTCCACACAAAGCACTGGTAGTTTCACGCAAATCGTGATAAACTCTGCTGTTTGTAGTATGTGGTATCTCGATGTTTTTGGCAATTTATTTGGTACCCGGTAGATGATAGAGAGGGATTCTTCAATGCAATGCTAACTGGCTTTGTGGCCGGTCGGTTTTGACCAGGTGGTTTAATATCGAACTGTTGATGGTTTTTAACTACACCCATTATTATCCATAATAAGAAATGCTGTCAAGCACAAAAAACCAAGTTCCTAGAGCAACGGTCAATATAACTCGCTCCACCACAAGCGCAATTGAATTCATAGTTGTTTCCCATTCAGCCATTTGTATTAGTATTTACATGAATTAAGGATAACTTCAAAATGAAACAAAGTGTTACATTTTGACTAGGAATGATTGAAATCACACTATCAAATAAGGGCAACTTACTCTTCATTATACATGTAGAATCTAAGATGAATATGTTAAATAAAGATTTAATCGATTAAGTAAATGAAATAATTTAAAACTGTTACTAGGTGTTGTTGATTGACTCGTAGAATATTCATCAATCACGTAGGCGAACTGGGTTTGATTTTCGAACAACGCATTTCTGAAGCACACCTAGTTTACCGACTGATAGCAGAAAGAGTAAAGGTTTGGCATGAAGCTTGCAACTTCACTTTGTAAAAGCACTATCACTGCTAGTGAGATTTTGAAAGCTTGTAGCCCTACATCCTACTCAGAACGGAAGAAATTAAAAAAGGAAGAAGAAGAAGTGTTAACATAAAACTTTGCATAAGGATGCATCATTTCAAGGTGGTAGAGTACTTGACAGTGGGAAAGGAGTATACCAATAGATTCATGTGAAAATGCATCAGAAAGGTAAGTAGCTACCTGGGTTCCAGTGGGAAGTCGTAACCACTAGGGGGCAGCGGGTCGGATGTGATGACAAATACTTGCCGAAGACATTCGCTAGCAGTTGCGCTATGTCATGAGTTGACAGAAGTTAGAATTCAAGGACCATTGGATAGGATCCCAATGGCTTAGTGGTATACAAGCTCGCCTTGTAACTAGAAGATCCTGGGTTCGAACCCTGGCGGTGGGTGCATACTGATGAAGAGTCCCAAACTAGGACGAAACAGCTGTCCAGTACTCACAGATTTTCCAATGGTTCCCTAACTAATGTCAGCTCATGATGAAGTCCTTATACTACTTATGTTTAGTAAGTAGTATGAATTATCTTTGCTACTTCTCAACCATGACTTCGTCTACTGCTAAGGTTTAACTCATTTAATGTATTTATACTCTATTTGATATATATTGTAATCATTTTCTTATAGTTAAATATTATGTGCTGTAAATGCCTTACATATTAACCCTTTACCGTTGAACATTGTTTATTCACATCCTTTTATTCAGTCTGGCATTAGCGCGCAGTTTAAATCTACGCGTGAACATCGCCTTTGATACAGCTCTGTTGTTTTCATATTGACGCACATTGACTGTGCTTTTGATGGCACTCAGACACTGACGCGTAATAATTTGTGGTTTGTATATTATATTTCATTATTTTAATGGTTAATGTAGTACGGAATTCTAAACAAATCCTGTGATTTTTTTGGGGGATTTTACGCATCACTCTACATGTGGTTTGAATAATCGTTTGTATAATCGTCTGGGAATTCTTTCGGAAGAAATTCACAGTCATGCCGTTTCAGGAAAATACCTTCTACCTTACATTTTACAGTAAACGCAAGACTGTACGACGAATTATTACTCTGACACATTGATGTTTAGTAAGATATTGAAAGTTATATCATCTCTCAGTGACTTATATGAGAAAATGCAATCCTGTTCAAACCAGTAAAATGGCCAAATATCATATGTAGTTGCCTGAATACCGAAAACATAAATTCGAATAATGAGTAACCCATTTTAGTCTCCTATTTTAGCTTTATTAAATGCATCTAAGTCAAATGCAAGTGTTGTTTTTTTTACCCCTTGCTTTCCGAATGCAACAAGCTTTTGAAATTTCAATAGCGTCAGTGTTTTTTTTTTAACTAGGCAAATTGCTTGCGTCACGTTGAAGCTTCTCTCTTTTCCAGGATTCCTACTGAATAGTAAACCAGGCGAAGTCTAGGGATGAGTCAGCTAGGAATTAAACCTGCTGGACCGCTGGTGCTGCAGATAAGGTATGTCTTAAATTCGTCATATTAGATTAAATTAATGTCATTAGTGTCTTTAGAATCCTCACTTAATATTGTGAAACAAAAAAGGGTTTACTGTATTTTTTCGGCCACTGACCAACTTGTTTTCTACAGAACTACAGAATTATGTTCAAGTTACGGAAATCTACTACTACTACTACTACTACTACTACTAATGCTCTGGAAAGATATTCAGTTTTATATTCTGTGGTGCACATTAGCTGAAATTCCTTATCAATACTACCAAGATACTACCTTAAGCGTTCCTACTCACCAGTCAGAAGTAAAAGGAAATTTGGGATTAATAGAGTTGTCTGTGCCCATGATTATCGACGAGGATACAGAGCTTGAAATGAAGGCTACGCCGTGTCAGAACAAGTCCAACTTATTTGTTACGTGAATGTACGTGTGGACACACATACAAAGGGAGGACTCATCGATCTCTGCAATTAAGGGCTGACTTCAGAGCATAATCCTAAATGGCTCCAGAAACAAGTGGAATCTTCGGAACCTATTAACGGTCAGAACAGGAAACCTAGCTCTTTTGTTGCGAAACATATTATAGATGGTAAAGGACATAAAATTGATGTTAACAGATCTTTTAAACCTATCTATAAAATGTGTTTGGGGCGTATCCTAAAGCTTGTGGAATTCTTAGCTAGCAGTTACAAAGTTTAAGCCACATTTATGCGTTCGAAAACAATTTGTCATCACATTAAATCTTCCTCGGTAAATTTTGTTTTGATACCATAGCACATGTACTATTACCTCCGCTATTTGGTCTGGTAATCATCATTCTTATTTTGACCTTCAATGTGTCCTTTTAACTTGACCTAAGTAGTCTATTTTCCTACCTCTTACCTCTTGATTAATTTCACATATATTCCTATGACAAGTCTGTGTGTGCTGAATCAGATTGTTCAAGATGTGTTCCGCAAATACATTGCACGATTCAGACAGATTACATCTACTTATTCCTTTATCTATGATGTGAACGTTGACAGTGATAATATAGACCTGTCATTACAACCAATTACATCGTAAAAGCTCAGACGCCGCAATCAACCCAAAGGTGAATCTGTCTTAGGACATACTGCAGGATTCTATCCAGCTACACACAGCTGACAAAAAAAGGAAAGCTGACTGTAGTGCGCAGAGCAAATCTACTTGAGCAATCTAATCAAACATTCATTATCACTAACATTATTCGTATGAAGATTCAGAGAACAGAATCGTTATAAATAAAATTTGTCAGCAATTTTGTTTTAATTTTCTCACTATTAATCAGGTCAGTACTTACCTTTTTGATGTCATCCAGCACCTAAAATATGAATGATATGAAATGGAATTATGTATGAAATTATTTTCACATTTCAATAAACAGAAATTAGATAAGAGTAAGTAAATTATAAAAATGATTTCAACAGTATTTCTGTGTCTCTCTGTTATGATGAAACAAAAAGATGGCATTCATCATTCTATTACCTAATATTACTTATTCGATCTCAGTAGTGTTAGTAATTCGTCAAATATGCAGATGACCTGACTGTTTCGCTTCCCGTTAAGTCTCAGTCAGACTGTTTCAAATAGAATAACTTCCTGTCGGACATCAGTCAGTGGTCTAAACTAAATGGCCTCATGGTGAATCCCTAAAAATGCCAGACTATTGACTTCTCCTTTAGGCATAAACGAGATCGACAAACACTAGTAAGTACTCATGAAGTCTGTAGCATTGAGGGGACTAAAACTGAGACCAAGTCTAATGCAAAATACCTCGGACTAGTTCTATCTTCCGACCTTACTTGGTCATCTCATATCCGAACGATTTCTAAGAAAGTGTTCCGTCTAGCCTACTACATTAAGAAACTTAGACTATCTGGAATCACCCAACCTCGCCTTTCACAATTTGTCAACTCTCGTATCTTACTTATTCTACTTTACTGCTCCCCATTAGTCTTTCCTGGGTTACTGAAAAAGGACTATACCATCCTGAGAAGGATGTTAAAAGGTAGTTAGTAGGACTATTGACGTAAAACTCAGTCAGCTCGTCACTACATTAGTAGAAAGGCATCTGAATATATATGAAAAATGGTCTAAAACCATATTCCCCGACCCTCAACACGTCCCTTATTCCAAACTCTCTCCTTGTATCTCATCACGTAGAACCAGAAATCAATACAAAATAATATATGCTCATACAACCAAGTATGGGAATTCAGCGATACCATATTTGGCCCGTGTTCTAAGTGACAGAAACAGTGTTAAGCGCGAAACCTATGACTTGCTTCGTTGTTAATAACATAATTGTGGCCCTTTTATTTCTCCCTTATACTCTTTTATTTGTACTCTATAGTGAACAACCTTCTTAAACATACTTAGCTACCTAAAATTATTATCATTGATTTACTTTTTTATTCTTTATTCTATTCCTTCTTTTGTGTATCTGCTGGTCCCGACTATATTATCATTATGAGTATTACAAAGTTGTCTTGTCATTAACCATCACGTAATATTAGTTTTGTTAATGGTTTTTTGTTCGGCATTATTTAACTGACAATCTTGGTTGTGAACGTCGTTATCACCATCCTTAAATTTTTGTATTATGCATGACTACTCACACTACCACTACAAACACCGCATTTAGAGCTGACAACAAAAAACCCTGAAATGTTTATTTTATGATTGTTTAGCGTAGTTCAATCAAATTAACTGATCGTCTTGGCTAGAAAACTTTCTTAAGAACATTTCATAACTTCTTGTATGATTATAGCTGTTACTGTTCACCACGCATACACATATCATTGCTTCCACTAACCAATACTGAAATATTATGTATTATTGTTGTTTATCTTCCTTTCCACTTGATATTTTTTTGCAATTTTTTGTTATTTTTTTTTTTTTAATATATATTTATTATTGAAATACTCCTTTTAAATGCGCGATGAACTTAGATGCACTATTGTAGATATGTGCTGAAAATTCCACACTGTACCACTAGTACTGTTTCTGGAATAAAGCAAATTATTATTATGTGTACCGGATTGATTACTTCCAATTGGCATTTTTGCAGTATGCATCAAACACAGCGAGTGATCTGGGTCATGGTGTCAATTATATCAAGGAACAGGCTTCCATAAGATCAAGCGATCTGAGGCCTCGTCGACAGCTGCCCCCACGTCTTACTGATTATCAGATGACTCAACAGAAAGGATAAGCAACCAGAGACTGTGGCAACTAACCAAAGGAAGAATCTGCTACTGAGTAGTATTGAGCATCAGGCCCTCGAGAGGGACCTGCATAGGTGACAATGAGTTCAGCTTGAATCTGAGGGTGAAATGGAGGATATCGTGTGAAGACGAGATGGAAGCTGACTGGCACTTATGAAGTCGGCTAAAGACGATCGTAGAGAATAGGATGAAGTGGTGTCGTATTGTCGTAGCTTTATGTCCCACTAAGAATTCAAGGGAATAATAATTACTGCATCATTCAGCATTCGATGACAAAAATATTTTTCAGATAAGTCAGAAATCTTAAAGACATCTGTTGCAGTTCGAGGAGTTCATTAACGGAGTCTCTAAATAGTCAGGTTAGGTGGTTTTTGCAATTCAGTCGAATGGTAGAATCACTGAAAAGACACCGATTCAATGTCTAAACAAGTTGAGACGGGATGTGGGTACAGTTTCCTCAAAGCCTCGTAAGCAATTTGCTTAGCAGTGGTTATTACATCTATTAATCAATTCATCTGACTGAATGCCGATCAGATCTTTAAAAAATGTAACATTTTGACGTCGACTCCTAACCCACTAATGCTTCGTTAGACGATAAAATTTTCAGAGAGGTGATGAAAAGTTGGAAAAATGTAGGTCCATGACTTACAGCATTCGATGCACTATGCACCGGAGTGGATCAGAACTATTCCATAACTTGAAGGTAGGAAGTCTACCGTTTTTAAGAATTAACATTAGTAAGTTTACCCCCTCCCACTTGTCACTCGGTCTGCACTGTCAAAGATTAGGTAGCTGGGACTCCTTGTCGCTTAACCGTGATTCACTTGTCAACAGTGTTCTAGCTAACATACGTATGCAATCCAATCCACCATGTATCAGAAAAACTTTTGGTATAACGTCTAACTATTCTATTGTAAAGAATAAGTGCATCACTCTGCACTCAGTGAAGTATTAGTAGTACAATGATCGATCCACAAATTATGTAATAAGAGTGGAATAAAAATTACTTCATCAGATTTTTCAAAGAATTTTCATCTGTCTAATAGTTTCTCGTTTTTTGATTTGGAACTTGTAACTAGTGTGATGCGTCTAGTCCTCTCATTGGTGCAGACTGAATTCTATAAGTCAGGTTGTAATGTGGCCACCATTCTAGGTAGCTCACGGTGCACATTGATTTGATGACATTAGATGGTTGGAGACAATCGGCAGGAAGACTTGGACCTAGGTTTCATGCTAGTGGGCACTCGTCAGCAAGGCACATCTGCAACCTTGAAGGAACTCATGTCCCTTCTGATACACATCAAACTAGTTACTGCTTTCAAATCAAAATATCCACTACAGTCCTGGAGGAGGTCAATTGCGAGCCCAAATAGCTCAGTGGTAACGTCTCTGACTGCAGCACTGGGTGACGCGGGTTCGAATCACAGAATGGAGATGAGTTCCTCCAAGGTTGCAAATAGTCCTTGCTGACGAGTGCCAGCTAGGACGAAACCTATGTCCAAGGCTTCCTGCCGATTGCCTCCTATCATCTAATGTCATCAGTTTCTCATTTTCATCAGGATTTATCTATCACAACTCAGTTCATTCCAGTAGAGCATTCACCATTCGAACAATAAAAACTCTTCACTTCCTTATCGTGAGAATGTTTCACGTCAACTTATTGGTAGGATTACTTAATACATGTAAAATACTCATGAAAATGTCTAGAAAAAGACCATAAAATGACTTAATGAAGAGATACTTTTAGCAGCTTATTACGTTCGAGAGCCTTCCAGAACTTTTTTATATATATATGAACCTTTACATTTATCATGACAAACTTAACAGAATATTGCGAAACACATTAGGTTCCTTTTAATGTCGAGTGACTGTTACCACTCTTTAATATAAAGGAAAAGAAGACATATGATTCAGTGACGAGGTTCATTGTGGTGATTATTCACCCTAACGAACTTCCTATCTAGTCGATTTGTGACCCTACTTTTCTGATCACTATTAGCAACAACAACGACACCATAAGATACCACCAAACCTGCAACTCAAGAAGACAATAAAACAGACCGTTACTGTAGACAGGTTTTACTGTTTCGAACCAACGGTGAAACAGGTTGACAACAACTGCGTATGCATGTGCATTAAACGGCCTTGTGGGGCTAATCGCATTGCTAAGTAGACAGTCAACAACCAATAGGATCCCAAGGTCACAAGTAGGGGGAAATACAAACTGTACTGTAAAGATAAATGTAGTCCTATGAAAAAATCGGGTCTACATAACCTCATAAAATAGTATACAGATGAAAAAAAAGAGTGAACAGGTTTAGAAAAAAGTTCGCATAGTACACACATTTAACTATTAAATTAAAATGCGATCAAAGAAGACACAAAAATGGATTGACGATAATTTTCTGACGATATAAAGTTGAAATAAATTGCAGACAGTAGTAACAACAGATTTATTATTATTATTCTCCTGGGCTACGAGTGGAACCTAGGGCTTCAACAATACATCAATTTGTCTTATCTTCTGCCGTCAACGACTGGACATAATCTCTCGCCTCTTCCTCGTTATATGATCTCCTCCATGTCACCCTATAACGACCCACCAGTCACTTCACATTTGGTTTCCACTCGAGCGATGGCGTGCATTGCGCACGACGCCATTCAATGATCTCCTGAACCTATGCCCAATCCATCTTCATTTTTTCCTACATATTTGTTGAGCAATGGGCTCTTGGTTGGTTTGTTCCTAGCAGGAGTTTCTTGCTAATAATTTTCTCTAGCCGGCATTTGATCTTCACCATGAAGTAAGCGTAGGCAGCTGTTGATAAAAGTCTGCGGTAGCCTGTTATAAATACTTTTCATTACAAGCAGTGCAAGTTTCTGACCCATATAGAAGAACTGAACAGGCTGACTGTAGAAGATTTCCAAACTGGTTTCAGGTTGATGAAGACGTATCTTACCTTTACGATTCTAACTGGCTTTAATACTTAAGTTGTTTCACCTGTCTGTGGTTGAAACCGTACCTCCTAGCTGAATAAGTGAAGGAGATAACGTCTGGTAAATCTTTCCCATTGATGGTGATTGGTGCTGTTCACTGGTCATCTTCATCACTTCCGTCTTCTCTGTGTTAACCTGGAGTCCTGTTTTCGCTGCCTCTTCAGCCTGTTTGTTGCTTTTCGCCTGTAAGACTTCGAGTGTGTGTGTGTGTGTGACATTAGACCTGTATTATCTGCGAAATCCAGATCTTCTAGAGTCTTCTTATAGGTGGTTCAGCTCATTCCTGTCTCATCGTTCCCATCGAACAGTCTTCCGCATAATCCAGTCCACTACAATTAAGAATATCATCTGTGATAATAGACAGTCAGCTTGTCTTACTGCTGTGCTCACTTTGAAAGTCTCGTTGAGTTTTCCATTGTGAATCACCTGACACGTGGCATTGTCATATAGCCAGCCAGCTGTTGAATGAGGTTGAAAAAGACTTGAGGTATGCCGTAGTGTTGAAGTAATTTCCCAGTTACTTCTCGGTCAACTATGTCTTTCAAAGGCCTTCCCGAAGTCGATGAATTAGAGGTATGGGTTTGACTGGCATTCCATGCTTTGTTCTAAGATAACGATGCGTAAAGTTGCAGTCTGATTTACAGCGAGTGAATCCTGATAAGAGCATGATAAGTACAAACAACGATTGACCGACTTTTCCTGTCTTCATGGGAAAGACTTCTTCGTCTGCACTAACCAACCAAAATATGAATTTATCATGTGAAATACCGACATTATTATCACTTTATATGCAATTCTGGGTAATAAATACTGGGAAAAATTATTCTGACTTACAGACTTTGCTGATGGTAGCACCTATAAAATTTATTGAAATCGGTGTCATGAATTATTCAGTTTAAAAAAATAGCTTGACAAATAAATTTGATTAGGTATCATATCATTTTAGACCACATTTACAAAAAGAAAAAAGACAATTTTATGAGTTTATATAGCATTGAGAATAACAATTAAGCATCGGTGGTCAAATGGCAGGATTTACGCCAGCTGCACATTTCCCTCTGGGTTCAGTTCCTGACCGAAGAGTTCAAAAACCTCGGCTTGTTTACCAGCCGATCATCAGACTAGAAAAGAAGAAAGGTTGGGCATGAAGCCTGAAACCCCATCCCATGAAAACAGTAACACGGCAAATGAAACTAAAAAATTTGAATCTCTATGTTCTATTCAGAAGGCAATGAATGGAAAAAGAGAAAGAAGAAAGTTATATTTCAATCAAAGTTTATTTCAAACTGTTGAGGAGTCGTGTCAGGGTTTAAATTAAGCAGTTTCGGATTTGCTTTCTAACTACCTAATTTGTCCCCTCCCACCCCACCCACATTATACTAATTTACATTAAATTGATACTTCATAGCTAAATGCACAAAGAGAATTAGCTGTTAGATGGTAAGATAAAACGAATAGAAGTAGGTAAACTGCACACCAGTGTATACAAAAACCAACACATTCTAATGGATACTTAGACTTTAGTTCATCGCATCCATTAACTGTTAAGGCAGGCTTAGTTAAGTGTTTAAAAAACCGAGCAATGACACTAAAAAGTAGCAGAAAAAGGACCTAAATGATGAAATGAAACACATAGAAGAGGCGCTGATGTTAAATAACTACCTTTAAAATTCGTTAGGAAGATCAGTAAGGGCCAAAATAAAAATAATTGTGAAAGTAGTAATATTAACATAAATAAGAGAGAATATAAGTCATCTACAGTTATACTCTATAAAGAAGGGAAATCTGAGACCCTACGTTGGATTCTCAATAAAGCAGGAATTAGGGTAGCGTTTGAACCTACAAACTCACTCAGGTAGGACAAGCTGTGTAGGTTAAAGGACCCTGTCAGTTGACCCAATTCGACAAAATAATATAATTTACAAAATACCCTGCAATGACTGTGAGCGAGGTCAACTACATAGGTCAAACTAGTAGGTCAGGGGTAGTCAGGTTGTCAGAACATAAGAATTTAGCTAAGGTGAGAATGGTTGACCCCGAGAAGATAAGTAATTTAGAAAAATGCTCAGCAATTGCATGCATGCATTAACACGCAACCACACAATAGAGTGGAAGGGGGTTAAAGTTCTAAAAAGCGATCTAGGTAGGTGAAGAGAGAGGTTGATTACTGAATCCTTCTTCATCGAGTCTACACCGAACACATGAAATAGGAATGATTCATCACTCATACTCGAAATATGGAGAATACTACTACCAATCAAATCAAGTGAAAATCAAGTGGAAAATAATAGAACTATATAGATGAAGTTAGGAAGTCGTGTGAGGAGTACCTTGATATGATTATGAGTGGCGATAAATTGTGCTCGAAACGTGGCCATCAGTAAACATTACTGTATAAGACACTGGGAGACTTTACCAAAACAAAATTTACCCATAAGGTTATAACTAACCAACAAACTAAGTGAGTTCAAGTCAGACCGCAGAAACAAGAGGAAGGCAAGATACACAATATCAAAAAGGCAAGAGGCCAAAAGCAAAGACAGAGTATAATCAAATGGAAGAGAGAATGAAGACAGTAGGTTATCAGAACAAGAAAACGCCAATAACTGCTTCTTTCAGATCAAATAAATCGCGGTCCAGATGCATGATAGACACTGCTTCGACAAACTTGATGAGAAATAACTACTTTATCTATTGATAATTTTAAAAGATTTCTTGATGTCCACCGCATGGCCCATGTTGGTGAGATGTCTGGCGATAGCACTATTGTTAGCGCTAGTTCCCTGGAGACGTAGGCCTTTTGGTATATGTCCAGAAACTTGGAGGTGTATCACATGTCTGTTCTTCCAATGCAACTTTGACTGCAGATACATGTAAACTAGTATACACAGCCGAAATTTCCATGAGAAGGGTATCTGTTAACTTTTAATTGTGCCGAAGACTGTGTTGTCCGAAGAACGGGAAATATGGAAGTTAAATCCAAAGGAAAGCGATTACATTTCAATTGCATTTGACTTCCCACTAGACAGATTACAGATAAATTCAGAAATTTCTGGGAAGCCGTCTTATATCCCGTTTATCTGACAAATTGCTATTTTTTGCACAATCAAAACGTTGACAGGTACCCCTCTCGTGTTAACACTAAATATGTATGCAAATTTATATGTATCTGTGAAAGCAGTTACATCAGTTGTACGCAGCTGGTCAAGATAATAAATAATAATTATTATTGTTCTCTTGGATTTTTAGAGAAACACAGGGCTTCAACTGCACGTCTCCACTTGCTTCTGTCTTCTGCTGCTGTACTTTTGACCTCCATCCATGTTAGTCCATACTCTTTCAACTCCTCCTCCTATTCACACGATCTCCTCCATGTCACCCTTGCACTGACGTCCCACTCGCCGCTTCCCATTCTGTCGGGTTCCACTCGAGCAATGGCCTGATGCGCGCGCGATGTCACCAACCGGGCTCCTCAGCGAGTGTCTAATCTATCTCCACTTTCTCCTCCATATTTGTTGGTTGGCGATTGGTTCTTGTTTTGTTTGTTTGTTGCCATAGTTTCTCGTTGGTGATTCTTTCCTGCCCGGCCAGCTGATCTTCAGCATAGAGCAAAGACAGTTGCTGGTTGATAAAGGTCTGCAACAGGCTGTTGAAAATATTCTTTGTGACCACCCCGTTAAGTTTCTCATCCGATCCGTATTGAAGAACTGACTGACTTGACGTTTGTATTGAAAATCCGACCGAATTTTGTTGTTGATGCTGGCTGAGTGACTTAGATTTCCAGATTGGTTTCAGTCAGGTTGATGAAAGTGTTTCTCGCCTTCCCGATTCTCGCTCGATTTGATATCCTCGTCCGTTCCAACTGCCTGTAGTTGAGAAAATGCTCCCTATATGAGTGAATGAATGAAGTGACCTCTTTCAAGTGTTAGCGTTTGTTGAATGATTTAAATTCATCATCGATTTGATCAATACATGATTTGTTTCTCCTGAATCCGGCCTGTTCCGGACGAAGTTTTTTCATCTAGGGCTTGTTTGATTCTTTCCAGGATGATGCGACTTAGTATTTTGCTTGGAATGGACAGGAGCATAATTCCACGCCAGTTTTTACATTGACTTAAGTCTATTCACTATAACTTCAGTCGAATAATTCTCACCGAATTGAAGTTATACTTAGGAGAGGGAGTAACTAATTCCTTCCCTTTATCTCACCCACACTGGATCTTTTTTCAGTATTTCCTTACCAGCAGTAATCTCTTATCTCTGCACAATGGTGGAGATAAAATGTCATGTAATAAACCGTCACATCAACTAAAGTAACATAGAATATTCCCCAGCTTTTCAGTTTTTTAAAGACATAAAAAATGTCTAGTAAATTATACTACTTACCCTGAAAAAGCAACTCCGTAGCTGGAATTAGAAAATTTAGAATGTACACAACAATGTGATTACATCTACGTACATGGCATACTTGGGTATTGTTTTTCTTGTGAGTAATACGTCAATAAATACATAAAGTTTTATTATGGTACTTACTATTTTATAAGTAGTATCTTTGCTTAGTTATCTCATTGAAGTTGTTTATTCAGTTCATTGTTATGAACTCACTATTTACCGATAAAGTTCTGTATGTGTAAAATGCTTTGCAATAAAGTCGTTCAGATTGAGTTCTTGTACACGCATAATACGCATGTTCTACATATACTCCGGAACTGTCACATGGAAGATTTTCATGAGCCATATGAGTTTTGTGAACACCTATTGTTCATCTACACTATTTATTTCTGCGATCTATACATCAAATGACATGATCCTGGTTGTAATTGAGCTGAATGAGATATTACCATGTGTTAACGATGTAATATTCACAAATCATTGCATTTTTGATATTAAGCGTTATGCTGAAGTGTATCACCGCAGCTTAAGTAAAACATCTCAAATTCCCGTGACGTTTGCCCAAGTCCATGAAATAATTTTTTGGAAACACAGTAGGAAATCAGTATCTAGAGGTTAGTGCTCATGAAGTCCTCACGTTATGTATAATGCATTAAAGTTTCTTAATGTCACTGTATATACTAAGCCAAGAGACTTCGATATAAGCAAAACAGGAAGAAGCTCAAGAACATAGTCTTCTTTCTTAGAGAACAATTGAAAACCAGTGGGTACTGCGCGGCTTTCCCATCCTAGCCTAGGAATCTTCAGTAGGGAATCGTTAGGACTATGTGCCATAGGAATCTGTAGCAGTGACTGAATGCTAACTTTCTACCCTCAAAATTCTAAGGTCTTAGCTTCAGTCCCGAAAGTTCCAAACTGGGCCGAAACCGCTGTCCAGCTTTCATTCATTCCGTAAGGGATGTTGGTTCACGATTAAATTTACCTACCGATCAAATAGCTATAAAGCAGTGCTTCAAAACAATCCTTTCTAAACAGGAATATTTGTAACATAAATTGCTTCAAAGTGTCAACTCTCAGAACATTCAGTCCACAGTGTTATTCAATGAAGGTTTTGTCAATGTTCAGATGTGAGAGGTTAACTTCGACCAAAGTGGTCTTAGACTAGATTCTTCATTGAGTTAAAAGCTTGTCGTCTTGAAGAATCTTAGATGTGAAAAGAAGAACTTTTCGGTGTTACTTAACGTCCAAACGTTTTCTGCTTCCTATTGATTTACGGTAAAATACTTTGGGTATATTTTAACAGAATAAATTAATAACCAACTTACTAATGTCTCATTGCATCACGACTTAAAAAAGAAATGTGATTGTTGACAATCAGTTAGATACATTTATCAGATATTCAAAGCTGCTATGTACGTCGTTGATGTTGACGGGGAATTTAGACCAGTTTTGAGGTTTACAGATCAACTTTGGTAAGTACAGTTTTGATATTTGACCGCCAATGAATGTCTTGAAATAATCAACGTTTTAAAGAACCACTGAATACGCTATATTTCATGATTCTAGAAATTCTGTTAAAGCCTTGAGAACACACCAAGGTATTGTGAGTTTTATGCATGTATTCTAATAAATTGTTCAGGAGAAAGCCAATCAGCGCGAATAATTGTTTTCACCAACTTCCCCAATTTAACAAATTACAATATCGCTCGCATAATGCAGATAATACAACAGTGGAAGTATAAACAGAACAATTACCACTTCTTCGATTATGCGGTGGTATTAACTAGGATAAATATTCTTTCATGAACTTCCTACTTCTGTTTTCTTCAGTCAATCTGACACTTCCTTGAGAATATAAAATGGAAACTCTGCTGAGAAAAATTCTAAGGTATGAGGTTGTTATGTTGTTGGTGTGAAGCAATGGAATCAAGAATGAGCAATTCGTCCTTTCTTGGTACACATTAACTTGATATAAGAATAAAACATGTGCACTGTGGTAGGGTGTAATGCAATTATGGGTAAATTTTGTTTTGGTAAAGTCTCCCAGTGTCTTATACAGTAATGTTTACTGATGGCCACGTTTCGAGCACAATTTATCGCCACTCATAATCATATCAAGGTACTCCTCACACGACTTCCTAACTTCATCTATATAGTTCTATTATTTTCCACTTGATTTTCACTTGATTTGATTGGTAGTAGTATTTTCCATATTTCGAGTATGAGTGATGAATCATTCCTATTTCATGTGTTCGGTGTAGACTCGATGAAGAAGGATTCAGTAATCAACCTCTCTCTCTACCTACCTAGATAACACTTAACTAACAAACCGAGCAGTAGCACTAAGTAGTACAAAAAACGACCTAAATGGTGAAATAAAACAGGTAGAAGAGGCATTGGTGTTAAATAACTACCCTTTAAAACTCATTAGGAAGATCAGAAAAGGCCAAAGGAAAAAGAAAAATAACTGTGAAACTAGTAATAATAACACAAATAAGAGAGAATATAAGTCATCTACTGTTATACCACATAAAGAGGGGACATCTGCAACCCTACGTAGGATTATAAATAAAGCAGGAATTAGGGTGGCATTTATACCTACAAACTCACTCAGGTAGGACAAGCTCTGTAGGTTGAAGGACCCAGTTAACCCAATTAGACTCTCGCCGACCATGCACATGGTCCGAGGTTCGATTCCCTGCCGACGCAAACCTGATATCTATGGTCGGCCTGCAAAATTTGGGCTACCGATATCCATGCTGAAAATTCCATACTTGTACCAAAAATGCAGTGTGGAATCAAGCTGTAAATCAAAAATCAAAAATAATAAATTTTACAAAATACCCTGCAATGACTGTGAGCGAGGTCAACTACATAGGTCAAACTAGTAGGTCAGGGGTAGTCAGATTGTCAGAACACAAGAATTTAGCTAAGGTGAGAATGGTTGACCCCGAGAAGATAAGTAATTTAGAAAAATGCTCAGCAATTGCATGCATGCATTAACACGCAACCACACAATAGAGTGGAAGGGGGTTAAAGTTCTAAAAAGCGATCTAGGTAGGTGAAGAGAGAGGTTGATTACTGAATCCTTCTTCATCGAGTCTACACCGAACACATGAAATAGGAATGATTCATCACTCATACTCGAAATATGGAGAATACTACTACCAATCAAATCAAGTGAAAATCAAGTGGAAAATAATAGAACTATATAGATGAAGTTAGGAAGTCGTGTGAGGAGTACCTTGATATGATTATGAGTGGCAATAAATTGTGCTCGAAACGTGGTCATCAGTAAACATTATTGTATAACACACTGTGGGACTTTATCAAATAAAATTAATCCATAATGAAATTACACGTTAATTTGATTCATCTGTATCCCATTTTCACTGGTGGTATTCTCCTAAATTATTTCAAATACTGAAGCATTATCCATCATCCCGGAGGGGTATGATTACCATCTCTTGTCCCAAATGAGACAAAATGTACATCCCAGATTCTTCAGCTAGCTACCTTCAGATGAATTCTTACATAGTTACGGAGGAAATTTCACTATTATTCCATTTGTAATTCGAAATTTCTAAGATTCCAATGTGTTGTCTGCTTGAATAGATAATTGGCAGTCACGATTATACGTACTACCTATTGAATGATAAGAGTGACTGAATACTATCAGCCGTGCCTGTGAGCCAGACCATTGTGGCCTAGTACATAGTACCATTCATTTACGCTAGCTCGTTCTTGGTTGCTATTCTTTGTTTCAAGGGAATTACACATCGTGATCCGAATATTTTCAGTTTGCAAAATAAACTGTTTAATTTATAAATCTTGGATTCGATCCAGAATTCGTATACCTTGAAATGATTCGGTTTTCTAAGTTGAGCCAGGCTGACTACATTGCGGGTAAGCACGGCACCAAACAAAGGAAGCAGTCACGAGGTGTTCAGACGACCCTCATTGGACTAGTGAGCATTACTATTAGCTGTCAGCGGTGTCCAACCACAAAATTCAATTGCTCAATATTGTCCAGCTAAATTTGCTGATATTTGTGTCGTGTTTTTTAGGCTTATTGGTTTACAAAGTAGTATCTCAATAGGTTGGTTATGTAATATGATAAATGAGATTCAGTATAATCTTAAGCAAACATTCTAACAGGTTGAATGATATACAAAGGCATATGGGAAGATAACTCACGATTTAGTTACAAGATACAACCTTGAAATGTTCAGAATAAAATGTTGCTTCATATTAAGTCTATTTATTGAAGATACTGTTGATCTCAAAGTCACAGATTATCACATCAGAGGAGTATACTTTTTTTTAATGCACGATTATCTGAATTGAAAGTTTCCATGCAGATTACATAAGAAAAATTCAATCTCAACTTGTTAAAACTTACATGTATCCCATGATATGAAGACTATATAATTATCAGGAAAAGAATGTGATTTCAAACTTCGCTGTTTTATTCTATTTAGGTCAAAAATACTTTTATATCTAATACGGCTATTCAGGCTGGCAAATGTTGGTAATGTGGTTGTGTCCTTAGAGCTAAATGACGCGGAACTAAACCTTCCAGTTTAGTAGAAAGAGCCGCTACACCAAAATCATCCAGCTGAGATACAATTTTTTTATCATTTCCGGACTGGTAAAGGCTTTCCGCTGTGGCTTGCTATAGATGTTGTCTGTGTATATTTTTTCCATTTCGAGCCCAAATTATTTGTTATAATTTTTTTAAACGCCAATCTACACTTCAAGATAAATTGGATTGTAAACTGTGATAAAGAAAGGTTTGTTGAACCAGATTTTGCGTAAAGCCTGAAGCCTACGTAAACACTCAGCGATCGAAGAGGGACAAAAAACTGGAGAGATTTCCTTAATTTTTTAATTCAAAACAAATGATCTTTTTCAAAACTTGGGAAATTTCTCAAAGAAATGAGATTCAAAGAGCAATGGGTAGATGAATTAACCTTGTTTGGAGTTCTGTAATACGCATCTGTTTCTCTGCCACAGATAGAAACTAGGAGTAAGTTAACTCTCATCCGTCCAACAGAAAGCCATGCAGCTGAATATTAGATTATATGGCTTTCCAGGAAAGAAAAAAAATTGGTTGTCGAATTTATTCTCTTAACAAAATATAGAACACTTTGACTGTTGTTATTTTCTTGCGTCCTGAGCGGAGCATAGGGCTTAAACAGGACATACTGACTTCACTTGATTTTCTGTAGACTCCTTCAGCCAGCTACACTATTAATCGTAATCTTTCATTTCTTCTTCACTTGGTCTCCTCAAGCTTCACCCAGAATATTTTCTCCCTTTTTGGGTCCCAGTCGAAGGCTTGATGTGTGGTGTCACTCAAAGGTCACCTCAGCGTACCTCTAGTCCATCACTATTTCTTTTGGCATATTTTTTGTTCGAAGGTTTGTTGCCTATTTTATTTCCAAATTTCCTTAGTGCTAACCCTATCTGGTCATCTGATCTTCAATAAGGAGCAAAGTTAGATATTTAGTAAAGGTCTACACTAGCCTGTTGGCAATGCTTCTTGTGACGCATACACTAACTCTCTGAACCATAGAGAAGTGCTGACAGACTCAACATTAGTGTTTAAAATCCAAACCTTGTTCATTATGCTAAGTGCAGTGATATGTAGTCACATGATGTGAGTCTTGTTTTTCACAGTCTGATATATTTTGCTATGTGTATATTGATTGATATACCATTATAATTCACAATATGCTTTGTCTCTCCACTAACTAAATAAACAATGTATGACCTTTTTGTCACATGACATTACAGCCAATCAGAATCCAATCTTGGTAAGATGTCTGTCTTATTGGTTGATGTATATTAGTCATTTTCATACATACTTTTGCATTGTACACTTTTATACACACACACTTGTTCACACCTTCCGTACACTAGGTGACCTTTCGCTCACACACTTTTGTGATAGTCATTTTCCCTTGTTGGAAAATACAGGTGTAAGGTCAATTCACTTCCCATTCTTGAATCAAGTCAACCTGTCCCGTATCAGCCTAGTGTTGTTGCAACCTAATTATCCATGCCTAACGTGTCTATCTCCCCTTGTTTAATGAACTGTGTGTATGTGTTTTTACCTCGATCTGTTTAGTCAGACAGTTGAACTCATGACCCAATCAGAGTATTTTGTGAACTGTTATTTCTGCTGACCCATGTCTTACTTTGTACTATTCTGTCAAGTTTATCTTATTTATTGATCTTCGTCTGTATCTTCCTACCTGGTTAGGTAGCCAATTAAATTCTATCTTTGTGCCTATGATCTGCCTTATTTCGGTTCATTCCTATACTGACTGCTTACCTGAACGGTCGTGTCTGATTCCGGCTAGTTCGCAATTTCGGCTTTAACGTTATTACGCTCTGATAGAGGTACCTTGCTTTCTGTTAAGCATTGTGCTTTGTACTCTTGAAACCGTTAAGGTTTGTTGTATATATAAATATGGATTTGTTTATTAATAGTACCGTAGAAACAGTGACCGGCTTCTTGTTTGTTCTGGACAGGGATAGCTTTTATCTACGCGTGACTTAATTTCAAGAGATATTGCGCTTACAACAGGTATCATCGTGAATGTGGTGGCCTTCTGAATTTCCCCTTTTACACATCAGGACAATTAACTACTTGACGAGTACATAACAGGGAGTAAGTCTACACACTGACTCCAAATGAATGAACGTTTGTCTTGCTTTCCTGAGCTTAGTTTTGATATCCCCATCTGTTCCACCGCCTGAAGTTCAAAAGATGCTTCACTTAAATTACTTTGGATAATGGTAATCGATGCCTGCTTTTGTTATTGATGATGGTAGTTAGGTTTCTTCATCACATCTGTCTTTTTCATGTTCACTTAATTTCTTGTTTCCGCTACCCATTCTAATTTACGCTTTTCAATCTTCAAGTTTGTGTAATATTAGATAGAAATCATTATACTACTTTTACAACATACTGTTTAATTTATTTTACTGTACTCTTACTTTTGATTCATGAATCGCCGACTGTAATGTTAAAATTTGTGAAAATTATTTTAATTTAGTAGAATAAGTTTTGTAACATATGAATATATTTTACTGTTGGGTCAAATAAATCCACGGTTTGCAATTTACACCAATCACCGAAGTTATTCGGATCCTTAAATGTGATCTTCTGGATCTTATCTAATGCATTACCAGTTTACCAAACTAGCTAGCCAGAATTCAAATGGTTTGAAATGATTCAGCCGATTCTAAGATCAATCAGATAAGGTACACCAATGATTATCCCATCTCCAAACGAGCGAAACAGCCATCCGGTGCTTAGATCGCTTCAATCTAGCTAGCAAACACTACTTGTTAATATGAGCGGTAACTCATTACTCATATCACACAATCCTTAGTATTATCTAACTAAGTTTGAAGGCTTTCCCATCTACCTATTAAACACCGCATACGATTTCCAGTACTTCTCTCCATTTCAATCTAAACATTTAAAAAATTACCGCTGAAGGTGGAAGAAATGAAAAGAGTGATGGATTTCAATTACTTCTATTCAATTCCTTGTATTGGGTAAAGCAGTATGATTACTAATAATGAGACTAGGCTTTCATTGTTATAACTATGAAGGAAAGAAAGATCATTCCTTGATGAATAATTTCGTCTGGATTCAATCCATGAGATTTGTGACTTGCTGTTTAAGCCACTTAGGGATGTTCAGACACCTTCGTCAGGGTTCTCGGACTACTAACAGCCAATTATTATAGACGGTTGGTAATATGCATTAAGATCGTTCTCAATAATTCAGATATCTTAACTCTTTGTCCAGCCAGACTTTGAAATTCTCAATAATCTTCATATGTCTCTCTCGTCCATCTTCGTCCACTGTAGATCCGCTATAATTATTGTGAAGTTAGGGAACAGACACTCAAATGATGCAAACTCATTAATGAACTTGGCACGCTGAACCAGCGCTGGGCAGTGAAATGAAAATATAAAATAAATGAAAAATATTATAAATTTTACAAGATTTTTGTTTAAAGTGTATACTTACTCAGGACTGTAATTTTATAATCAGAATAATTACTTATTCACAATCAAAACAATATTTGATTGTAGGATATTAGAAGATAAGCAAACCTGCAATGAGAATTCAATTCTAATAAACTAGCCAACATCACTTCAACTTTCCGAAAAAAAATATGACAAAGATAAAATTTGCCTCCTTTTAAATTCAGCGATACCTCAAATATAATTAATTTCAGAGATATAAACATGAGAGATTAAGAGTGCGCTCAGAAATGCCGCTCCTAAGATAAATTTCATGAAACACAAGACTTCTGTCAATGATCGTGAACATTGAACGTTTCTTCATTGGCCTTGGTCGCCATTCGCCGGCAACTTGAAGGCGCAAATGATTCAATCATGTACAAGTTAGAAGAAGACATAAGAATACAAACAAAAGTACAATATATACCTTGTAAAACATCTCTTTACAGACTAAGTACATAGTATTGATTTTAACTATCTAAGAATCCAATTTCTTGTCATTCAATGTGTTTTGAAGTTAAAGTCGATATTTGTACCTAGTATAATTGTCGATTCGGAGCGTCTTCGGAACTTAGGATTAAGTTCCTTGACAACTTCCTTGAAAAACTGATCGTCTAAGAATGAGCATACAGATAAATCCATAGGATGGTGTGGAAGAAATTGTTGGTAGTGGGGAGGAACGTTGTCGCAGTTAAGAAGAAGCTTCTATTTCCTCCAATCAACCTTCAAAAGTTATTGTATGTCACAAGGAGCAAGCGAGATACTAGGCGTTTTAATTGTTACAAATTATCTGTCAGCTAAATTCATTGCTGCTTACAACGGCAGTCGTAATCAGGTACCCATCAGAAGTCGCCTCCAACAACTGACATATCCACATATACATGCCGGAGCAAGTGGAATGGAAGGAAAAACTGGTAGGGGAATCATTCTTGACTTCTAATTATCTATTTCAAAAGCCTGAGATTGCAAACTTCCCACTCCCTCATCAGAGTCATTTGCCTAAATCAAAACGAATCTCGACAAAACGTGGATATTTTAAACTGCTTTAACGGAGGTTAACAGGTGAAGAAATCCAACTTCACTTCATTTCACTACATCTACTGCAAATAGGCCACTCAAATCTAACCAATTTATACTAAAGGAAACCGAAAGTCAACTCAACCTAACCTGATATTAATTATCCAAATTATTATGTAATTACGTATTCTGTTTTCTGTTGGTATAATTTTATTGTCCCACTTAACTGATTCCAGATTGTTTCCAGTTACCTTCTTGTATATATTTCTACGTATGCACTGGTTAATTATTATTTGATTGTCAAATCGTTTATTTACTAAAACTTCTCTAATCCCGTTTCTTGTCATATATGTTAAAAGTGTCATCTACATATCTTTTGTACATATGAAAACTATAGATAATGGATCAAAACACATATTGCTCTCTAATCTTGTCATGAAACAGTCTAAGAGTAAAGGTCCCAGTGTGTTACCCTATTGCCATTCAGTCTCTTTTATCCATACAGCGTATTACTGAATTTGAACTGGACATAGAAAGTGTATCTCAACAGCAGTTCCTATAAGTAATGGATCGGAATATCCACTTTCAGATTATTATCCTCGATGAATGTGTATATGAAGCAAATAGTTTAGATGAGACGAACATTAGTGAAGAGAGAAATAACATCTACAGATATGACTTTCATCCCGGACATATTAACATCACTTGCTGAATCGACGAAGTCGAACTTGTTATTAATAACTACTTCCGTTTCCGGCATCAACTGTCATGATTATCTAATCAGATTTTACTGGTTATTGTTTCTTTAAATAAAAATCTTCATGCCTAACTTTAATAATAATAATAATAATAATAATATTTTCCTTCACGTTCCCAGTGGAACATAGGGCTCCAAGCTAGTGGCTTGAAGTTTCTGTAGCAGTGTTTAATTTTTACAGGATGGGGTTGCTAGCCTCATGCCCAACCTTTCCTCTTTACCAGGATTATTTCTGGCTCAGTGAGGTAAAGGAGTGCGCCGGCCGGAGGTCGGACCCCGGACCATAGGCATGGTCGGCAAACATCCCAGCCGCTATACCACCGACGCACACATGCCTAACTTTGGCTGAGTAGAATGAAAAGAATGTATGTTACTGTTTCAGTTGTCTTATGCCTATTTTAGGGTATCTTCAGCTGAAGAGAAGCCTCAAAATTAAATATTCACATTTTATGCTCCAAAACTTGTTCTTCTTCTTCTTGCTTTGATGAAGAAAAATGAAACTTCTGTCAAATTCTTGTTAGTCCTAGTAACCAGATTTAGTGCCACCACCTAACAACAATTTAAAACTTTCCTATTGCATTTCTTGTCTTATCGACTTAAACTTATCTTTGGCGAAGGATATTGTGCACCCAGTTGTTTAAAACTATTTTCTTATCGCAAAAATGATAAGGGATGTAGAATGTTGAATAAACAATCTACATTTCAGATAATATTTTTCTAAAAATTTAACATTTAATTTGCAGGTTAAATAGTCAATTATGCTTGAAAACTGGTTCAATTTTGTTTAAACTAATTAATCTCAAGGTCGAAAGAGGCGAGAAAACAACAACCAGCGACCATTTTAAATGAAAATAAATAATCTTGTTGTGTGAATTTACTTACCCACCATCACTAATTAAATTATAGGGAAAAAAGAGATAATTTTATTTAATCATTATACAGTACTTTTAAAAAGAATCTTGTTTCACATTTTAAAAAAAGTACACACGATGAATATTTTTAAAGAGTAGTGGTCTGTAAGAATTTGCCTAACCCACAGTGGGGTCAAGAGGTGACAGATGTCAGATATCACCATGCGTTCAATCCTATATTTTCACAGATTATGTAATTACTTTGTAATATAGACATCATTTCTTACTAGTTTTTAAAAGTTTGTTAAGAATCTTTTAGTGGCTGGCTGAAAGTAAACAAAAAATGACTTAGTCGAAATCTGTCTGAAACCTATTGGAGTGCTCAGTTTAGTTGGTTAGGCATAGGATCTATTCTGTAGTAGAACTTAAAGTACCTGGTCAGTTCACTTATGTTGTGATCACTGCCAGAATATCTTCTTCTCACCATGAGTTAAACGTACTTTTGAATTATTAATGCTTTGTCTGTGTCAAGAAAAATTGATCACACTCCCTTCTAGAAGCTCCACTGAACGTTGTTAATATTCTGGTCGACAGGCACATGGACTCATGTGAAAAATGGGCTAAATCCATTCTATCATTCTAACTCACACCACCCTCTTCATTCACAACTCTCCCCTTGAATCTCGCTAGGCAGAACCAGAATCCTATATAGAAAACTTTATGCTTGCACCAGCACATCCAAAAACTCAACCGTACCCTACTTAGCTCATGTTCTGTGCAATAAAGAAAGTATAAGGCGCGATACCTATAACTTATTAAATAGTCAGTAGAACAACTGGATCTCGTCTTTCCAACTCATATCATTTATAGGTACAACGTTTTCTTTCCTTCTTTACCTTTTCTCTTTTTTGTTGTTGTTATGTGCTGCTTTGTTTCTCTCTTCCTTACAAACTCTATTTGAAACATTCTTCTTCGTTCTTTCACACTCTGTATATCTCGACCTTTTTGTTAACGCTTACGCCAGTAACTATGCTAGCATCTACTTTTCTAACACCTTGAAACACTGTTCAACTTTGGCTTTGCTACCGACATGCTAATATGTTGTTGTCATAACTAACTGAGATTACCCTTAATCTATGTAGAATATTATTTTATTGTTAATGTACTAATTGGATGCAATACTGTATGTAGTGAAATGCTGAGAATTCCATTCTGTATCACAAGTACTGTTTTGGAAATAAGCAAATTATTATTATTATTAATATTGTATAAAATTTTGAAGGATTTCTCATAAACTCCAAACTTGCGGTTAGCTATGAAGATGGTGTCACCAAAAGCTTTTTGTTTAAAACTTCTAATCCCCTGCCCGCTATCAATGAAGTCTAATTATTTCATTCTTTTAATGAATGTCCGTAATTACAGCTTAGTCATCAGTCTGAAGTATAACAAGACTCAATTGATCTACTGTTTAGGTAGTCCTAATGTATCATTGGTTAGTTTAGCTTCTGACTATGGAACCAATCATCTCGAGGAAAAAAAACCCAACGATGTGGTCACCGTTCTGTTAATCATTTGTTTATAACTGTTAAATCAGTGTTGGTTAGAAGAATCGAAGTTAAATTAATTAAGTAGAAATTGATAAGTAATAACTTACGCTCCGAAAATAATCGGCGCTCTTTTAGAGGAAATAGAAGACAATTTATAATTATCTAAGAAATATCACAAACTTAATATCTTCAAATGAAGTCACTGGTGGAGGCGATACGAGACAAGAAGGCAACACCACTCAGAGAAACACACAAAGGGGATATTATTATTATTATTACTATTCGCGAAATGTAATCTCAGCCCTTACCAATCCTTTTTAGCTTTAGAGTAAAAATGACAATCATTTCTACCTTCTCACTGTTTAATGTTAGATAACTTACAAGCTGTTGTAAGTGCTACATATGCCATATCCAACACAATGGCATATATTGATTAATAACTAGTGAGTAACGAGTGTGATGTATCTAGTCCTTTCTTTAGTACAGACTGAATTCTAACAGTCAGGTTTGCATTGTGACAACAAGCTACCTAGAAGGCTGGCCACATTACAACCTTGACTGAAAGAATTCAGTCTGCGCCAAAGAAAGGATTAGACACATCACACAAGTTGCTGGCTAGTGTACAACAAAAGTGTCCAATAAAGTCCTACAAGAGGTCGATTGAGAGCCTGAATAGCTTACTGGTAACGTTTCTGGCTGCAGCACTGAGTGACGCGGGTTCGAATCTTAGAAGATACACAGGTTCCTTCAAGATTGCAAATACGCCTTGGTGACTGACTAGCACAAAACCTAGGTCAAGCAAGGCTTCCTGTGGTCGACTGGCTCCACCCATCTGATGTCAACAATGGTGTATTGTTATATTATCTTTCTATCGCTGAACAACGAGGTCTTAAAATTCTGGTAGTGAAAAGTTGTTTGTGACAATCCACTTAAGTTAACTTTCTCTTATCTTTAACGTCTAGTACTGGCGTCCAAGATGTGGTTTTCGTGAGATAAGTGAACCCCCATGAAATAATGACGTTTGCACGAGAAGTTCAGCCTATCACACATCGCTTCAAACACTAAGGTGTTATTCACCAGGGGACGCGGCCAAAACAATGATGCCTTATGCAGTGAGTATTAGTCGTTACCTTGGATTTCCCAATGACTCATTAAACTGCATAGAAAAGCTTGTTGTTTGGCCGGTTCGCAACCTCATTGGTAATAAGCATAACAAATGTATCATTCATGAAAATTATTAAATTTTCCAAAATATCATAACATAGATCACGTTTTGTCCAACTACTTCCATACTATAAGTGAAGAAACGAATTTATCAGTATTTTTTACGGGAAGTGTTAGATTTAAACGTAAAGAATGATTTCTTGTGTCGAGAAATGTAACATTGATACAAGTGTGAATTATTCAAAGTCTAACAAATCTAGAAATAGTTCAGAAAAGATTCAATGATTCAAGTATACAAAGATTTGTAAAGAAACACAAGATAGAGTGCAACAAATAGAAGCATATATATATATATATATTTATACATATACTGTGTACCACAATCCCATGAACCAAATCCTGTGTAGATTTCTCTTCTGATTTGACTAACCGACCTGACAAAATAACTCACTCTGAATAATGACCCCTAATTAGTAAAAAAAAAGTAAATTCTATTGAATTTCTCGAAGATTATGAAATGGAGGACAGTAAAACTTCTCATGAAATACTGTTTCTAAAGCAAATAAAGTTATAAGTCAGTGGGTTATTGTATTTTACTGATTACTCTTCCAAATGTGTTCCCCTGAATTCCTTTCATTCACACCGCATGATACTTCAGAATCATAATATACTTCGCCGTGAGCCTACGACTAATGTTTTCCTGCAAGGAACTGTTCAGCCAGAAAGCGAAAAACAAGCTGTTGCATTGGGCCACCTCAACGTGCATATACCAATTTACTTGCTCTTGTGGAGCTGAGTACGTTGGCCGTACTATGTGCCGACTTGAAAAACGAGCTCGTGAACACTACCCAGCCTGGTTAGTAAAAGGAGATCAAAAGCGTGTAAACAGTTCAGTGGTAGAACATCTGGTCAATTCAGGACATTCAGCGCCTTTCGATAAATCCTTCAAAGTAATATAGAATTTTCAATCGAAACTATCAAAGGGAGGGAAATCAAGACATCTGGGCATAGTCGAGGCGCTAGGTATCCAAAATCTCAACCCCATGCTTTGAATCCAAAAGATATACGCCCAATCCGTGTCTCTAGCATGGCAATCATAAACAGGTAATTTTTTTGTAATAACCATCCTATCGCCTTTCCTATCTAAACTTCATGTTTATTCATGTTATTTTAATTTTTTCTTAATCCCTGTTTACACTACCATATTTTCATATCCGAACTTCGTGTTTATTTTGTCATTTTACTATTTCTACACATTTAATCCCTGATTGCACAAACATTTATTCATCACATTAGTTTTTTTTATTCAAACATACTGTCTATTTTGTTATTTCTACATTTCTAACCTCTAATTGCACATCGTCAATCTTCTTAGTTATTATGATGCTACTTTGTTTAGTTTTATCCATCCCCCTGTTTATTGTGGCATTCTAAATCCTAATTGTAATTTTTATTAATTTGACCCTTAACCGGAAATTATTGTGGAACTTTTCCATCCATTTGATATAAATACACGAATGTACAGCCTTGATGATGACTTCGTCGAAAAGAAAATTTTCTTCGCTGCATTTGTCTTCTCATTAACTCCTATGACCCAGTGTGTATATTCCGTGACTTCAAAATCCACTGGTATTTTATTTCCCTAATATTATTATACCCTTGGGTTACAATTGGGACACACGGATTCATCAGCACACCCCAATTTCACTCTGTTTCGTACAGTCTTGATAAACCGACTCCATGATCGCCAAAGTAAGCCTCCATTTCTTCTTTATACGATCTCTTACATGTCACCATGTGCTTGGTCGTTTCCCACTCTGCTTCCGCTCCAGGGCGTTAAGCGTTATGCCACTCAACAGTCTCCTCCGTATGCGTCCTGTTTTCTTCTGTATACATGTTGCATGAAACATTCTTGGTTTGTTTGCCGCCAGAGTTCCCCTTGTTACTTCACCGTGTTGTTCCAAGCATCAGTGTAATTCTGTCGTCTGACTTGTGGAAAATAGACTTATTTAATGAGAAACTTGTTTGTCCTAATTTAAATCTATGATGAAACAGCCTTACTGAAAGATCTTTGATTAGGAGGAAGTAACTTCTTTTTCATTCATCTTCCGTATTTAACTGTTGTCCAGCTGGGTATATATTGGTGAATATTGTCTACCGGATGAAATTATCAGCTTACATTTTTTTATGTTATGAGAAGTGTTCACTGGTCTTCCATGAACACTATTTTACTGCACCATGAAAATAACCTTTGTTGGCAAACCAAGTTTTTAAATGAACTGATCCGACTTTCATGTCAAATGAAAATACCAATAACGCTTCATAAACGTGATAAAACATTGACAGTAAAACATTTTTTTTATTATAGCTTGATTCCGTAGAGTATTGCTGGTAAAATTGTGGAATTTTCAGCATGTGATATCGTTAGCCCAAATTCAGCAGGCAAACAATTGATATCAGGTACGCGTCGGCGCGGGATCAAATCCCGGACCATGTGCATGGTCGGCTAGCGTCCTAACCATTGTGCCACCGACGCACATTTTCTATCGATTTTCTAAAATAAATACTGATAATTGTTGAATAGTGAAAGAATTATAAAAGCTGCGTAAAATGAAAAGTGTTTCCACTCGACTACATAGATGTTCAACTGTTTTCATCTTCCTGAAATGCCATATTCCACTTAGTTATTCTTTTAGTAGGATGATACTTGATACAGACATCGCGTGTTAATTCCGTAAGTGACATATAAGCCTAAGTCTTGTATACTCAAATAAAACTAAAATCTGATTGACAAATAAGTCTTGTCGGTAAATCTTACTCGTCACCTAAAAGTCTAAAGTCTAACTGCGAGCATAACAAACCATACCCTTGACTGAATCTAGAACGACAGGTGACGAGTTGTGTATGTGTTCGTAGATGACATGAAGAAGATCGTATGAGGGGGAGATAAAAGCTCATATTAGCAATCGTATAGTCAATCAAAGTTTGTTTGAGATTACTGTTAGGTTATTCTATCTAGTGCTGAGTTATGCAAACCTTTGTCAACCAAGGCTTCCTATTATAGGGTTTTACTGATTTGACCACCGATTAGCATAAATTATGCCAACCTGGGAAGCATCGTTTCAACTACAGGCGGACCGAACTGACGAGGATATCAAAGCCAGAATCAGAAAAGCAAGACAAGCTCTCATTACTCTCAAGTCTGTGTGGAGGTCAACAGCACTCAGCATGAAAATGAAAATAAGATCCGGATTTTGAACTGCAATGTGAAGTCATGGCTACTTACTATACGGATCAGAGACTTGGCCAGCGCGTCATAAAGAGCACCTCAAAAAAACTACAGACGTTCATTAACATCTGTCTTTACTCAATACTCAAGATCAGATGGCCGGCCAGAAAAGATCAGCAGTAGGGATGGAAGCGAACCAACCAGGAACCAATTCTGCGACAAATAGGCAGGAAGAAGTGGAGGTGGATTGGTAATACTCTGAGGAAACCATCAAGTGACATCACTAGACAAGCCATTGCTCGAATGGAACCCGAAAGGTAAGCGGCGAGTTCGTCTTCCAAGGTGACCTGGAGGAGGTGATATGAAGAGGAGATGAAAGCATGTGGGCAGACTTGGAGCCAGGTGAAAACTCTAGCAGAGAACGGAACGCAATGGAGACGCGCGGCTGAAGCCCTATGTTTCTCTAGGGATTAAAGGAAATAATAATAATGCCAAACATCATAGACATATAATTTCAATGCATACACCATTTAATTTGTATGTGAATGTATATATATATATATGTTTTAATAAAATCTGAGTGATTCTATGACTTACTCAGCTTGACCTGTGAGAATTAGAGATGACATTACATAATGGATTGCTCAATGTGGCAGCTTAGTGTTAGTAATTCGCACAGCATGTTCTGATTGATTATACAAAAAATTGCCTGAAATTCTCGGCTGAGGAACCGTTACCATTGAGGTCCACGAATTCCTGTGAAGGGACAAATACTCCCCCAATGGCATTGGCCATCATTTGTGTTTTAATATCGAGAGCCTCCAGGAGCTAGAATTCGTATACTGCCGGTTTGATTCTCACCGAATCAGGTGCACGTACTGAGCTCGATTCTTGGTGCTGTCTTGGGTGCATACTGCTAAAGACTCCTTAACAAAGATGAAACAACTGTCCAGTGTCCCGCGGTTTTCGATGTTTCTACAATTGAAGTCATTCCCTAGCTCAACTTAAAAGCATACTCAAATAGATAATATGGCTTCTATAAAGGTTTTTTTCTCAAGATGGTAAAAGGTATTTTAATTATCCTTTCTTTTGATGAAATGCACGATCTATTGGTTGTGTAAAGTTTCTAACTATCAACTCAGGCAACCTATTTGGACTATTTGTCTCAGTGGGCCTTATTGATCCACGTAATGTGATACCCAGCTTTTTCTAAAAGCAGAGAAAGAACATTTTGGTGGTTTGATCATACAGGTCTGACAAGTAAATACCCTCAGTTGATCTGAGTGATTAAATGCCACCCAGATTGTTCAGCTGTGTAAATCAGACAAAAGTTTAGTGATATATTCTGTGTTTAAGTCTTTTATACATAGGGCTACGCGACAGTACTCTTGCACTAGAAAATATTCGATTATAAGACATGATATAATTTTATTTCAGGAATGCTGATCAACAGTGGAATCAAGGATGTGTATTTCGTCCTATTTTTTAAGGCTGCCCAGCTGGATACATCTGATATTTTTTCAGTAAGTGATAGTGTTCTAACTGAGACTCGATCCCTGTATCAGTCGTTTCAAACTCTAGACGTTGCCTAGGTGTTGAAGGCACCTCCAGATGACGAGTCTTAAATAGGAAGAAATGTGCGTTATCTATCCCACTGCGGATCACCATTCACCATTAATCTGAACAAATAATGACTTACTGCTAGCCATGGACTCATGTGTGTGCATGTGTGTGTGTGTGTGTATTTGAATCGAATGAGTATCACTGAAGCAAAATTAAATCTCAAGCTATCACATGACTATGGTTACTAGTTTGGCTTTGAAAGACCAGTTACAGAAACTCTTCTCACTGTTCAAGTTTCCAGTTAGCCGTATTTAGTTTCAAGTAACCAGTCATGATGTATAAAGAATACGCTTCATGTGGATAACAATTTTAATAATATTGTAAAAATATCAAATGCTAAAACTACAGGACTTTAATTTACTCTACAAAAATTTACAAATGTAACACAATGAAACGCTGAAGGTAAAACTATATCTACGTAATACTTACTTCTATCTATGTAGATTGAAATGCAGATAGCTATGAGCATAATTGAAAACTTCATTTTGATTGATAACTCTTATTTTTGTTTATGAATAAACCTCCAAAATAAATATCATGACATTTATATAATTTCATATGGAACTGTGTACAAATAATGACATATAATTTGGAGACAGAACACTTGTGTGTTTTTACAGCCTGAATTAAAAATAAATCTTGCATTTGATTGGCTATTTGGACATTTGTTACCTCCAGAATACTCCTTCTGGCCTATAATACCACAGGGGTTCAAGGTCATTTTGTGTAGAAGCCAATAATCGCTTAAGATACAAGATGAAATTGTCCGTGACTAGGTAATATAGTAAAATCTCGAAACTTCATATAGTTAAATGAAGGGCCAATTGATTGAACAGGCAACTATTTCCTTAGCGGTTTTAACCGATCTGTTGTCTTCACTAACCGACGCCTTCACTGGTATGACGTAACACACCCTTTCATATTATGATAAACATGTTTCATATGGGTACATGAGAGGATATTTTGTAAATGTTCTTCTTCAGGTTCATCTAAGGAAACCGTATTATGACCCTTACTTATTCTAAATAGTCAAGTTTAGTCGTCTTCTAGGCATCAGTCTAGTCACTGAGAAGACACCAATCCAATGGCTTCATTAAATCATTCAATCAGTAATAGAGACGAGCGGTGCATATAAAGGGCAATGGCGTAGTTAGCACAGGCTTACGACATCCACTTACTGGGAATTACCCGTCCACGGAGAATAACTGCAAGCCACGGTCCCAGACACGACGGTGATGAAACGATTAGCCCAACCCTTTCCTGCCAGATTCCCAAACTCTCTTGGACCGTCAGTGTAGCGTACTTTTGGCTCCAGATATCTAAGAATATCATAGACCTGTTATTGGTCAATTTCACTCGACTTCAATGTGCCATCTGTCTCCCTAATAATTAAAAACTGGTAGCGTACCCTCCGGATCACTACTATACTACTCCATAAAGAAGCAATGGAAGCCGCGCCCTGAGCGAGCACAGAGGACCATTCTATTATTTAGTCAGCTAAAGTGTCGATCATTTTTGGAACTAACGAAGCTTATCGCTCACCAAATAAGAGCAGCCATGCACTACTACCCACCAAATCAAAAATCAGCTGTCAATCTGTCAGTCTTCACAGCGTCTGTGTAAGGTGGTTTTTCCCCCGTTGACTCCAATTGAACCTAGGGATTAATTTCTGCTGGTGCTCTTACGTCAATTCCCTTAAGTTTCAGCCTTGCAACCATACTTCCTCCGAAGCCCAAAGGCCTAAAGTCTTGCTGGGATCTGACCGCGATGTCAATCATATAATCATAGTCAGTTAACATCGTTCGTCGCCAGAGCTACGATGGTATATGGTCGACTTCAAAATTATGACTTTCGCTCCTGATTAATGAAAATATTTTTCTGCAAGTGTTTTCGTGGTAGTTCTTCTGGTTGTGATCCCAGAATTTTATCTTTCGCACCGCCCTATAAATACCCCTATCTAACCCTCTTAACCAGTACTTCGTATCCGAAAACTAACGAAATAGAACTGAAGTCCTATTTCACTATTTCATGCAGAAATTTCCAGGTATAAAGGCCCGTCTTGAGAGCAAAAATTTATTCAACGTAAAGATGCCGCCAGCTCCCAACAGCCGGTTAAGGTCATCCGGGAGAATGCCTACCAGTACGCGATTAAGCCGTAATGGCCTTCTGGCATCCCACCAATATGGAACCAGTTCAAACAAACAAACGATTTAATCTTCACCAGCATCGACATAAGAATTTATTGAATACTATTTATGAATTTAAATGTTAATTGTAGTATTTTCGGAATGTTTAATCTATATTCCTTGAATAAATTTTGAAATTAACGGATTTACAGAATGGTTTGTTAATCCTAAGACCTTGAAAAAATATACTCGATGATGTTCCCTGGAGAGAAAGACATTTTGACCTAGAGTACGCATAAAATATCAATCTACTATGTGATAGTATACAGGCTACCCAGACTGCACATAATCGGTTGGTGATTAGTCTCTGTAAGTATGCTATGCACTTTCCCCTTTCTAAGTGCTAAGTACAATTATAACAGTGGGAAGAGCCTTTACGTAAAATCACTGTCGCAGAGAAACGTTTGATGAAATCGATAATTTATGTAACTACTGACACAGGATTGATGGATCAGATCTTTTCATATATTGAAAGCCAAGATCGAAACCGACAGACTGGGTGCGACAGCTAGCGCCATCCTGATGTCATCCTAGCCATCAAAGATTAGATTAACAATGCTTCGATGCTCATGCTCGCACAAAGAATCATTATTTTCAGGAGCCATTTCCTACAGCCAAAAGAGTTATACTATTGTTATTATTCCCTTGGGTTCCTAGTGGAACATAAGGATTCAAATGCATATCTCCACTTGCCTCTGCCTTCTGCTGCTGTACTTCTCACCTGCATCCATCCATGTTAGTCCATACTCTTTCAACTCCTCCTCCTATTCACACGATCTCCTTCATGTCACCCTTGCACTGACATCCCACTCGCCTCTTCCCTTTCAACCTGGTTCCACTCGAACAGTGGCCTGATGCGCTCGCCATGTCACTCAGTGGCCTACTCAGCCACGAGTAGCCAATCCATCCACCTCCACTTTCTCCTGCATATTTGTTGGTTGGCGATTGGTTTGTTCTTGTTTTGTTTGTTTGTTCCCATAGTTTCTCGTTGGTGATTCTTTCCTGCCCGACTACCTGATCTTTAGTTTAGATCCAGCGAAGACAGTTGTTGGTTGATGAAGGTCTGCAACAGGCTGTTGAAAATATTCTTTGTGACCACCCCGTTAAGTTTCTCATCCGATCCGTATTGAAGAACTGACTGACTTGACGTTTGTATTGAAAATCCGACCGAATTTTGTTGTTGATGCTGGCTGAGTGACGAAGATTTCTAGATTGGTTTCAGTCAGGTTGATGAATGTGTTTCTCGCTCGCCTTCCCGATTCTCGCTCGATTTGACATCCTCGTCCGTTCCAACTGCCTGTGTTGAGACAATGCTCAATTCTGGATAAGTGAATGAATGAAGTGACCTCTTTCAAATCCCTCCCGTTGATGGTGATTGGCTCTGGATTTCGTTACCGTTGTTGTTGTTATTCATTGGTTATTTTCATAACCTCCGTCTTGTTCATATTCACCTGGAGTCCTGTCTTCGCCGACTGATTCTTCGACCAGTTTGTCGGTCGTTTTTCGCTTGTAAGTCTTCGATTTTGTGTGACATCAAGCATAAATCATCCACACGCGAAATCCAGGTCTTCTAGGTTCTACTTCATGTCGGTCGGTCCAGGATATTCCTGTCTTCTCGTTTCCCACAGTCTGACGCATAATCCAGTCAGTCCACCACAATTAGGAATATCATTGGTGATAGATAATAAGCACCCTTGTCTGACTCCTGTGTTTCCTCCAAACGCCTCGCTGAGTCTTCCGTCGTGGATCACTTGGCAGGTGCCGTTGTCGTACAGCTGTTGAATGATCTTGATGAATATTTGGGGTACGCCATAGTACTCGAGTAATTTCCAAATTACTTCACGGTCGACGCTGTCGAAGGACAAGAGATGGCTCTCATGACTTAGAGGTCTCGCTGATTAACGCTTTAGCGTTTGAAATAATAATTTCTGCGTTCAAGTCTCAGTGCGAATATCGTCTCTCACTGGGGACTAAAGTTATATCCAGATTAGCAGTCCCAAATAGAATGATATGCGGACTCCAGTAGATTCCACTGCTGGACATTGTCTACAAAGTGATGAACAGTAAATGTTCTAGAATCCTTTCCATTAATTTATGATAAAAACCTGTTATCATGATTTTCAATCAGAGACACCTTAAGAGTTTTCTTTTCGATACACTTTACTCCCTGGTTAACACGAAAATGTGCAGAGTCGAATTTCATACCCCATTATGTATTTAATAGGTAAATGGCTTTACTTCTTAATAATCAACATTTGACAACAGAATGATAATATTTATATCAGAAGGCTGAATGTTCTCTTCACTATGTTCTTCTAAAGTCAAGTTTCATGTATATGAAAAGTTGTCAGCAGGGCTAACTAGGCACTTACTGAGAAACATAGTTTTGATTGCATGGGGGATTTCTTTATAAGTTGCCTCAATGGTTTACGAGCTCACCTTGTAACCAGAAGGTCCTGGGTTCAAACGCCGGCCGGTGCGTACTGATGATGAGTTTCAAATTAGGACGAAACAGCTGTCCAGTACTCCCAGAATTTCCATTGGTTCTCTAACTGATGTCAGCTCATGGTGAAATCTTCCGCGCAATCAAACAGGAACAATCCCTACAAAACCAATACTTGAAAACATAGTTTACGCATGCATCTAGGATTACGTCACTGACACCAATGGGTTAGAGGTGTTGGCTCATATCATCCTTTTTGAGGAAGATAAGGTATACTTAATTTGGCTACGTAGAGGTAATCTAACCTCGCCAGATACTAGCTTGCTAGGCTATACTAGCTTACTAGTTTTCTAGCCGGTCCCAAGCCCGGGTAAAGAGAGAGGGTTGGGGCGTGGTGCTAGTAACTCCACCCCTGTAAAACAACCAAATCGCTACAGAAACTTCAACGAATAAATATATTAAAAATTCTAAAACCATAAGCAATAGTTTTACTTTTCGCTGGAATCGGGGAAGTGAAATGACGCAGGCTGGTGAAAGCCTTCGGGAAGCCAGTCAGCCGATGTGCCTTCTTTCGATGAAAGCAAAAGTAAGGATGGGTACCTGGAATGTTCACACAATGTACGAGACTGGAAAGGCTGCCCAGATAGCCGCTGAAATGAGAAGGTACAGAATAGAAATGTTGGGAATCTGCGAAAGCAGATGGAACGGAACTGGAAGGCGCCAACTACCTACTGGGGAGACAGTAATCTATTCCGGCCACCTAGAGGACAACCATGAGCACACCGATGGAGTGGCCATCATGATGTCACCAACAGCAACCAAAGCTCTCATGCAGTGGGAACCAATCTCATCCAGGATAATGACAGCTAGGTTCAACTCAAAAGGAAGGAAGCTTCCAATCATCCAATGCTGTGCGCTTAATAACGTCTCAGAACAAGAGAAGAAGGAGGATTTCTA